TTATTCCGTAACAGAGACATTTGATGAATATAAAATAGCACAAAAGTGATTTATTATTGTTCATTGCAACATAATTAATGAGAAACTTGACTATCCAACGATTTGTTAAATTAATTAACCAAATGAATGGTCACAAAATGTATATTAACTGGTAATTAAACAGCGTTAAGAATATATTTTTTCACTTTCTTCACTTTTACCGGTTAAATCCATCAGTTATGTTAACCAGTTTTTACCCCTTTCTCTACCCCTAACTCCCTTCTCGCTCCTTTTCCCTGACTCATTTTGTCTTTTCTTTTATTTTTTCTTATTTTATATTTCAATTTTGCTACCTTTTGCTTTTGAGTGTTTCTTATTCTTCGGTTTCACTGAATTTAGTTTGCTTTTTTGTGATCAACTGTGCCTTTTTTCAATCTATTCATTTGACTATTTACAATACTGATCTAATTGTGTTTTAAAAGAGTTGCCAAAAGTGTGCTATCAAAGTCTTCTCAACAATCAATTTTAGTCGTTTGGTTTCCATTTTGATCTACAGTTTGTTTATTTTTCTGTTATTATTTTTCCTTATTGTTGGAAATTGTCTTCAATTATTGTTCTTTTTTATTCTTTATATTTGTCCTTTTCTTCTGATACACTCTTCTGCCTTTATTTTGGCAATTTTATTCGTTTGTTTCAAATGATAACCTTTTTAACACGATCAGACGATCACCAAAGCTTATGACATTATTCAACTGTTCAAACCGTGTTTGTTGAGTTTGTATTTTCTCAGTCAAAGTGTTGTTCAAATAATTGAACATGTTACATCAAGTTTGACTTTGCTGTATGTTAATATTGCAATAATCTTCCATCTTTGAGCTCATAATGTTTAACCTGTGAGTTTCATCAAAACAACCTTTCCACAACTCAGGAAATTCTAATTGTGACCCTTTTCCTTTTTTGTTTGTTTCTCTTACATGTGCTTTTTCATCAATCAATTCATCAAAATCTTGAAACATCCACCTTTATCGCCATTAGCTTGAAGCTGTAAATAATCGCCTTAATTGGACTAGTCAAGCCAATGGGAATATCCATGAAATGTATCATGCTAATAACAAGAAAGACCATCTGGTGATAGCAACCCAACCCAAAAATTACGGTAAGTCTCTTGTGACTCAACAAACAACTTAATATCTAATGTGCAAATGATCAACTGATTTTACTAGAATTAACATTCAGTTACAACAACTCAGCTCAATTTAGGATAAAATGTTTGTTTCACTTGAAATTGCGTTACAGCAAAGTTTGAAAAGTAATGAGGACCTCAACACTTACCCATAAGATTCACTTTACCGTATCAGGAGTAAATTACTGTCACTTGTGCAGATGCTTTTTGCTTTGTTTATGGTTGGTTGATTGTTGAAATAACCAATTCAACATTAATCATCATCATCACCATCATCAACATTACAATAACCATTATCCACAACAAAAACCAACACTGAGTTAAATTTTGTTCGCAATTGATTTAAAAAATCAATCCCTTTCCTTAAATTATAACTTTCATTTCTTTGTTTTTCTATTGGTCGGAGTACCAAAAAGATGTCTTGAAATCACCTTTAATTGCATAAAATTGTTGCAATTTTAGTTGACAATTGCTGACGAAACATTTGAGATTCTAGGAGAAAGGCTAGAAATGAAATTGACTGAATAGAGATTCTTTCGATCATGGTAGAACAAAAGACTAATCAGGTTCAATAATAGCTTTCATCTGAAATGTTCATTCATCTGATCAGATACTTTATCAGCTCATCTATTATTTCGTATTCAAATACCGATAGAGAATAAGATTCTATTCAAGATTGTATCGTAAATCTCCTGAAATTTCTTTTCAGTATTTTAACATGTTTAGCCAATTAAATTTTCACCTATTTTATTGGTTTTTCATCTCAAAATATCCATTATTAATGAAAGATGGACGTGTTATAAACATTTAAAGTAAAAAACTCAATTTCAATTCAATCTTCTATTAGCCGTTTCAGCCATAAACGGCATCATTAAAATTGTCAGTATTTAAAATAAGATTGAAACATTACCAGAGTAATTCCTGCTCATTTCATGATCTCAAAGATGAAAGTTTGCTAAAATGTAAAACCGAATTCATTATTTTGAGTTTTTCAAAGCTTTATCAAAATTGCATTTCTTACAAACGACAAATGAGCAATTCAGACACTTCATGTAATTTGATTTCCCTAAAGGCAGATGTGAAAATAATATGAATGTTTGGGCTGTGAAGTCTGGAAATACTTGAATCAACTTGACTTTTATACTTTACTTTTATCTCATGAAATATCTGTTTTTGAAACCAAAATTTTCAAAAATTGGCTCGATTTGGCGTATCAAATCGATCTGTTCGTTATATCAAAGCTATTTCAAATTCTCCATGCAAATAGATTCAATTTAGAGTGATTTATCTAATTCAAGCCATTCTTGAAAAAAGAGATTCATTATTAACACTTTCTAACGTTATACATTTGTTTTTATCATTGCAAGTACACTTATTAATGAAATTTTGTACTCTTTCTAGTGAAAGCTAACTGTCTATTAATTGTTTAATATTGAAAAATTTGTCATTTATTTTCATTGATTATCCATTAATTGAAATTCAATAAAGCTAACAAAGCTTTTCAATTAGTGAGTATCACTTTACAAGGGATCGAGACATGAACAATGAACTTGAACTCGCATTTTGTTGAAAAGACGGAAAATTGTAAAAAAGCTGAACAAAGATCATTGGTTTTGTCAGATTTGATTGATAATAGCTTAACTAGATAATCTCCTGAGCATTTATAAGTTTTCAGGAAGACTATTGATTTTTAGCTTCGATCTCTGTCAGTCTGAATAACCTACAGTCTGAGCAGTTGGAAAATTGAATGACAATCTTTGAAAGTCTATTTTTAATGAATGGCAATTTTCATTCGCAATCAAATTTAACTTTATCCAATAATTATCAAGTGAATTTACATAAACAAATAATATCCATTTGTATTGATGCATTTATTAGCTCTTTCCAACTCAAAATGTTCAATAACAGTAATTTGAAATTAAAGTATCGTAAGTGCATTTTCATTCATTAGTATCAGAATATGGCAATAATAAGAAACGGATGTTTCATCAAAATTTCCTGTTCCGTTTATTTTTTAGCCTTCAATTTAACTAAATTAACATCAAGTTATGGTATACATTAGTTTGATCACAGCCATTAAATTTACCGATTTTCACATTTTTACAGATATTTTATTGTCAGGTTTGTAAACATTTTTATTGCTTAAAAACGATTTCATTGTTGTCTCTTTTTTCATCAATTCAATTCAATTTTACGATGCAAATGGTACAAGCGTAATCTTGTTAATCACAATCGAGTTAACAAGTACAACTTGATGACTTGTTGATCCATAAAATTATGTTTAATACTTTTGTTCATTTTTATATTACAAGATAATTAGATGTTAATAGATTTATGCTTCTTGATGAAAATACAAAATTGGTTAAACACAATCAATCAATAAACTTTCACATAATTTCATCTCTTCATGTTTGACACCTAAATGCCTTATTATATGAAAAATCAAGTTTCGATTGAAAACAATGGCTGATAATTAGTTATGAAATATATATTAATGGCAAGGAATTTCTTGGGAGTGAAACTTGACAATAAACTGTCCAAATACTAAAGTTGTTGACTAGAAGAAAATGTCAGAATGAAATGAGATTTTTGATGTTGATGGTGATAAAGATGAAGATGAAGATGAAGATGGTGAAGACAGAAAAGGTGAAAGGATATTTGAACTACAGACAAAAGCTTTGAGTAACTTTCAACTGTTAATATGATAATATGGCTTTCTGTATTTAGGAATCGATTTTTGGTGAGCGCAGGAAACTTGAAAACAGTGATATGCGTAGTTGAAGTGAAATTGGGTTGATTCAGTGAAGGAAGAAAAAAAGGTTCACCATGGTTTCCATGTTGGCCTGAACACATCTTAAACATTATTCTTGAACATCAATATGAATTGACATAAACACAGCAAACAAGCAAAGCTAAAAATTGAAAAACCATCAAATCAATTTTACCTCTTTTAACCTTTATTTTTGTTAATTGTTTACCTAATTGTTTCACTCCATAATCAAATTATTACCTTTTTGATATTTAATCAAGATTCTTATTATTGTTTCCATTAAGCAACTACCATTTTGTACATATGCTACCTTCAACCTGTCTTCAGAATTAACAGTTGAATCGTGCTTTTTAATTATTAATCGTATTTAATACTCTATTAATCTAATTGTTGTTATTAATCAGCATTTCCCATTTTCCAACGTTTCTTTTTATTCCATTGTTTTAACTAATTAATTAACCATCCTCAAGCCATCCATAAATTGAATCTAAACCATAACCGTTTACACTCCTTTACCTTCAAAGAAACCACAACAGTTTTCATTCTTGTTTCAATGAAATTTTATATTTCTTTGTGTTTTATCATGAAAAAAACAAACTCCAGTTTCTTACATGAAGAGTAAATCATTTGTTTACAATTTATTAACACAGTTGACATTTAATTAAATCGTGATAACCCAACCATAATCAAATTGTATCATTTCTGCTCAACTCAAGTCCCATTCAATTGCTCACCTATTCTTGTGATTCCCAATCAATTTAATTGCCCTTAATATTTAGTCAATTATCATCATAATTTAAAGTAAACATCATTTTCCCGTTGTTAAACATTTCGACTTTTGATTATCATTGTTAAATATTAAATCATTAAATAATATTATGATTATAACCCGTCCACAGTTTTGAAAAACAAAGGTTGTAATTTAATTGTACCTTTATTTTTGCTGCTACCTTATTTTGACCCTCCTCTTCAATGTTTGTGATTTAATGTATGATTTACTGTTAATCGTAATTGTAAATCTGTTTTACTTTTACAATTGTGCTGTCCCTTCATTTATAACAATGAATCAACGAATTTATAAGACTAAGTCAATTTCAGAATTAAATTTCGCCCAATCATTACATTTCACCATTGAGTGTGACACAGAATTTATTAGTTGGTCATTGACAATATTCAAGCGAATCAACAAATTGTCTGTTTTATTTTCATTCAATTGTTAACCGTTGATTCTGATAGATTTACAGTTAAACTAATAGTAAAAATTATGATCGTTCGTTTGCTAATATTGAGTTAATCACAAAACCTTTTCCTTGTTTACAATATTTTGGATTTACATTAATTATTCTTCTTAATTTTCTTTAATCTTAATTACAGTTATCAGTAAAGCTGTGGCACCGTCGCTTCAAAATCAACAATCAAATCTATTCAATCCAATTACTAATTTATTAACCAGTGATATCAGGTCAACTTCACCAGGAAGTGTTGTTGTTGCGGCCGCAAATCGCTTTCTCAAGCCCATTAATAGATCATCAGATCCATTCTTTGGTGGATTTGGTTGTCGAAAGAAACAACATCCCGTTTATAATCGTAATAAAGCTGAAATTGGTGATGTCAATGGATTTGGATTGAGGTCTAAAAGTGAGGAGAGACAAGTCGATCATAATAATAATACAATAATAACTGCAAATCCTCTTTCCAATACAACTATTCAAAAAATTACTTCAATTAAATCAAATCAAGTAAATCTTGACTATCGAGACAACACGGAATCAAGCAAATATCATTGTCTTGAAACAAATAATAATATAAACCGACGTAGTCGCTCAGCTGAACCCAACCGTCTCATTAAAATCGATACAACTAACAACTGGAAACAAATGGATGTCACTGAAATGCCAAATGCTGAACCAGCTTCTAATCCAAATAATTGTGGTAAAAAAGTTAAAAATTTGGTTAATAATTTTACTGGTTCCAGTGAGTATCGAGCTGCATTCAATTGGCCTCCTGGTTCACAGCCATTAACAACATCAATAGCACCCACTAACCAATTGATCAATGCTAATGGAACTTCAACTACATCAGTTAGCCTAATGAATGGAGTTAAATCCCAAACAATAGCTGATTTTAGTGAAATTAGTGCAAATAATCAGAGTTTACCTCAACAAATTCCTGTCACTAGTAATCAATTTACTCTAGCTCCTGGTCCGGCTGGTTTACCAAGTCATTGTGGTATGAGAAATGAACCAGGTGAATGGGTTAAAGATAATCCACAAATATTATTTTCTCGAGCAACTCCATCACCACAACCAGATAAACCAGGAAAACCAATAACAAAAACTGAATACAAGAAAAAATTTAAACCCTTTTCAACCTATGTTTACATTCCTGGAAGTGGATGGAAAAAGTCCAAAAAGGTTGACTCTTCAAATGCCACTGGTATCGCTGGATCTAGCAGTGAAGGTGCTCTTGAATGGTACGATGAGGTAGTTGAGCGAGCTAAGAAAGCTTGTGAGTTTCGTTCAAGATCTCAATTCGGTCATCCAATTGTTGGAGTTGATCATTTGGAATCAATTTACCGAAAAACTTCATCCAACCTCTGGAATCAACCCAAAGATCGGTCTATTGCGGCACTTGCTTTAGCAACAAGTCATCATCTTCGAGTATCTACTCGCCCTTCGAAAGTATCTTCCCGTGATTCATCTCGAGACTCATCAAAGGCTGGCTCAGATCGTATTACAAGTAACCATTTAAATGCTAGTATTTCACCTCAAAAGGAAAACTCGCCAACAGCACGAAAACAATTTGGTAAACAATCAAATTAAATTACAGAAAAGCCTAAACTACCAAAAATAATAACCCATCTTAGTACACATTTGACAAACCAAGCCTTTTCAATGTCCACCTATTGCATGTTAATCCCAGTTAATTTACCTGTATGCGTAACTCAACTAAGAAAAGTGAAAAGAGCAAAAATAACAACAATCAATTACAATTACATTATTACCAGACAAGCAAAGGGATAAAAGAAACAACTATTTCACCTTATTTTTTCTTCTCTCCTAAATATAACCATAATATAATAATAATAATTGATTTTATCCATTGCATGTGTTACTCCTTCACATTTGAATCACTGTTTTATTTCAAGCTTACATTTTAATCCTCTTTCAATAAGTTATTGGAATGTTTTTTGTTATTAATGTAATGTCTTCCCAATCCTTTCCTTTTCCCTTGTTTTGTTCATTCCTACATGTACAACATCCATTCACTGTATCGACCTGATCACCATATTTAACCCTGAAAATATCCTTTTCAACAATCCCGTGTTTACATGTTTCAAAATCAATGTCTGGTCAAATCCAATTCTGGTTCAATTCTGGTTACCAATGAAACTCTCTGTATATACGAAGCTTGCCAACGCCTATCAACCTATTATTTAAATAGTGATGAGTGAGACTGAGAGAAAGACTAAATTCAGACTCTTTCAAAACTCAGAGTGCAACAAAATATACACCCATAAAGCCTATTAAAAGGAAGATAAGAAGGAGGAAGAAGACAAAAAAGTAAAAATCAAAGAATCAGTTGAAACTTTGATCAACTGTTAATAGAAGAAATATAACCGAAAACCAATAAGACAGAGAAGACAAGAAAGTAGGACAGTTTTGACTCTACAGATGATAGTGATGATGAGGAGGACGAGAATGATTGTGTTTACAAGTCTTAACCTTTAAGAAGAACGATGTCTGGGAGGAAAATCAATTCTCAATGATGACCAAAATTATCATCACATGGAGAGATGAAAATTTAGGTTATCTTTTGGCAATTGTTCATTTTGTTTCTTATTCATTTTGACCTGATTTTTAGCCTTTTTTGTCTGTGAAACTCATCATGTCCCATTTGCATTAAATAATTATATTGTACTTTCTTTGAAACAAATTTCATCTTAACATTACTATTTGAGTTATCAAGTTTTCATTGAAATAATAGTTAAGCTTGACATAGCAAACAAAATGATTACATTGAGGAACTGCAGTAACAGTGAATAATTCAAGTCTTTTTGATTATTTATTTGTTTTCTTGTTTCTCAAGGAATCATTACTTTATCAAGACAATTGTTACGATTATTTTTCACGATTCTATTATTATTTATCATTACAACTTGCTAATAATTACTATTTAGTTTGAATGACGAATCCCTTGAATATAAAATTTACTCGAAGTAACATAATAATATGACAAAAATGTTCCCAATGGAAACCATTAATTTGTGTTTCTTGCCTTGTTTCAGCTCTAGGTTAATTGATCTTAGACAGGTAATTAAAGGGTCTGTCATATTAATATTAATTAACTGGGCTAGTTAAGTAACTAGAATTGAAAATTTATGCTTTATTTGAAGACCATCAAAAAAGGAGGATGCCTTTTTGTAACCTTAGAAACCTTTTTACCAGACATCATTACAGAGTTTTCCTACCGAATTCACCAGTTTTTCCATTTGAAAAAGTCAGTTTTTAATCCGGGTTTTAGAAACAGCCTAAAACAAATAGGTTAATCTTTTCGTTTCCATTGCAATGCAACTTTTTTCCAAAAGAAAAGATCAGAATTTCGACTCATGTATCCATAGCCTTGTTTGTCAGTGTTTGGTCAAGTTTAGTTTATTTTTTTCTATTGATTCATTGTTCATTAGCCCAAAATAATTCACACAGCCGTCAATACAAAAAAATTTTATCCGATGTTCAAGCTAATTATTACCACAAAAACATGATTAAATACAAGTCACTTTGTATTCAGAAAATTGTCATTGAAAATTGACATACACAGATTTTTTCTTTCGGAAAAAAGGTTAAAAGCAATGGAAACTGTAAGATTAACTAGACTGCTTCAAACCCTTTCTTAATCCGGATTAAAAACCGACTTTTTCAAATGGAAAAACTGGTGAATTCGGTAGGAAAACTCTGTAATTCACTCCCAATTTTAATATGATAAATATATTGTTGCATATTTTTTAACCATATTTTTAGGGTTAAAAATGGTGAGATAAACAATGACTTATTTTTAGCTGGTAAATCATTTGATTGAGCCCTTTAAATCGATCAACAAATCAGTTTACCTTTTCTATTTTTGCTCGTCTCTTCCTTGCCTTTTCAAACAAATTTGTTTGATATTACCTTTAAAATCAATTGTGATCTCATTTTATATTCTAATGATTCCTTTCATGCTTTTAGCTGAAAAAAATAAACCAAAAAGCCACCAAACCGCTGCTGAATCAAAATCCAATGCTGCTTCTCGCAAACCAATACCAGGTTGTTATACTTCAACCCCTTAACTATCCAGCTTTAGCTTGCTTCTTAGTTTACAGTTGTGCTAAATCATGTTTAACATTAATTGATTACTCTTCTCTATTTTTACCAATTTAGCACCCAAAAGTAAATCTTTAGCTGATAAAAAGCGATCTGGTGGCTTGAACACTCCTGCTGGAGCCAGACCAGCCTCAGTTGAATCTGAGGGAGGAAAAATTTGGCTCAAGCCAAGGAAAGAGGATAAATCGACTACTGGAAGTGATAAAGGTGATAGTGAGAAAAAGGATTCAACAATTAAGCCTGAAGATGGCGGTGATTCAAAAAGGAAAGCTAGTGAAGGTGAAAATGGTGCTCCAGCGGGTGCTTCCAGTTTAGGTACTTCCGGATCTTTGACTCCTCTACTTTCTCCTCGTGAAAAAGAGGGAAGGAAAGATGAAGATGAAACTGCATCAAATAATACTAAGTCACCAAATACTTCTGATGATCAACCCAGATCACCCAGACCCAATTCATTGGTTGGTTCCATAGGTTCCATAACTAATGGCGGTATTGATTTAGCTTCACCTCCAGCCTTACCCGATGGTCCTGTTAAAACAACGGAAATCAAATCACCTGAAGAAGTTACTGGAGTTAAATCGCCTTCCCCTGAATTGTGGAGAGTTACAGTTGATACTGGGACTGATATCAATTGGACAGAGTCAAAACCTGCTAATATTGTCGATAATAATAATAAAGTAAACTCTAACAATAATGGAATCGGCGAAAAAGATGCTTCTTTGGAATCAAATAATGATAAATTAGAGATTCAATCAAACGAGAAGGAATTTTCAAGTCAAAAGCAATCAGGAGATAACCCAGAAAATGTTAAATCTTCAGGTAGGTTAATTTTATAGTACCTACTTATAAACTTGATACTTGGTTTAACCACATTAGATGGAAGTAATTTTATTTTAATATAGCAAATTGCATGGTAATTATTCTGAGTATCAATCCCGCACATTTTGAGCTGACTACAAGTCGCCTTTCAGTTTCCTAGCTTGATAAATGTATCATTTTGCCAATGAATTATGTTATTTTCATTCAAATTAGTTCATCTAGTTATGTAAAAATTTATCCACGAAAATTTATATTTTACAGTTGGTTAGATTTACTATAAATCTATAATTTGCTCTCGATTATCTCATTATCAGTAGACAGCTAAATGATATCAATATGAAACAAGTTATTTTTTCCTCTATTGAATAATTCATCTATGGGAATTTATTATTAAACCAAGGTCAATTTTAATCGCAGTTGCTATTACAAATAAATGAATGGAAATGCGATGAATTATGGAAAGGTTTGTATTGTTTTATTTCCTCAACTAATATTTACAAATGATAACTAAATCTATTTTTCGCTTGTTTTTACCTTACAGAGACAAACGAGGATTTGTATGGACCGTTATCCCTCTAAATAACCGCTAAGAAACCATTGATTTTGATAAAAGATGAACTAGGATCTGAGACGGTTAAAGCTTTTCATTGCCACTCAGTTAAGGAAATTAAAGGATCGATTGGAATATTTTGCAACTCAACTTTATTAAATAACAACCCAAAACTCGATTAGCGCCACAAATTCTCGATAACAATTGTTCAATGTGATTTGTTGGTTGGTTCATCAGCTGAAATATCCTTATCCTCCGTGGAATAATCAAGATATGAAAAGGGATTCGGCTAAAATTAAACTTGACCTCTAATCAATATTTGACTTGTAATTTGCTTCAACGTATTTATTACAATTGCTTGAAGTAAAGGTTTAATACTAATTAGATTGCTGATGAATTTACCAAGAATAATTCAGATTTAAATCTAACAAGCCGGGGACGTATCTTGATTGTTCAACAGATTTGATTAACAATGGAAATTTTGGATGACAGCAACCAAATTAATTGAACAGTCAAAAAGATGCTTCTAATGACTTGCTAAATTTTGCTTGTTTTCCCATTTAAGGTCACTTTTCATTTTTCATTGTGCTTAATTTAAAATTTGTTTGATTCTTACTAATGACGATCATGACTAATTTACCGTTGATTTGTGATAATTTAGTTTCATTCAATGATATTTACCATTTTATTCAATTGATACATAATTTAACAACCTTACGGTTCTAAATCACTATTAACAGTAATTCACATTGAGAAAACCCTTCTTGATTGAAAGTGAAAGCATAAAATGAGTTTTTGTTTCTTTTTTATCTCATATTGATTCTGTTAAAAATAATTAATTATATTTGAATCCATTTTGTTCATTATATCGTAAATTCTTTTGTTATTTATTCATTAATAATGCTTCCATTTTTTACGGTTTCACTCATTTACAGACGAAAACTGATTCAGAAAATGAAAAATGAATCAATTTAAAGAAATATCTGAAAAGGTTTTATGGATGAAAATATCATATAAGAGAGATTTATAAATTGGATTGAATTTAGGTTCAAATTGTTTTGTATTGGCGCGTATTACTTGAAATTTATCGAGCAAATTCAGTGAGAATCAATTTACTTGAAATATTTTTTAGAAATTTTTATTTCTACTGCGTATCAAAAGACTGAATTTGGGTCTTTTGACGAGTATTGATAAAGATCTTGAATTTTATTTCGATATAAATTAGGAAATTAGGAAATTGATGGATGTATATTCCTAGTTAATTGAAAGACTAACGAGTGAGTGAACAACCATAAACATAATTGACAATTTACACCTTGAATGGTTTGGAAAAGTCCAGGGCAACCATGAGAGATTATTCCTGATTAAATGGAGCAAATGATGGTAATGAAAATAATTAAGTTGAATGTTTTAATAGATATTGAAGGGAGTTAGAATAAATATTTCAACGCTTATTCGTTAAAAAGTACATTTTGAGTCCATTTTTTGCTTTAAGCTGGGCGGTCTTCAATTTTGATCATTCCAGATAAATCATAAATAATATATCATTCTTCATTTGTATCTGAAAATTCGTCATCTTGTTCATCATTTTCTTGAAAACCATCTCCATTCTCTTTAATTGAACCAGCTTTCTGTACACAATTAATCCTGTGAACAGCACAATGGATCCTGAAATAAACCATTGATTCATTCATATATTTTCGGTAATTTTTCTTGGCTCTCCGAAGCCAATCTAAACTTGATTGGAAATCTCCTTGAGTTCGATATATTAAACCAATTTCCATACAAGCATGAGGTTGCAGATAAACATAATATTCAAGATCACGGTCACTGTAATTGGATATAAAACGAAAGTAGCGTAAGTTATTAAAAGATTATTGTAGATTAATATTGAAAGGTTATTGCAGATTAATACAATGAGTAAATTTCAATATTACCATTGCTTGAAGAGGATAATTAAGATATCTTAAACAAATTCCTTTCATGAACATTAAATAATAGTATTTATGGTAATGTTTTGACTCTGTTGGAGGAAATAAGAAAACAATTAGTTAAACTTACTGAAAAACATGATTATTTTAGACTCACCTTTAGAGAAGTTTTTCATTTCTTTTTCAACTGTTTGTAGCAGTCTATCCAACATTTTTGGACATTTACCAAGGATCGGAAAAATATTCCAGATATAAAACAATTCCTGCAAAAATTGAATTGAAAATTAATATAGTGAAACAAAAATGAAAATGAAAATGAGTAATAAATTTGATTCTCACCATAACTGGTAAAAGTAGAGTTTCACCTTCTAAGAAATATAATTGTGATCTTTTAACTAGACTTTTCTCTAAATAAATGCTCTTTCCAGCAACTCGTCTCATTGATTTCGGTACTTGTCTAAATAAATGAATATAAATTATTGTGTTAAAAATCGTTGAATCATTATAACCAAATTGAATTGATAGGATCATTACTTCATGTTTTTGGAAATTTCTTCAGCCAGAATGGGGTCCTTTTTTTCAAGATTAACCATATATCTGAAACAAGCTTCCATATAAAGTGAGGTACAAGGCGACCATTTACAATCTTTTAACAATCGATTGGCAAAATTAGCAGCTTTTTCATAGTCACCCAAAATCCTGAGGAAATAATATAAAATGAATATCTTTAATTAGCAATCAAGTTAAATAAATGTTAAGACTAAACTAACGCATGTGAAAATGACAATCCCCAATAGCAGGCAAAATCAATCTGACTCCATTCCTTGGATGGACTTAATTTCAAGGCTTGATTATAATACTCGATTGCCTGTTGAAGAGGAAGAAACAAAGTAATTAAAACAAAACGTTCAATTGATAGTTGAAAAGTATAATAAATTATAATTAACCTCTTCGATTCGACCATTAACAAATGAAAACAATGCTCGATAAAATTTACCAAACCCACTCTAGTAGGATAAAGTTATATAGTTGATTAATTGATGAAAGTTCAAATGATTTATAAGTTTATAGTTAAGAATAGAGCAGAAAAAAAACCTTTGAGTAAATATCCCATGTTGCCAGAATCTCTTCCATAAAAGACATCTCAGGTTCACCAAGGCCTGTTCAAGTAGAAATAAACATTTCTTTAGACGATAATTGATCAACAATAGGAATTATTATTAACTGACCGAAGGTAAATTCAACTGTGCATTCATGAGCAAGGAGTAACATGGCAGCAATCGGACTCCTGAATCCCCAATCTCCAATTGAAACTTGCTTAAGATGGACAAAAGCTTCTTCTCGAGTTCCAGAGAAACCAAATAATTCAATCAATTTGAGGACTCGAGCAGGAATATAAGAAATTGCCTATGCCAAGAAACGAAAATCAATAAAGATCAAATTAATAAATGATAACATTTGGATCTTATAAATTGATAATTTAAAAAAACTGGTTACTTACCAGATTGAAAAAACCAGTTCCAATTCGAAGACCAGCTTCAAAGTTTTTCTTTGTGTACGGAGTTAACCAACTTTCTCTATCTTCCAATATTTTTCGGCATTTTCTGAAAGTAATTGAAAAGGACAGTTAGAAAATACTAGATAATGAAAAATTCAACAAAGATAAATACCTGTAAATATAAATTGTTTCACGTAACCTCATGACAACCTTTAACAGAGTTGAAAATGATTTTGCTCTTAAAACAGCCAACAATATCCAGCCGACATTAAGCTCAGCGTACATCATCTCAGCGTGACATTCCTCTAAGCATATTGAAATTGTAATTAGTAGAGTTGATATTGAGGACAAAATAAATACAATCAAACTGTTGATCATTCATTTGAAATATTTAGCCATTTTATTACCTTCAGTATAACTTGCTGCATTAACTGATCCCCAAATTTTCGAAACTAAACTGGTTTTACGTCGAGATCGATCAATAACTGCAATTGCTCTTTCAATTTTAGTAAATGCTTCATCTAGAATGGGCTTGAGATTTGAAATGTGAATTTTAATAAAAGTAATCTTATTTGGATAAATCTTATTATGTATTTACCTCTTCCATTGAAAAAAGAGCTCGAATAGCAGTTAAGGCTGCAGTTCCACACTCGAAAACAAAAGATTGATCTCGTTTTGATTCACATGCTTTCATGGCCTCATCAAACTGGTAGTTCATAAACAGATCAACATGAGCTCGACATTCACGTAAAATCGCATCCATGTCGACTGCAGTCACGTTATCCTTTGGTAAACTGTAAAAAATCATTCAAGTCATCTGTTATTTTATTTGTGCAAATTACATCTGATATTGGTGAAAATCATGGATAAGGAACAGATTAACAGATTTAACGAGTTAAGTAAATAATCGTTCAACTTTTCATGCATTTAGAGTCTGTGCTCCATAAGTCAAATTGGAATGATGTATTAGCCATAATCGGCAGTTGACCGAAGGATATATTACATAAAAGATCAATATCCGATACAAGCTCAAGTTGAGTCAACATACTTTAAGAAGTAAACTTGATCAAACGTTAATTTTCAAACAAAATTTCCTTGTTTGTAGCAATTTACTGTCTATTATTGTGTTTACAGAAAAGAGTTACTCTTTGGTTTACAGGTAATTATTGAAAAATAAGAATACATTTCCTTAATATTATTTTAATGTTTCTTCCAGTAATAATAATCTTTTGTTATTCAAAGGTCTTTGTACCTGAAATGCAAAGTTGACTTGCTGGTTCATTTCGATCATTTAAATACATTCAACTACCGGGTGTGGCATAAGTCAGGTACAGCATATTTTCGTGAATAACTTTTGCACCGATAGAGATATTTCAAAACGGTTTTTCTCATTGTAATCAGCGCTTCTTCGGTTGTCATTTGACTATATGCTAAAAGTGCCAACCTTTACTAGCGATCGTTCTGACACGAAAAACGCAAAATATTGTCTCGCAATGAAAAATTCGAGAATTGAAGTTTTTCTTCCTACGCCTTTATGGCTTAGTTGCAAGGGTGTTTCGACCCTTCGTGGCATTTGGTTAGTTCCGTTCAGCGGCTTTGATGTCTTTTTTGTAAAGATAATATTGTTTCATAAAAAATGTGCTATCTTGCCGCTAAGAAACGGCATTTTTCAAAATTCGAATTTTTAACGAGAAACTTTCACAAAACTCAACCGACGGCTCTAGAAAAACACCTAAAAAATTTGGTGGCGATAACTATTACAGTTGCTGAGAAAAAGCGGAAAATATGCTGTACGTGACTTATGCCACACCCGGTATATAATAAAGTTCATCTGTTTTTAACAAAAATTTTACAATAAAATCGAGATTAACTCACCCTTTGTTACCGTTAAGGTCAATGTCCAGTTGCTCAGTTGCATCTTCGAAGAGCTAAATGAAAAAAGCAAACAATGTTTATAAATTTTTCAATTGTAATGACTGTTGTGATGAATTAAAATGATTTAATAAAATTGTAGTTGGAAATATTATTGACATGAGTTGTTAACATGAGTTGAGTACATCAATATTACCGTATGATTTTGAAGCTTTGGAAGTTGGTTATCAATGAGCTTTCGAGGTTTGACAGGTTTATTTTTTACATTTGTGATGATTTTATGGCATAATCGCTAAGGTAATTTAAAACTGAGAAGTGCATTAGCAATGTTTCATCTAACAATTAGCTCATCTTTAATTTAAAATGATCAACAAGAGTAACCTTGTAAAAGTGTAATTTTAACTGATTCAGCCCCGAGTAATGAATGGGAAAAGGGTAAATTCAATTTTTAATTCAATGTTTACTAGATAATTATGTAATTGGGATTGGTGAATAAAAACTCAAAGCCTGAAGCTTTAATTATCAATCGTATATGAAATGAAATGAAACTTGTGTTGAAGCTTGAAAAACAGAAAGAGCTGAGTGATTTATATTTGAATTTACAATAAATATGATGGATAATTTTTCTATTGTTTTGCGTGATTGAGCTTGAAACAGGAATGAATCTTAAAATAATTAGACATTGCAGGGAACAATCAATGAGTTTTAAGAAATTCATAAAGCTAATGATCAAAAAATGATCAATAATGGGAAGCAAAGCCATTGGAAATATTTTTAGTTTGAAATTCAATTGACTGTTAAAAAATATATTCCCGGTTTTTATGGAAACTATTTTTGATCATTTAATCGAAAAGATTGGGTAATTAGTCTGGGAATCAACTTTAAATAGAATCACAATCAAAAATTAATTGTGGCGCCAAAGGAGATGATAAAATGATTGGTCAAAGCGAATGGAAATAATTTTCTAAATATAAATTTTCTTTATTGAATGGCGAAAAGGTTAATTATAAGCCAATTTGATTGTTGATTTACACAAAGCAACTATTCATTATTGTCCGGAATATACAAAAAAATCACTAATGGCTAGCCTTGATTAAAATTAAAAATAATATCAATTTTGATAGATGAATTTTCCTTATTAAAATGAGAGAACAGCTAACCTAACAGTGGATTAAGAAAATATGAAAGGATAGATGATTTAGGAGTAGCAAGTTTTAATTTTTACCGTTATTGTTCATAGACATTATTCATAATTTAAGTTTGTAAGAGCTAGGTATGAATCAAGAAAAATAGGGAGATGTTTTGGTAAACAAATAAATTTAGATTGACGGATTTCAAGAAATCTCGACCCTCGTCGAAGTGCGAAGGGTTATCCATTAAATAGTTAAAGCAATTGGTCGGAGGGTTGATAAGAGTACAGAATTTGTTTGAATGGTATATAATTAAATGAAAAATTTACCTCTTCGTCAGAATCATTGTTATCCAGTTGGTATTGACACTTGTTTTCCTGGGAAAAGCACACTCATTATTGATGAGGATGATCTACAAAGACTTATACAAGATTATACAATAAAATGGATGTCTACCAATGTATTGGAATGGATGAAGATAGTTAAAAGACACAACTGTAAAATTAAATCACAGTTTTAAGATGTTGATGGTTGAACGACAGGCAGATCAGTATTGATTATTGACTTGTTTGATAGTGATGATGGAGAGGCAAGAACGAAGAGAGAAAGTTGAGTGAGTTGCATAAACATATTCAGTTGTCTGCCTTGAACCCAGTGAACATATAGTTGTAAAATATAACCTTCCACTCAATTTATATAAATTGATCGTCATCAAAATTGAAAGGAAATTGAAGACAAAAATTCAATAATAAACTTGATTTACAATAATTTTTAGTTAATGGCAAATCTTAACTGTTTACTGTTTTTTCAGCTTCTGGGCACCTTCAGGATGTTTTGTGAACTAACGTGATCATATGTGATCCAATCACCTGGTCTACATGTTAAGATGACAAAGTTGATATCTGATTCTTATGATATAAAATATATTGTTTTATGGATCTTTTTCGTTGATTAATCTATTTTAATTCTATGGCAACACGATTAGTGAAGATATCTATCTGATATTTGTTTTTATGATTTGATAACTATAATAGTTTCATCACAATGGAAAAATTGGACTACTCAACAACTACTGTGAGCATTTACTGGATACAAAGATTCTAAAAACTAGACATCTTTCATATGGCACAACGTTATCGAATTAACCACGATGCATATCAAAACTATTTAAATATTGAGTGGAAACAGTAGAGATATTAATACTTAATATACTCATTCTGAACCCAATTTGGTGTAAATTGAACAGTTCAATGTGCATCGCATCATGTTTTACCAGCCAATATCTCCATCTATGTTCACTACTTTTAACCAATTGTCATTTACAATTTATTTAATGATTCAAACTGGCAATTATGGATTACACTAGTAGTCAGGGTTAAGTTAAGAAAATTGGAGATTTTTTTCATAGTCGCCATCTAACAAGAAATAAAAGTACCTTTAAGATCGAATTTACACTCACCTACCAAAAAGTGCACCTACCAGAAACTGCACATAAATTTTTCAATGGCCCCTATTAAGGAGGAGTTTTACCTACTTTTGAATTTTGTCGAATTTTGATTCGATTTCTTTAATTATCAATAGGGTTAATTAAATTTTCTTTCGTGAAATATCAACCCAAAAACTCATAAAATCAGATTAAAGCAAAATTTTTGGTTAAATTTAGTCTATTAAGGAAGATTGAAAATTCTGAATTATGCTGCTAGACGAATAGTATAAATAAGCTATTTCCAGCTTGGTGCAGTTTCTGGTAGGTGAGTGTAATTTTTCATAGATTTCATTGTTTTGTGTCTCTTAAAACGGTAAATACTCGAGATGGCGACACTTAAAAACTTAACTTAAATCTGACCCTTTTTTATTAACTTAACCCTGACTACTAGTGTATTGTATTTTATAAACCAATGGTCTAACAATCAAATGGCTTGGAGATCAAAGTACAAGAGTTATGGGTAGAACGTAGTTTGGAAAGACATGGAAAGACATCTGCCTTTGTTAACACAGTGACTTTATTGATTTCTTAATCATGATTGTTGTGTTAACATTTAAATGATTCATTAATGAACCTACGATATATGGTGGTCTTTGGAGAACAATGAATTACAATGGATTTTCATTGGAAACGCTGTCAGATATGGTCGATAAAAATAAGAAAATAACCGAAAATGTTGGACATTTTGTTTTACTCATAATTCAATGGGCTTTAGCAAAAATATGAGGAGACAAGAAAAAATGATTATCTTAAAGATAAAGATTGACTTGATTGTTGAATCCATTTATGAATCTATGAGATTATCACTATAAAAAATCACCACACCGAACATTTACGTATGGGATTCATTTTTGATCCTAATGGACAATTGAAAGTTGCTGAAAATTCTGGAATGTTGGACATTGGACCGATCACTCTGAAATATTAAACAAGAAAAAAAATTTAAAATGAAATACCAAACCATGGAAAGCTGATGCTTAATTTCATTTAAAATATCTGAAAAATTACCTGAACCTTCCTGGACTATGTTCATCTCGCAACAATTGGTTTTGGAGAGCTGATTTACTTTGTTTTTCACACCAAAACTGTAAAAATCAAGAGAAGAAGTTGATTGAGAATTCTGATCAAACCAATAGTCCAATCAAAACTTAAACCACATGATAATTTCATTAACTTACATTGGCAGCCCCAATCCAAAATAGTTTGTCGGGAGTGAATTCTAATCCTGGTAATGGCGGTTCTTGTGGTCTTCCTTTAGCCCAAGATTCGTAGGCCTGAAACAATTGAGTAATTTATTAACTGAGTCGATACGAGCAAGAAAAAAGAGCTTGAATGAAAGAAAATAAGAAAACTCGTACACATTCAAATTTTACTCTAATATGCGATTGTAATTCCGAGTTTTCTTGGTTCTTTTCTTGTCTATAACCATTTTCTCACCTTAAGAGCCAGCTTAAGACCACCGTTATCAGCCATATTTTCACCTTTACTCAAATCTCCACTAAGAGTCATGTTTAATTCATCAACGGAATACCCGTCATATTGATCAATCATGCATTGTATTCTTTATTCCATCGCTTTAAAAGCAATATATTCTGAGTTAAATTTAGATAATCCACCATTATCTAAATTTAACTGTAAAAAGAAACAGAAAGGGGTAAACAAAGCTGCAAATTAAATTCAAATTTTGCACAGAAAGGATTTATAAATACATTTTTGCAGAAAAGAAATTGCAAAATTTGATGAAAAAGACTTGCAATCATGCGTTAAAGTCGGTTTATAATCCTAAAACATTTCAGTAGTTGATAAGGCATCCACTAGATGGCATAATATGTAAAGGTGGTGTCATTGCAAAAGTTAGACTTCATTTAGAGATTGGCCATTTTCGATCGATCTCATCTGGAAAACATTCATTGAAACACAAAATTAACGACGTAACATAGATCACATCTAAATTTATAAATATCTCCTCTCAGCCAGCTCTTGTTGGCGCAAACGGTAACACGTTTGGCAGCCTACAAGAATTGTTAGGGTTCGAATCCGGAACAACCCCGAAAAGCTGTGCCCCCTTTCGTTAGGGTAGGTACTTCAAGTAGGGCTCGATGGGAAAGACTAGAACCCTGGGTCCTATAACTCTACACTATACTATCTAGTCTCGGCTAGATAGAGTGGCCTACTTTGAAACCTGTAGAAGTCCTCGTGACAGTCTCTCTGCGAAACTGGGACGGGTCCTCGGCTCTACCGGGGATCGCCTATTAAGCTGTAACACATTACAACTATTGCCAAGTAATTGGAATACACGAGGGTAAACTTGAACTCCAGGTTCCATCAGTTGTACAAGTTGACAAAGATTGGCCTACGAAATATAGCCGGGGGCTACAAAATATCGAGCAAGTGTTCAAAGGTATGAGTATTTCACCAAAACAAGACCCAGCCATTAGAGCGTTAGCCAGCCAAGCTAAAGGGTTACAGTGTACAATCTGCTGACATCTTGGCGGTAATTGACTTCATTGACTTGTACTCAAACAAAGTAAACGATCTGGTCAATTAACTGGTATCAATAGTTACATGTGAACAAATTGATCCTGGAATGATAACAGTATTTTTTTCTGTAAAGATAAAAAATTAAACAAATGAGTAATGCTAAAATGAAACATGGCGCCAATTATGATCACAAGATACAAAATAATGTCGCATATCCAAAAAGAAATGAATTTTTTATCAATTTTCAAATTATTTTTACTCTAAAGCAACTATTGCCAAGTGATATTAGTCAGATATTAAAATTTTAAGGTTACACATTTGGTTAGGGCACTGTGTGTTAAATTAACGGTCCTCCTTGTGTCCGTGTAACTAGACTGTTATCCAAAATTCACCTTCTTTTCAAGACTAAACTTATTAGACTTGCAATGTTTTGCTTGTCATCTTTTTAATTAAGTTTGAGAAATTATTTATAAAACATAAAAAAGACTGGGCGAATGCTATTCCATGGTCTCATGTGGTTCAAATTTTAATGCTCAACATGACTAACTCGATATTTATTAAGCATGATCAGAAGAGGAAATAATTTTATCGATTTTATACCAAAAGAAAGAAGGAAGTCAGGCATAGAAAAAATGTCTAAATGAATGTTATCAGCGCAGGGAATTTGGAGTTGACTTTGTTTCTTGATATTTCTCTCATGGCTCTTATTCATCAATGATTTCCTCAGATGTTGATTAAGTGTAACATCCAGTTTTGTTAATAATCTCTGGAACCATGAATTTGACTATTGCCAACAGTATCGTCTAATTGTTTTTCTTCCCTTGTTAACTTTTCTTTATTTTCCCTTTTCTTGTTTTGGTTATTACTCTTCCTCCTTTTCTCAGTGTTTATATTGTCCACTTGTGTTCATCAATTGTTTGATGTAACCCATTGAAAAGAGACGAAATGCAATTCCAATTGATTCATTTCCTCATCTTTCTTCTAACCCTAAACCTTACATCATCAAAGGTAAGAGCTCAGAATTAGATCTTGTACTCATTATACCCTTTACCATCCTCTTCATATCTTCACTTTTACAATATCATTCATTACCGTTGTCTTTGTTATTATCACCATTTATTGGTCTTTTACTTGACATTTTATTTCTATCAAAGAATAATCACACTTAGATCATCGTCTTGAAAAATTTGACCACCAGTTAAATTATATCAGCCAATAACATGATAAAACAGCCTCTCAGTAAATAAATAACAGAATAATCATTGTCATTTAGGAAGCCAACCTTTTAACAATGCCAAATGTGTTGAATTGAACGAGAATCTATGCTTGAAACTCCCTGAATGAAATCATTTAAGTTATCAATTTACGTTTCCTTCTGACTATCAGTTACTGCGAAAATTGTATTCTCAATCTGAAATTTGCTTGATTTAACTCTAGCATCGATCACACAAATTGAATTGTCCAATAACCAAAAAATGTCCAGTCCATAAACACAAAATTTGCGGATCCGATGGTAAATTATATGATTCACATTGCCATCTGAGGTAAGTCATCATTTTTACGAAGCTTTAGCTCGATCCAATTTGCATTTGTTCATTGATTCAGGAATGAGAGCAATTAATCTGAAAGTAAAACACGGAATTAGATTTTTTTCATTTAAGGAAAGATTCAATCGACACAAAAATTAACCTTCTTAATATTTCAATTTTAAATTGAGACAATAATGTTTCATTTTAACCTTAATTAACTCATGATCTCAACTCTATCGAACTAATTCATCGATTTAATAAGCAACATCTATTTTTATATCAATACTATCCTGATCAATTCTGCATTTTCCTTTCAATCAATGGGAATAAAAGCAAAAGATTGTTACCCATTAATTAGTAACATTCCCAATTAAGATATCTAATACATTAAGACATCGATAATAAGAAAACTTGAATAATAACAAGTCAGAGGTTAACATGCATGTAAATCAGCACATTAATATAAAGGTTGAGAAAATCTTATTAAGGTTAATTTGTTAATGTACAACATCATCAATTGTCATGCTTTTATATCTTGTTCAGGCAAATCAATTTGAATACAGTAAGGTACTTACATTGGTGGCAACAAAATATTACATCAATCCATCCATAAATATTGTTAATTTAAATTAAATTTTCTTGTTTCAAATTAGCAGCTAATTAGCAGAAAACAATCATTTTTGCCATCAGTCTTTTTTTCACTCAAACAAATTAAATGATTGTTTAATTAGTTCTGCATCAGTTTCTTTCTGGTAGGCTGGTAATTTTATATCTCCTAATGGTTAATGAGATTTGTTGAAAAAATTAACATCTTCACATAATGATAGGTTAATGTTAACATAATGGCGCACAAAAATGGTCTCATTTCATAGAGAAAGACTTACCTCTTTTAATTATTTTAAAGGTTACAGTAAAAACAATCATGTTCAATTTGAATCTGATAATCGTTGAAATAACATTTTAATAAAAATAGACAACATAATCAATAGAGAATCAACAATTAACAAGGAAAATGCAATTTAATTAATAATTAGAAGGAAACAAATTGAAAAAGTATAAGCCGTTAACTTGCAATGTGAGGGACAATTGATAAAGTGCAGTGAGTATATTGGGGAGGCTAAAAAATTCAATACTGGAGGATCTTTTGATCAGCAAATCATTAAATTAACTTTAATGCTGATAAAAACAGCCATTAATTTAACGAATGCAAATTGGAAATAAATGTTTGGCTGATAATTTGATTATTTATCTGCATTTGTCTGTTAATTAGGAAAATATCATGTGAAAAAGGGATTCAATTGAGACCAGTCCATCCAGATCAATGTGATCCCAATGAGGATAATAACAACATAGAATCATCTCCGATCGATGATTGTGAACCTAAACAGTATGACTTGATGAAACAACAATTGTTCCAGAAAGGTAAGAGTTAATTAATCACTAACAAATAGTCAAATCAACATCTAATAACTGTTATCACTTGTATAATGCCTTAATTTTATCACCATCAGGGGATAAACAACAATTTAATAGAGAAGCAAAACAATATGCAAAATAAAACGTTAAATATTTTCCAGTTTTTTTCCATTTTCTCATTTAATCATCACTTCTGAGGGTAAATTGTAGTTATTAGTAAATAGACTTTGTCAATAACTCAGAGTAATCTAAAATTGATTCCTAAATCATGGTAAAAATAATCATCAATCCATCATAAAATGATTAACTTCTCACGTTGTCCTGTAATCAATACAGTTAACAATGTTGATGATCAAGCTGGTCATAAAGTTGATGGTTATAATAATGCTAGTTTCAATGTTAGTTGATGATTATGATGATGGTTTCAATCAGTCAGTTGATTAATGTTTGATATTTTAGTCCAATGTTACAAAATGATTGAAAAAGATGTCTGGTGATTTTTGGTGTATTTTTTGTTTTTCAATACATTTAACTCTCTGGACATTTTAATGATGATTTGTTGAATCGTTGATAATCATGATCAATTCTTGGTTTCTAACAACAAAGTAAAGAACCAGAAAGATTATAAAAGTGATTCATTTTAATTAAGATTATCCATTTTGTGACAACATTTTACTTTTTTCTCATTAATCTTTATTCATGTTTGCCACTTCATCACATCTGATTGATCCTATTTCTTGATCCAACGTCAAATGAGTATAAATTAATCAGTTTTTTTAATCATCAAAAGCAACTTCAATTTAAATCTGTTGAGACGATAGTTATTGATTTAAGATTTTCAACAGATGAAATTAACCCATTTGAACCAGACAAATGAACAGCAATTGATTGTCAATCTGATTATTGTTGTTTTTTTGGTTGAGTTACAGTTGCTGAGACAATCATTCTGTAATAGTTACTGTAGTATTAACCATTTTATCAATTGTGGTCTAACATTGTTAACACCTAACAACCTTTAATTTAATTAGGATCGTATTACCAGGAAAAGAAGGCAAAAAAACTGGTAAAAGTAGAGAAACTAAGTAAACCTGAAATTAACCCAATAATTTTGGGTTGCAAAGGAAATGGTTTACTTCAATTGTGTATCTATCATAATGAAAATAAAATTACTGAACTACAATGGATGAAAATTGATGAGATAAACATTATGTTGATGTTTAGATTGTTACAAATAATGAGCTGACTGTAAAAAAAGCGAAATGTAAATATTATTCCGAATGATAACCAGAATATGGAACATTATTTTCATGTCTATTCAGGATCTGAGGGACTGATGATTGGAGACAACCAATAATACCAAATGATGATATTTTTATGAAAAGTTGAAGATAACTGTATTTCACTTTGTAAGAAGAAGACTATTTTTGTATTAAAGATTCTGATATTGAGGAATAAAAATTTTTCATTTGATAATAGACGACTTTTAACATCAAGAAGTTTATTAACAAGACAACGTTAATAATGGGTTTAGCATCAGCAGAATTACCAGGAGCATCATGAAATAAGAGAGTAAAAATAATGTTAAAGATGATGAGTAGAAAAATGAAGAGAATCAAAGCTTATTGATCTATTTCTTAAGCTTTTCACAGTTGGAGTTGAACGCTGTTGGGCTTATGGTTGCCTTTTTTCATGATAAATGTGATGATGATGGTGATGATAGGGAAAGAGTAGAGGATCGAAATGATGAGTTTTAAAGAAGAAAAAAAATTGAAATGGAAAAAGGAAAAAGTTATTAGAGAAAACAATGTATCTTGTAGAAGAAAAGAGTTGAAATGTTTCGCTTATGATTTTGATTTTGATTGAAACATGGTGAGTTTGATGATGATTAAGGAGGAGTGAATCAAAATTTATTTTGTCAATTGATGTCAATTTATATTAAATTATAAATCAATGCAACTTGCAAATTGCTTTTGAACATCATCACCATTGACTCAATTGATTATTGTTGACTCTTTTTGTTGCACACACACACACACACACGAAATTGTATTTACTGTCTGTCTCTCTTTTAACATTGCATTTTTTGTGTCAAAATCAAAAATCAATTACACTTCAACTTATCATCTTCACCATCCCTATCATCATCTTCATCTTGTCATGAAAACTCCAACTCAACTTGAACAAGCTCATGTTATTATCTATTCTGAGCACTTTTTTATCAAAATAATGTCCCAAATTATTTTCCTGTTATCAATCAAACTAGAGCAAAAATGTAAGTTCATCATTAATGACTATTCAATTTTACCTTTCAACAATTTAACCTTAACAAGATGATATAATAACAATCATCAAGATGGTGTTTTATTGTTGATGATGGTATTGGTGATGACAATACTTCATCAAGACAACGTTTCAATGTTTACCAGCAAATCAAGAAGCTTAACCATTTACATATCCAACTCATCTTGGCCATTTCCTCAAGCTTAAGGCAACACACATTAGATCCATTTTGACATATCTGACTTCCATTTATCTGAATCTTATTGATTCCTTGAGATCTGGTTTAATCCAAATGGTTCAATTATGATTCTTGATGGATATTGGTTTGTCCTTTGCAATGGTTACCACAACCTTGATCAATCTGAAATAACATTAGGAATACAGATTAACCCTTGAGTTTATCTTGTTTACACAGTATAAAAAGCACATAAGCTTTGTCTTACCTTTGCCACTTGAACCGTTTCCCTCCAAATCTTGTAACCAAAACAAAACCCGATTTATTTAATCGTATCTTTCAGCTTTCCTTTATTTCACTACTAACCACTCAGTTATATTTATAATGGTTTTTAGAAAGAAAAAGGAAATTCTAATCAAAATCATGTTCAGAATTTTGAAAATCAGTTAACAAAAAACAACTAAAATCACAAGTTGAAACATAAAGGATATCAAGCTTGTAACAATTACATTAATGGCGTCTTAGTAACACTTTGGTTTCTACTTTTGGAGGTTAATTTAAAATTTACAATTTCCTCACCTTTTCGTATTCCCAACCATTGGCGCAATTAAATTGTCATTTATAATCATTATTTTTATATCTAAAATCATTTGTTATTAAATTCAATTTCTTCTGCTTAAATCAGATAATTAATTGAAAGTGAACAAATATGCGACTTGAATAACTATTGAAATACAATCAACTGTAAACTTGGCTTATTGTTTCAACTAAACATTAAACCTTTCACTATCAATCAATAGCAGTTAAAAATAAAACAACCAACTCTGCCTAATAGAACAGAAAACAACAATTTAACCAAAAACCTAAATGAAAAGGTAACACCAAATGTTGGCAAACTAAATTATTAACAAGCAATGGTTAATGTGTTAATCATTATTCTGGCCTGTGTTATGAGTTTCCCTTTAATATTAATGGTTACCATTTAAATATTCATGAACATGATTATTCAGATGATTAATAAACATAATAGGAAAGGTATTATTAACGTAATTATTTTGTATTCTACATGTAATAATATGTTGTTATTAAACGATGTTTAGTCAAAGAATAGACTTGAAAAAGTAGAATCAGATTAACAATTTAATTAGTAATAGCACCTGAATTTGAACAAACATTAAAATTAACAAATGATAAAACCTTTATCCATAATCATGATCATTAAATTCAATGATTAGTAAAACGAACCAAAAAGTCTAAAACAATCAAATTCAACCAGAAACTGAAAGATCAACTGTAAACCTGATTATTGCTAATAATTTACACTTTTTAATTGCTATTTCAATGGCTGAATTTTATAATAACTCAAAGTCAATTGCAAAAATTACTATCAATAAATATTTATACTGATGACCAGAAAAGATTAATTTTGGGTTTGGGTTTGGTTTCCCTGAACCTATTCATCCTAACTAAACAGATATTAAATCTCTATGGAAATTACAATGATTATGATTAAGGCCTTCGTTGTAGCTTTTGGTTAAATATGATTAAAGTGTAATTGATGAAAGTCCCGAAATTGGTTTTAACCTTTCACTCTGGCAGGTTAACACCAGCAACTTATCAAAATGCTTTTACTGTCACAAAACCTGCGATTGTCTGAATTAATGATTTAATGATCAGTAAATTAATACTAACATATTAACATTGAAAGAAAATATGTGATGAAAATGATTAAATAAATAGCCAACAATTACTCAAAATGGTCAATCACTTAGCAACTCTCCAAATGATTTACCAAATTTCTGGTTTTAACCCAATTGTTGCAAATAAATCACAAAACTAATACAATAATTGCAATATTAAATCATGTTAATCTTAACCATTTGATTAATACGTAATCACATTTGTGATTATGATACTAAATATCTTTTTTCTGGTTTACCTTTTTTTCTCTGGTCAAAATGGGTAATCATTACCTAAACCAGAAAAAAGCTAAATCATTACTTTAGGTTGGTGATTAGCAACCAGATAATGATTGATATAAATTTGATAACAATCCAAAATGAAACCCATTTTCTGGTTAAATCAAAATAACCCTCCAAAGGAGTTCGGAGTTGAAAAGGTGAATTAGATTCTACTTTTATGATATTGTTTAACCTGTCTAGTTGAACTCAATTTAATTAAATTAAATTCTCAGTTAATTTAAATATTTTATTAAAATTATTATTTTCTTAGTTGATTAAAATTCAACTGTAATAACCAATTTAAATATACTTTATTATTTTTGTATTTCAATAGGAAAAGTGCAAATTTTCATTTCAATTTTTCACTTTTACCCAAAGAAACCAGAAAACGGTAACAAGAAGATGAAAATGAAAAAACATTTCAATCTTTTCCTTTTATCTGTTTATTTGTTATTTAATATTTTTAAACAATTTAACTCCCAACCATTTATCATAATCATGATAACTATTATTGAATATTTCATTTGCATACACAATTCTTACAGATTCATTCATCATTCATTGTTTATCATCATCAAAGGCAGACTTTGTCCCATTTTATCCTTTTATTGTTAACGCTTTTCAATTACAGTTGACAGATTTAAATTAAATCCAGGTTGAGATTTATGAATGATAACGAAAATATGCATCAAATTGAATTGATTAATCAACCTGATTACCATTGAACCAAAGATAAATTTAATCCCTCAATTGTTTCCCAGTGATGAGGAATTGTGATGAAAATTCATTTTTTATCCTTAATTTGTATAAACATTTTCATCGCCTTTTCTTGTTATTTACCAGTAAATGAAACTTACACATTTGGTTATCGAATCTCAAATTTTTGGGTTTCCTTTCATGAAAGAAATGATATTATCAAGAACCATAATCATTATACTTATTGTTACCATGAAAAGACTGGGATGGGAATAAGTTCAAGAAAAGGTTTACTTTATAATGGATTATTTTGATATTTTCAAATTCGATTACCAAAAATCATTACATTCTTTAGGATAATAATCATCCAACAGTTGATTCAGCTTTTGGATTAGCAATTGTTAAGCTGTTAAAAGTAACTTTACAACATTACATTAAATTGACCAAAAATTTCAATAAATTAACTCAATTAACTTCAGTGTTTTAGCTAATTTCAAATGCAATAACCTTTGGTTAGTTCAACATTTTCATGATTACATTCTTGGAAATAGCTTTAGAGTAAAAAATTTTGTACACAAATCATTAGTGAAGTGAATATGTGTTTACGCTTCAACTACAATCAACATCATTTTACTTTAGATTTGCCTTCTTCTTCATCATCTACTTTATTCCGGTTCTTCTGAGTTCACCCTGAACAAGACATTCTTTGTGAAACAAATCTGGAATCAAAACAGATTCAAAAAAGCGAGTCTATCAATTGAATGGAAAGTTGAAAGGCAACAAAAAGAAACAGAAACAGTGAAAAAAATGCCAAAACAGGTCAACCATTATTATCATGGAAAGTAAGAGGCAAAAAAGGGTTTAAATGGTGAATAATCAAAGCTTGATGATGACCAATAATCAATCATTGACAACGTTTCATGATAAATCATAGTCTCTCTATCAACACAGTCCAGTGAAAATTGAATAACTTCGAGTGAAACATTTTCTGCTGTTTTTGGGTTTTCTCATTATTCAGTTAATTATTCTTGAAATTATTGCTCAAATTCATTCATTTCCCTCTCCTGGTTAGATTAGTGAAGCTGAGTAAATCAATAATTGTAATCAAAGCCACAAAAAATGGTCTTAAACCTTGTAAACATTGGGTTTTCCTGTTGGACCTTTTTTGCCAACTTGATTATCATTATATCTGACAAGCAAAGTATTCATTGGAATCCATTGAATCGATCAATCATGATGGGTTAACCATAGGCAAATATCTTGACTATGAATATGGATAAAGCCGAACATAAAAAGCAATTTGACTTAATGCTGTACGAACAGTAATGTTCAATCCTTTTGTGTAATGCAACCAGAAAATGTTTTTCTCGTTCTTTACACATTGTTTGATAGTTAAAAATCAAACAATTGTGACTAATTAACACAGTGATCAACATTAAATTGATATTCACAAATTAAAATGAAAAGTAACTGTTCAAATCGTGAATTACAGCTTTAATATTATAAAATTCTTTAGCATTACCAGAAAATAATACATTTTAAAGCTAAAATAAACTTACTATGATTAAATTTCTGAATACATATTGTCCAGTTCTATTAACAGTCTTGTTTGTCAACCAACTGGACAATGGAATGGACCAGTGCCACAACGTATTCCTCAACCCAGATGTCCCAATCTAGTATCACTAAATGCTTTCTCATTTTATCGAGGAAACTGTTAGAATGCCAAGAGAGATATTTGTGAATTATCTTACGCCGCTTCTGGCCAAACAAGAGTTAATTGTGATTCAAATGGTAACTGGGACTCAGGTTTAGGTAATTGTGTACCAATAACTTGCTCGCCGCCAACTACTTTGCCTGACATGGAGTATCGTTGGCACATAAAAAGTATGAACTGTTAGCAGAAAGGCAATACAAAATTAATGAGAAAGAAGAAAAAACAATATAACAATCAAAAAGTTTTCTTACATGGCTGTATCCTATCATACAAGGTGTTCAAACGGGTAGGTCAAAAAGTAAACGGCTATATCATTAGAACTGATTTGTTTATTGATTTGAAAATTTGCAGATAAATAGATTTTCATGGATGATTCATCTAGAATTTCAAATAATAATAGCTCATAATAAAATCTAAAGATTAGTCTAAGAATGATGATTAAGCGTGATGTCATTCTCAAAATATTGAGGCTCAAATTTTAAAGCCAATGGCCAAAATCAAGAGAACTGTGGATTAATTGAAAAAATTGTTCGATTGTTGACATGTAGTAACAATTTCTATCGACAAATACAAAGTTCCAGCAATCTAATTCTTACGGTCACAGAATGCGGAATTTTTAAAGGAAAATCGAATTTGATCTATTATAGAGAAACACAAAACTTTATTTCTCAAAATAAGTGCATTTTATGGTTAATAATAAAAATTTACATCAGTAAATTGAGTTTCATGAAAATATCTTCTTCCGTAGTTGTACAAAAGCCGATTGAAGTTTCAACTTTGGACTCGATTCTCCCGAAAACTGTCGATCGGAGGAGTTTTTTAATTGCACTATTAGACGCATTTTTTATGTCCCTACAAGCTAAAAGAGTCTATATTTGAAAGAAATTAAGTTTCGCCTGTTTTTGTCCATTCGTTCTTCAGTACTTGTTTAGATTTGTGCATAAATGTGACAATTGAAGTGTTATGTGTCCTTTTAGTAACAACCTTCATAACTGTTTCATAACTTCATAACAGTTTTTCAATGTGTGGGCTTCAATTTTTCATTTTAAAACGCTTATATTGAATAACTTTTGGTGATTCATTAAATTTTATAGTTAATCAACTTGTCATGATGAATATCGATTGAAATTACACTTTAGCTAGCTTATTGTTATTTAGGATTTACTACAAAATAACCTCTTGATATAACTTCAAATAGCAAAAACGACTCTTTTAAATATCTTTTTAGACTCATTTTCATTTGACTTGAATTGAGAATTGACTTTCACTTCGTGTTGATCTATTAAATGGTGAAAAAAACATTCCATTTCTGGTCACAATTAGTGGTTAACCTCTGATTCTAGTGTTAATTTGATTAGCATTTATGAGTTTTCATCAGTTTTGTGTATTTGATATTTCCGATCATCCTCAAGCCTGCAAACCAAAACAAACTTGGTTACTGGACAGACTGACCATCCAACAGTTATTAACCTGAATAAACTGAGTCTCTTCATGTTTACCCGTCAGTTGATTATAGCTTTTTGTTTTGCTTTTTTCCCTCACATTATTGGGTTGAAACAAAGCAAACATTGATTATGATGAATCGATGATGAAAGCCACTATTAATATTAACCAAAGTAATTACAGGTTCACAATTAATCAACATTTACCCTTTCAACTATTATTTGATCATAATTTTTGTTCGCAAAAATCAATTGAAATAGCTTGCTGCTTCAAATTACCTTTTATATGCGATAAATCAAACAAGAAATAGCTGATCTTACTCAAACCCTACAACCTTTCCAAATGAAAGTTTCAAATTTCAATCAATAATCATAATCAAGCCTGAAATGCTGCCAACCTAATATCAAATTGTTGTCATTTGCTATTGTGATCAGTAAATTACCATTCACAAGTCACTCAACTTGAAGCGAAACTCCAACATAAATGAAATAATTGTAATCAATAGATTATTATGAATGAAAATTGTCTCTAAATTGTTGTGTATTTGCTTAAATTGCTTTCATTCGTCAACCCATTTTAAACAATATTGTTTGCCTTTCCAGTCATTTAGCTCAATGTTCAACATTTTACTTTCAAATGGCATTTCTTAATCAAATAAAGTTGTCTAAATGAGTTTTATTCTTGATCTTTTGATTGTTGATAACTCAATTCACAGTGAGAATTAGGAATGAAAATTTGAATTGAAATGAAGCAAAAAGTAAATCAAGGAGTTGAGTTATCACTTGAAACAGTTTTATTGATATTATTATAATGATCTTACTGTTTCTTCATGTTTTGGCAAAATAAAACTCAATCTTTCATTGAATATGAAAACTCAAATCAACTTTGCATTTTGAGGAAAAAAAATCAAAATTTTACCTTTCAAATCACTTGAGCTTTGTTCAAAAAAGTATAATATTATAATATCCAAGTTGATGTTTGTTTTCAACTCATTTTTGCTCATATTCAATAGACTACAATCAGATAATCGTTATAAATTGTACCTAAATAGTTTATAGCAAACTCTGAATCTTTACTATTGATTGTCAGCTAAAAATGTGTCTAATGGACATTTTGATCAACTTGTTATAAATTGTATCAACGAAAAGTAAATAAAGAGCAATTTCAATATAAACAAGTTTCCAAGAATCAATCATTTAATCACCATGATAACTTTGAATCAATAAAGACATTCTAATTGAATTTAAATGTCAAGGTTCACTTGAACCAGAAAATAACCAGAAAACGTCTTTCAATATTGAAATTAAAATCTTCATCTCAACTTGTTCAATTATGATTCTGTTTTAAATATTAATATTGAACCAGAAACTGAATTGGATCATTTTAGATCATTTTAGGAATGATAATAATAAAATTGAAAGACTTGAATCTTTTAAAGATTATCTTGTGTTTGCCTTAATTGTGAACAATTAATGCTTCTGTTTACATATAATAATGAGAAACGTCCATCACTATCTTACTTGTATTGTTATGAATTAATGTAATTGGATAAGTAAACTGGGAATTGATACAATCCCAATGAGCTTGAATCTTCATATTCATTTATTATCATCACAAAAGGATTACAATTGAGTAGATGGAGTAACACGTCAAGGCATCTTGATCATGTTAGATTATTAAGTATTGTTTATTTTGATTAAGGTAAAGGTTTGCCTTGGAGTAAATTAATATCTTATACAACAATCAAATTACAATTGTTTGCTTTAACCATTTCAAGATATTGTTGACGGCAATGTGAGAAATTGCAGCCTTTGTCTACAATTGATTGTGGTTAATTGTGAAAATGGTGAACCATTAATGTAGTTTGCTGAAGGAAAAGCAATGTTTTTTGTGATCAGACTATTGATTAGTTGGCGACTATTTAAAGATATTCAAAATTTAGTTGAATTTGATTGTCGATTGAAAATGTTTAACAATGCTTTTGTTGTTGTCAACCTTTTTCAATCACAATTACGATCATCTTTTGAAACCATTTATGATTCCAATGATCAATACTTTAAACATTAATTCATGTGAAACATTGTTAACCAAGAAATGACTTTCCATTTAGACTAACAATGAAAGGGTAAAAATGGTATCTCAAAAACTGGGAATGATTATTATTGTGATATTATTAAATCGATTCCAGTTTTATCAGTGAATCTCAATAATAATGAAAAAATAATAATGAAAACAGTAATGACAATAGTAATGTAAAAATGGTTAATGTTGATATTTAAATTGGTCTTGTTTTTGATGCGCTTTGTAACCCAAAAATATTGGATTTGCAAATGAAGCTAATGGAAGCTGATGATGAAAAACAAAAGCTTTTTACATTCAATCATTTTCATTATCAATTTTTGGTTCTTCTCATCTGAATCTTTCCAATGAATCTGTAGTTATCTTAGGAGGAGATGATAAATGGTTCAGGTTATTGGATGAGAACAGGAAAAAAGTTGTAACCAAAAAATGGAAACGATATAATATTATTATTTACTTGGGTTAAGATATCCTAAAACTTGGGAGTGAAACAAAAAATGTTAACCTTTAGGAAGCAAAATAAAGCTAAAAGGATAAAGATTCTTGTGAATGCTTTTTCAATGTTATTTTCCTTCTTTTCTTGATCACATTTTCAAACTGAACCATTTTACAGGGTAAATAACATTATCTGAGCTATTATTTTACTTTAAACTCTGTTATTTATTGTCATTGTTGTTATTATTATCACTTTGATTTTGTTCATTGCCAGTTTTCATATAAGATTATCTTGTTTCATTATAAAGTCCATTTAACATCTATTTTATGTTTTCTTGTTTTTGGGTTTTGTCAACAGTTTGTCAATGAAATATTGATTTAAATCAAATTTGTTCATTAGTGTGAATCAAATCAAAAATCTTCATGTTTACCTTTGATAGGATTGGAAAGGAACAGTGAAATGGCTTTGAATCGGAAACTTTTCAAAATGGTTGATCTTTAAGGTTGGGAGTAAATTGGAAAGACTAATCAATTACTCTAAATATAAATTTATACAGAAGCTAGATAACAGTTATTACAATAAGATTAACAACTAACAATCCTAATTTAGAGTCTTATTAATTGTTTGTTTATTTTCAGCTGGCAATGATGTTTCGTTACTGTTCACACAATTAGATGAAAATAATGATGGATCAATCAATATAAATGAGCTTTGGCGTAAATCAGCTTTATATCGGGTAAATTGAGTTCCATGGACTTGCATTTATTCCCATCTTGTTTATTCCATCTTTTAATTGATAACCTTTATCTTTACCATTCAGCCTGGTGTCAATTCACCTTGCATTTTAACAGATTTACTTCAACATGAAGACAAAAATCAAGACGATTTCCTTGACTTTAATGAATTTCAAACTGCATTCAACAATTTATTTAGTGAGTATCACTTATTGATTTAACTTTCAGACAATTTTTCTTTCATAAAAGCATTAGCAAGCTCAAAATTCGTTCAGTATTGCGAATTCAATGCAGTTTTGCTTGGATTTTACTGTTATGAAAGTGAATTTCAATCGAAACTTCTCTCTGTTTTAACAGCAATCACAATGGTTACTTTGGATCAATCGCTTGCAGTCAACACAATTCAAGCTCATCAAGGAGACAATGTTGAGATACGTTGTGATATTGTTGGAAATCCTCAGCAACCTGTAATAAAATGGCATCGACACAATGTCGATCTCAACACTTTACAACTTCCAAATGTCAAGGTAATCAATCTGATCAAAGTGCTCATTTACATTAAGGAAGAAGCAACTTTAAAACTGACCACTGTTCTGCTCTAAATTGTCTTTTGACACAAGATTAATGGACATTTTAGGACTAGGAAATAGCCATGATTGATTAAGAGTTTCTCATTATTCAAACTTTAGATTCCAGATAAACTTTCAATCCAAGCGAACCTTGCAAATAATTTCATATAACAAACAATTAAAACTGTAGTCTAACTTTTCTCAATAGCTAAGATCAAAAGAATACTAAGAAAGATTTAAATATTACGTGAGAATAAATCAATAGCTACACATTCAAATTGAAATAGACACTGAAAATTAACGAACTCGAGCTAAAAGAATCATTCGACGATCATAATTGTATCGAGAGTTTAATTAAGCTTAACCAGTGTAATTCATCCATTTTGATCATTTTATTTCTTGTGTTCACAAACTTTGACACAAACCCAGACGAAAGTTTACGAATTGTTTTTGCTTTAATAACTTTTCAGAATGGTTTCTAATCATATTATTCACTGATTTACTACAAATATGAATCCCAATTCCAACTAATTTTGCAAATGAAGTGACCAAATTACCAGATTGTAGAGTCGATCTTGAAACCTTCATTGAGTTCTGTATGGTTCTAGTTTAATGATTTGATAGTTAACCGATTATGAAGAAGTCCATAAAAAATGGTTTATTTTCTACTGAATTAAAAGCTCTTCAAAACCAGGATAATAATGCTTCCAAAACTCTTATATGCAGCTTTTTGTTGCAGAAAAGTACATAAACTGATAATTTTCTGGTTAAATTGCAGTATTACTGGGCAGAAAAGGTGAAAAATTGAATTTTGCGATTTCTGTTTTTGCAAGTTTCATGCAATCAATCATCATAATTAAATGAATACCTAATTCTCAACTGGCTAGAATGATTAACGTCAAGTTGATTACATTTACAATTTATTTTTGCATTCATAGAAGAAGTAAATTCATTGTTTTTTCTGGTTCTCTTTGAATGACCAACTTTTAATTTTACGCCTTTTTGTGGCAAAAAAGGATCACAATTAGTTGACTGTTGGTACGAAATGAAATGGCCATTGTCAGTTAATAAGATTACAAGGGAAGAGCAGGAAAAGCAAGCCAAGCATGAGTTTTGAGTCTACATTAGTGTATTAGATAGAAATAATAATATCATGTATTCTTGTTGGTCGATTTAATTGGAATGAAAGATGTGGAAGAGAAGAAGAAAAAAGATGAAGAAAAAGATAAATAAGATGAAAGTGGGAAAAGGAGTTTAGTTGAAGATGGAGGGAAGAGAAGAGCCAAGAGGCCGAAAAAAAGCATCTATTATCAGGATCATGAAATGGATGAACAAAAAAGGAACCAGTCAAGCTTAACCTTTATCACAGTTAACGTTGATTCCTTGTCAAATTGTTAACCAACAAGCAAATGGTCAAAGTGTCACGTTGAACAATCTAAAAAGGAAATTGACTATTCTCAATAAATAAGATATTATTTCTGTATTTCAACGTTTATAATGTGTTATTAATGTTCACTCCAGTTTTATATCAGCTAATTGAGTCTCTTCTGCCTTTTTTATTCTCATATTTTCTTCCCTTTATTTCCATCCTTTTATCCTTTTCTCATCTTCTTGTTTTTATCTTTACCCTTCCAAGTAATCATCATCATAATGCTCATCATTTTCATTTCTATCTTTTTCTAGGTTTTCAGCGATGGTTCGCTGTATTTGACCAACGTTCAGGTTCCATTATCCGGGAATTATACTTGTTCTGCTGAAAACAATCCCATTATCAAACAAATCCATATTCTTCATGTTATTGGTAAGCCTTTTCCATTGCCCAAAATTATTAACCCAAAAAAGCATTCCCTTTTCACCGCCTTTACACATTAACTTCATTCCCATTTTACAATGATAGCGGTTAATTGTCATCATTTCCTTGTACTTTATATTGTTGATGGTTAATATTATTGTTGATTCTTGTTTATTTAATTCGCAGTTCCACCGATTGTTGAGGTAACCCCACATTTCCAGTGGTCAGCTGTGGGTGGTAAAGCATCAATTGACTGCCAATATGAAAGTTTGGATGAAGAGCTTGAGATATCTTGGTACAAAAATAATGAAATGTTGGAGTCTAATGAGAGAACCAGTTTAACCCAAAATCGAACCAGAATAACTATATCACAGTTAACCCGAAGTGATACTGGTGCTTACTCTTGTAGGGTAACTAACAGAGGAGATGCTGCTTTAGGTCAAGATATAAGTTCCCTCCTTGTCCAGGTATTATGATTTGTTTCCTTTACTGGACATCATATTGAATCTTAATTTTTATGACAAAATTTGTAAAGTTATTTGAAAAGTTGTTAACAATTGATAATTTGCTTTCCATTAAACAATTGAAGGATGATCCTGTTGGTCCACCTTCCAATCTAAAGTATAAGCAAAAGCTTTGGGTCTTCCATAGCAATGGAGTCAGTGTTTTTACTGAAGGATGTTCAGGATTATTGCATGAAATGGATGGTCGAGATACTATTCCGCTGAATGGATTACCTTTGTGTGGATCACAGGCACTTCGTGGAGAGCCGTGTAGCTGGTCTGAGAATGCGGTTATATCCAATTCAAAGGTCTACATTGGACAACCTGATAATAATCGAGTGATTGTTTTCCACACTCAACAATTGAATGTTGTCCATGTTATTGGTACTGATCCACGACCGAGCTACCTTTGGCTGGTTCGCAGTGAAGTTGAAGATAGCATTTGGTTACTTAATTCTGGTAAGAAGATGATCTTTCTAAGCAATTGATTAAGACAAATGTTTAACAAACTGTTTTCATTTACTCAGGTGAACCAATGGAAATGACTGGTAAAATGTCAAATGAAGAGTCTGGTTTTGGTTGGGATTCGGGTTCAAGGGATCAACAAAAACACAACAAGAAAACAATCCAAATAATAAGGATAACCCAATCTGGACGTAACCATAATGTTATTCATCTTCAACCAATTGATGGACATTTCGATTTAGTTTATAATCTTTTCATTCCTCAACCATCTACAATTCAAATTCATAATTCTCATGATACTGCAAGGTAAGTATCTTGGCAAATAAATGCAAAATGAAGCTAAATAGAATCGATTAAAATGATAATTCCATTGATCTGGTTTTTCCCTTGCTTCCAGGTTTGCCTATGTAACTCATTGGGATGAAAGGACACTCATCAAAATAGATATGGAACAATTTCGTTATGTCAAAACAATCAATTTAGCTGATTGTCAACCAATTAACGCTGTTTTCACCGATTATGGTTTAGCCATTTTACAATGTCAAACTCCAGTTACTCATCAACTTAATGGTAATTTACATTTTCATATGCTAATTAGCTTTTCAATTTTAACATTTTATTTCTTTCCATTTCTCAGGTCAACTGATTTTGGATCAATTAACAGATTCAATTATATCTTATAATGCTCATATTAAGGCTCATCGTTCATTCCTATCACCTAACCATCAATTTTTGGTCAACATATTCCATAATTCATCATCAACCAGTCCAGTATCAACAACAATTATTGTTCAAAAAGTCACAGCAAATGGTAAATATCATTTTCGGCATTTTATTTCATATTTAAAGCAATCATAACATCAATATTTACATTACAATTTTTAGGTTTAGAGTTTCTGTACGATGTCCGAACAACTCTTTCAATAGTAAATTGCGATTTTGTTTGGAAAAATGGAAACTATGACGCTCTTTTAGCATCAGGAACAATTAACCGAGAAGACCTTCTCTATCTTTCATTAATCGATGGTCGAGTTGAACTGATAAGTGGCATTGGCCGTCCCACTAAAGGGTAATTACTTTAATCATTTTACACTAACTAACACTAATAGTTTATTTTCAATCAGATCTCATCGATCAATGGCCGTGTCTAAGATCTCGGCAACTGCAGCCATAACCTCATCGGAAAGTGTTTTTGTTGTTGACCTCAACAGCAATATGGTACAATGTGAAACACAAGAGCATCGTCAAGAACCTTCAGTCTTATTGTGGACCTAAAAGTTCAAAGACAGTTGTCTTTCAGATAAAAAATGACGGATTGAACCCAAAAGTTGATCCATTTCTGTGAACCAGGAAAATGATTTTGAATCCAATCTGTTTGTTAAAAGACATAATCGTTGGGCTTCAAATTTTATGGACAAAACTGTACAAAGAAACGGTTTCAATATTGTTTGATATTCAAGTCTATAGTCAACTTTAACCTAATAATCATCATCTCACTATTAACATCATCTCAAGACACTTTGATACTTAAATAATCTTCAATGTTAAATCAGTCAATATATAATACATATAACAATCAAAGGATATATTTTTGAATCAAAACAAATCATCTATCAAATGAAACAAAAATATTTAATTCTAATAGTTTGCCAATGGTAATTACACTTGGATTGTAAACCTAATTTAGTTTTTAGTTGTTTCTGTTTCTCCTTTTTATATGTAAATTGTCAAGTTATCATCAAATTTAAACATGAAAAATCCTTGATAAAGGAGCATAAATTATTATTAAACAGCTGAAATAAAAATAACTATCAACAGCTACTCAATATATCTCGATATGATGGAAAGGATCAATTGAAATTATGGTTATGGTACTTTATATGATTAAAGATTGACGGTAATTTGATGGATGATTGTTTCACCAAATTATCTGAATCTGTTCTCGGAAAGACGGGTTTGGCCATGGATTGATGCAAGTATCATGAGATATACATGCTCTTCCTCTTAATCTTCACATTCATCATCTTCATATTAATCCTCATTAATCCTTTACTTGTCCAAAAACATAACTGAAATTGTTATAACATAACAAAACATTTTCACTCTATTTAGATCATTTATTGGTAAAAAACATTCCTAGAGCAAAAGAGTAACATTTACTTACCTGATTGTGGTGATTATGACGATAAATATGTTGATAAGATGAAGATAAAAGTGAAAATGGACAATGATGAAAAATGCATCATATTTATCAACATCTTTATCATCATAATCACCACAATCAGGTGAATAAATTTTTCTCTTTTTGCTCCCAAAATTTCACTCTTAAACAATACACCCTTTAGATCATTTATTGGTAAAAAACATTCCTAAATTAAACTGACAATTGTGTTCTCACCAATTTTACTTAATAAATCAACAATTTGATGTTTTATTCAAATAAAATAATCATTAGAATTGTCAATCACTCAATAACCCAGTCAATGATTTCAATGGAATGGTTGGGATTGAAAATTAAAAAATAACATAACGTTCAATATCAATTTTGATTCGTTTTCTGGTTCTTTTAATTTAGTTAATTTAACATTTATGGAAACCATTTGAATATCTTACTGTACATGTCAACCTCGATGAGTACAAAATATGATTAAATGTGTACCTTAAACACTTATCAGCAATTTGTTTACAATGTAAAATCATCTCTGTTGACTATTTAATTTAATTTCATTATATAATCAACAAATGGAAGCTTAAATTTCTTAATAAAAATTTTACAATTTATACAGATATAAATAAACATTTTCATCATTTATTCAATATTTTGTTAAATGCTTTGAATTGGAGTTACAAATGGTTAATTGATTACATTTACATTGAAAGACTACAATATTTTTCTTATCATGTTTTATTGTTTAGTTTATCATAATATCATAAAATAGATCATGATTGTAAGGCTGAATCATAATTGTACATGGAAATCATTCAACTCAATGGCATTGTAGGTTGATATTTCAAAGTGTATCACTGGGTAAAGGGGATTTAAGGGTATCAATTATTTTCACTAGATTAATAAGATTACAATTTAATACAAACCGAACAATTATTTCGTTACCATTGAGAATTAACAAATCAAAGACTAAATTGAATATTAAACTTACAAGGGAAGTAACCCAGCTGGTACGGGCAGATCAAAATGAAAGTGGATTTAATGAAAGCCCTAGTCAAAAACTCCTAAAAACACTAATCTCGCATTGAGCAAATCGATCTGAAAAAAGTGGCAGGGTCGCAAATGTCGGACCGCGGGGGTCAAAGTGATTAATAAAATCCTTTTTCATTTTTATCTGCCCGTACCAGCTGGGTTACTTCTATTGTGAAATGAAATCTATTTATGAATTTTGTGATCAACTTATTTCGAGTCACGCTAAAATTTTGTGTTTCTTTGCGTTCTGTTCTGTCCATAGATATGAAGTGGATGTTAAAAAGAAAGATTTAGATTCATTTACTGAGATGATTACTACTTGAAATGAAAAAAGTTTATTTCCCCCCGTCGTTTTTTTTACAGTTTTTGTGGCCATACAAGGCAAGCTCCATAGATATGAAGTGGATGTTAAAAAGAAAGATTTAGATTCATTTACTGATCAACATGAAATCTAATTTTTTTTAAATATTTGTAAAAACTTGCTTGATGGGACAGTTAAAGTTGAAAGGTTAATAACGTTTAACCGTTAAGTTTGATTTTTAATTTTATTTAATAGGAGTTATGAAGGTAAAGTGTTGAAAAGAAACACAAATCAATCCAATGGGTTCAGTAAATATCCAAGTTGGATGGAGACAATTATTGAGTTGATGAGGATGAAGGTAATGATGTTGATGAAGATGACAATTATTTCAGTAAATAACTGAATTTATGATAAAACAATTTAAATAATATCAATTCTGTCCAATGGACAATTTTTCAATTCAACTTCACTTGGTCAGTAAAACTTACTTACTTCAGTAAGAATCCTTTCAACAAAGGAAAAATGGTAAAACCAGGAAAAAGTAAAGGATAATTTGTTACAACAAAAGGGCTTTTGTCACTGTTAGCCCTTCTACAATCTTTACCTTAAAAACAAGCAAGGAAAATGAAAGAGAAAAAGAGAGTAAAAAGAAAGAGGAAAATAAAATCTGACACTTCCCTTTCTCTATTTTCAACACTTAATTTTACTACTATTACATCCCCCTACTTTTGGTTAGAGGTGCATTTCATGGAATCTGAATGTTGCTTGTTTTCAGGTTTACATTGAATCAAAAAATGAAAAAATAATAAGACAATAAATGAGTTAATAAATGAGAACAATAGTAAAATTGATAAATAAATATTGGTATAAAATTAAGTTAAATGTTACGATAGGTCAGGATTTAGGTCAGTTTTTGTTGATCTTATTGGTATCATGTGTTTTGAATGTATTTGTTCGATAACTAATGGAGACTCAGATTTAACAATGTCATAAATATTAGTTGCTATTTTATTCAATACTCTGAATGGTCCATAATAATTGGGATCTAACTTACCCTTGTTAATACCAGATAAGTTACGAACATAGACTAAGTCATTAGACTTGAACTCATGAATTAAATGATTTCTTTCGAAGATTACTTTATTTTTGTCATGATATTTTACTGAATTTGAATAAGCGATTGTTCGAGCCTCATCAATTGGAGGAAAATTTACTTTTTCACAATGGATTGGAATGGTTTCATTCAAAAGATAAAAAGGGGTGAAACCAGTTACTGAGTGGGGAGAATGATTATATTCATTAACTGATCGCTGTAAATATCTGACCCAACCACAACGGTAATTATTACTAATCATTTTGATGCGGATTTTATCAACAATAGTATTACTAACTCTTTCACAGAGTCCATTACATTGAGGTGCAGATTTCGGGATGAATTTTATATCAATGCTAAAAGAATGCAAATAATCAATAAAAATATTTGAGGTAATTGCAGTGAACCTATCAGCAACGACTAACTTAAGCTCACCAGATAATCTTACTGAATTGATTAATTTTATAAATTCTGAAGCTGTTTGTCTATTGGAAGCAATCGCCCAAACAAATCGAGTGAAATGGTCAACAGCAATATGTATATATTTTTTCTTACATTTGTAACCATCAAGTCCACAAACTGTATCAATTGATACAATTTCAAGAGGAAGTTTAGGTGGACCAAATTGGCCTAATTCACTGATTAACTTAATTCTTCTAGTCTTTCCCTGTTGACAAGCGACACAATTCGCAACAAACTCTATGACATTCTCAGTCATGTTCTTCCAAGTATACAACCAACTTATCACCGTAATCATTTTGCTTACACCTATGTGTCCAAATTGCTGATGTACCCTTTCCATCACTTTCATTCTTAAATTTTCAGGTAAAATAACTTTTTCATTCCCATTTTTATCCATCTTGACACATAACCCATCTTGATTCACCAGCTGGGACAAATTCAGTTTCAGTTTTAACTGTTCATTTTTAATCTCATTTACATTAATGAAATTAACTAATTTAAGAGGTGATTCAATCTTCACTAGAGATGGGTTCTCTAGACAAATAATCCGCCTCAACATTTTCAATTCCTGGTCTGTATTTGATTTCGAAATTGTATTGAGCTAAAAAGAAAGCCCAAGTAAACAATCTGCTGTTAGGCTTATTAATTTTTTTGATTGATTTCAGAGCAATATGATCAGTGATAACAGTAAAGTGTCTATCATAAAGATAGTGATGCCAGAATTTAATTGACTCAACAACAGCTAAACATTCTAGATGAGTAGCAGGATAATTTTGTTGATAATTGGTTAACTTTTTTGAGAAATAACCAACTGGATGCAGTTTTTTCTGATCGTTCCATTGTTTGAGAACCGCTCCAATTCCTATTTTACTGGCATCAGTTTCAAGAACAATATCATTTTCAGGATTGAACATTTGTAATACTGGCTCTGAGGTTAGCAGTAATTTAATTAATTCAAATGATTTTTGACACTCAGCATTCCAACTGAACTTATTTTCTTTCCTCAACAATTGATGCAAAGGTTCTAGGATTTCGGTGATGTTACTGATAAATTTTCGGTTATAATTAACCTTCCCTAGAAACCTTCTCAATTCGGTCAAATTCTTGGGTGGATTCAATTTCAAGATGGAATCAACATTACTATGGAGAGGACGAACTTCATTCAGCGATAATTTGTGACCAAGATAGTTAACACTTAACTGTGCTATTTTACATTTCTCGAAATTGAGTTTGATGTTTTCATTTATAAACGCACTTAGAAGTAATTTTATGTGACCAATATGCATTTTTAAATCATGAGAATAAACGATGACATCGTCAATGTAATTATGACAAAATTTAGTCAATGAATATTTTTCTAGAATACCTCTGATAGATCTTTGGAAAATTGCTGGAGCATTTTTGAACCCAAAAGGCATCACCAACCACTCATAGTGACCATTCTGAGTGATGAAAGCAGTCTTAGGTATGTCAATTTCCCTAACTTTAATGTGCCAGAATCCCAAACGTACATCAAAAACACTAAAGTATTCATTATTATGAAGACTATCAATGATGTCCTCGATTCTTGGCATTGGGTATCTATCCGGAACAACTTTTTCATTCAATTTTCTATAATCAATACAAAAACGTGTTTTTGCATTGTCTTCTTTCTTGTATGCTAATGTTACCGGAAAAGCATACGGGGAGTAGGACTTTCTGATTAAGCCTGAAGCTAATAAAGCTTTGATTTCATTTTCAATTTTTATTTGTTGCTCAAAAGCAGGTCTGTATGGCTTACAGTTGATTGGTATTTTGGTAACTAATTCAATAACACATTCATTACCAGAAATTAGACCTACATTGAACTTATCATTACTAAAGACATTCTCATTAGCAACTAGAAGTTGGAACAATTCATTACTATCATCATTTGGATTCAATTTGGACCGGATATCAATGTAAAAATTATCGTTCAAAACAATTGGAGGATCAATTAAAGAAATTTTGGTGGGTACCGAAGTATCGGTCAACTGATTGATTGTATAATCTGAGTCACAACTCAAGTTAAACTTGTAAATATTGTCTAACCCTAACAGAAGATCAACAAAATCTAACCTGGTTACATAAACAATAATTGATTTGGTAATTTGACCAATGGTCAATTGAATTTTAGCAAGACCTGACACAAAACCATTTCCAGTCAAAGTTGAATAAGTGTTTTGATCATTATTCAGACTCATCAATTCTGTTTTACTAACTAATGTTTCATCTATTAAGGTGATACAAGAACCAGGATCAAACAAAATTTTTATTCGTATTGAGTTACAATAACCAGGTATCAAAATATGGAAATGTTTGTTATCAGGTCGCGCTATTAGTTTAAATCATTTTCATCTTGGGTGGAAGAGGATGAGGTATCATTAATAAAATTTACTTGTTTTGGTACTGTTGGATCTTTTCTCAATGGACAATCGTTGGCCCAATGCATTTGGTTTGGTTTACCCTGGTTAGCACAACGGAAGCAAGCTCCTTTTGGTGGCTTTTTGTTTTGATTGGTAAAATTTTGATTTGTTTGCTTCTTATTCTTCATTGCTGAATTCAGACCAAAAGAGCTCATTTGGTTATTACCCTTATCTCGCTTTGGTAATTGATTTTCGGCAGTCTTGGCAATCGCATAAAATTCACAATAAGTTTTGGCTCGATGTCCAATGAAATATCTCTTCAATTCATCACTAAGATGTTCAATCATCAAAGCTACTGCTTGAGATTCATTCAAAGAGGAGAGACCCGCTAATCTTCTTTTCGTTTCAAAATAGTCTTCGATACCTGAAGTTTGATGGTATTTGAGTCGATCGAATTCGACAATAGGGTCAACACTTTTAACACCAAAACGAATTATCAATTTACCCTTAAGAGTTGGCCAATCAGTATCATCTCGACTATCGAGATAAAAGTTCAATGCTTCCCTTTCAAGATACTCTCCGAGTAAGTCAATCATTTCATCTTTCGTCCAATGGTAACGTTGAGCGGAAGACTCATACAACTTTAACCAGTTCTCAATGGTGACTGATTTGTCATGACCATTGAATTTTTGAAGTTTGGGTCGGTATATTTGATAGAATGGTGGGAGAGGTGGTTGAGGTGGTTGAGGTGGTTGAGGTGATTGAGGTGATTGAGGTGGAGGAGGAAGGTTAACAATACTTGTTTGCTGGTTATTATTGATAGCACCATTTTCTGAGTTGTTAGATTCAGTTTCATCATTAGCTGGAAGTGATTGAAACGAGTTGGCCGAAGGAGATGATGAAGCTGAAGAATTGCCACTCATGGTAAATCCTGTCGACTTGTAAAAACTTGCTTGATGGGACAGTTAAAGTTGAAAGGTTAATAACGTTTAACCGTTAAGTTTGATTTTTAATTTTATTTAATAGGAGTTATGAAGGTAAAGTGTTGAAAAGAAACACAAATCAATCCAATGGGTTCAGTAAATATCCAAGTTGGATGGAGACAATTATTGAGTTGATGAGGATGAAGGTAATGATGTTGATGAAGATGACAATTATTTCAGTAAATAACTGAATTTATGATAAAACAATTTAAATAATATCAATTCTGTCCAATGGACAATTTTTCAATTCAACTTCACTTGGTCAGTAAAACTTACTTACTTCAGTAAGAATCCTTTCAACAAAGGAAAAATGGTAAAACCAGGAAAAAGTAAAGGATAATTTGTTACAACAAAAGGGCTTTTGTCACTGTTAGCCCTTCTACAATCTTTACCTTAAAAACAAGCAAGGAAAATGAAAGAGAAAAAGAGAGTAAAAAGAAAGAGGAAAATAAAATCTGACACTTCCCTTTCTCTATTTTCAACACTTAATTTTACTACTATCACATATTTTTATCAAATTCTAATTTGTGCTCATATTTTATTTTATCTATTTTAACTGTTTTTTCTACTATTCTCTAAAAACTATTTCTATTTCTACTCACCATGTCACTTCGTCTTCGACCGCAGTCTTGCTCAAATATTATCGTCGCCCATTACTTGTGAAGATGGTTTGAGATGAAAAAAGTTTATTTCCCCCCGTCGCTACATTGTTCACCCCACAACTCATCTCTAATCCTGGGGCCAAGAGGATTTTGATCCTCGACACCGTTTTTTTACAGTTTTTGTGGCCATACAAGGCAAGCTCCATAGATATGAAGTGGATGTTAAAAAGAAAGATTTAGATTCATTTACTGATCAACATGAAATCTAATTTTTTTTAAATATTTTTATCAAATTCTAATTTGTGCTCATATTTTATTTTATCTATTTTAACTGTTTTTTCTACTATTCTCTAAAAACTATTTCTAAATCTACTCACCATGTCACTTCGTCTTCGACCGCAGTCTTGCTCAAATATTATCGTCGCCCATTACTTGTGAAGATGGTTTGAGATGAAAAAAGTTTATTTCCCCCCGTCGCTACATTGTTCACCCCACAACTCATCTCTAATCCTGGGGCCAAGAGGATTTTGATCCTCGACACCGTTTTTTTACAGTTTTTGTGGCCATACAAGGCAAGCTCCATAGATATGAAGTGGATGGTAAAAAGAAAGATTTAGATTCATTTACTGATCAACTTGAAAGCATTGGTGTAAAAGTTTCGCCTATTTATAATACTTCTTGGGTCACCGACAGAGTTTTACCATTTAAATCAATTCTGAATAAGATTGCTGAATGTACTTTTATCCAAACAGACAATTACCTCTTTTCATTAAAACTTCACAATTCAAAGCCTAAGTTGAAAATTAAAATTCTGGTTGATATGGTATATGATCGATTCTATGGCAACACGATTAGTGAAGATATCTATCTGATATTTGTTTTTATGATTTGATAACTATAATAGTTTCATCACAATGGAAAAATTGGACTACTCAACAACTACTGTGAGCATTTACTGGATACAAAGATTCTAAAAACTAGACATCTTTCATATGGCACAACGTTATCGAATTAACCACGATGCATATCAAAACTATTTAAATATTGAGTGGAAGCAGTAGAGATATTAATACTTAATACTCATTCTGAACCAAAATTGGCGTAAATTGAACAGTTCAATGTGCATCGCATCATGTTTTACCAGCCAATATCTCCATCTATGTTCACTACTTTTAACCAATTGTCATTTACAATTTATTTAATGAATCAAACTGGCAATCATGGATTATTGTATTTTATAAACCAATGGTCTAACAATCAAATGGCTTGGAGATCAAAGTACAAGAGTTATGGGTAGAACGTAGTTTGAAAAGACATGGAAAGACATCTGCCTTTGTTAACACAATGAATTTATTGATTTCTTAATCATGATTGTTGTGTTAACATTTAAATGATTCATTAATGAACCTACGATATATGGTGGTCTTTGAAGAACAATGAATTACAATGGATTTTCATTGGAAACGCTGTCAGATATGGTCGATAAAAATAAGAAAATAACCGAAATGTTGGACATTTTGTTTTACTCATAATTCAATGGGCTTTAGCAAAAATATGAGGAGACAAGAAAAAATGATTATCTTAAAGATAAAGATTGACTTGATTGTTGAATCCATTTATGAATCTATGCGCTTATCACTATAAAAAATCACCACACCGAACATTTACGTATGGGATTCATTTTTGATCCTAATGGACAATTGAAAGTTGCTGAAAATTCTGGAATGTTGGACATTGGACCGATCACTCTGAAATATTAAACAAGAAAAAAAAATTTAAAATGAAATGCCAAACCATGGAAAGCTGATGCTTAATTTCATTTAAAATATCTGAAAAATTACCTGAACCTTCCTGGACTATGTTCATCTCGCAACAATTGGTTTTGGAGAGCTGATTTACTTTGTTTTTCACACCAAAACTGTAAAAATCAAAAGAAGAAGTTGATTCAGAATTCTGATCAAACCAATAGTCCAATCAAAACTTAAACCACATGATAATTTCATTAACTTACATTGGCAGCCCCAATCCAAAATAGTTTGTCGGGAGTGAATTCTAATCCTGGTAATGGCGGTTCTTGTGGTCTTCCTTTAGCCCAAGATTCGTAGGCCTGAAACAATTGAGTAATTAATTAACTGAGTCGATACGAGCAAGAAAAAAGAGCTTGAATAAAAGAAAATAAGAAAACTCGTACACATTCAAATTTTACTCTAATATGCGATTGTAATTCCGAGTTTTCTTGGTTCTTTTCTTGTCTATAACCATTTTCTCACCTTAAGAGCCAGCTTAAGACCACCGTTATCAGCCATATTTTCACCTTTACTCAAATCTCCACTAAGAGTCATGTTTAATTCATCAACGGAATACCCGTCATATTGATCAATCATGCATTGTATTTTTTTACGAAACCTAGAGTCTGTCTCGTTATCCCACCAATCCTGCAGATTTCCCGTCTCATCGAACTGTTTCCCTCTTTCATCGAATCCATGAGTAATTTCATGTCCAATCAAGAATCCAAAGGAAGCAAAATTTAAGTAACTGAAAATTGAGTCAATGAAAAGCCAATGTTATTTTGATTATAAATGAGAAAATATTCATTTTCAGGAAATTATAAATATAATAGATATAATGATATACTCACTAAGGTCTATCTTTCTCAAAAAATACACCTTGTAATAAAGCTGCGGGAAGCTGAATCTTATTTTCAAGTGGATTATAAAAGGCATTTACTATGGCAGGTTGCGTTTGTTTCCACCATCTAAATGGTTTAAAGTGGGAAAATAAATTAGAAAGGATAAATGAAGAACAAACATTGATTACTAACATTTCAGAGGTTTTCCGTCCGTACTGACTAAGGTCACGTTCTTTATTCCATCGCTTTAAAAGCAATATATTCTGAGTGAATTCACCATTATCTAAATTTAACTGTAAAAAGAAACAGAAAGGGGGTAAACAAAGCTGAAAATTAAATTCAAATTTTGCACAGAAAGTATTCATAAATACATTTTCGTAAAATTGATCAACCAATGTATGGTTGCGAATCTGTTCAGGATAAGCGATATAAGCATCCATTGCTTTCACTTTTTTCAATGCCATTTGTTTGGTTTCCTCTCCCATCCAATCAATCCGTTCAAGTATTCCAACAAATTCATTTTTAATGTACTGGAAAGCCATGGTTGCCTGAAAAATAGTCAAAAAAGAAACAAATTAGACAAAAATCTTCAAGATGCTAGAATCGATCATTTTTACGACACAAAAGGGTTTCCATTATGTATTGTAAGTATTGTTTTTTTGTGTTGATAAGTCTAATGTTTTAAGGTTAAACGAGCTCATCAAAATTAAATGATGTCATATTACTTTCAAGGTTGATTAACTGAATAATGTCAAATCAAAATAGCTTGTTGACTATTGTCAATTTTGAGAGGTATGATAATATTGTTAAAAAAATGAATAGCATAAATATCACTATTTAACGAATAAAAAAGAAAAAAATCTTTCTATTAATTTTATCTTTAGCCATCTTAACTGACCAGTTACCCTTGGAAAATTAACAAAATGTTTTGAATAATTCAAAACCATCTTAAAGGTGAGGACATATAAGGTTAAACAGTATTTTCCCGACTCAGCGACTTTCAAGTGACTAACCATTTTCTTTGTTTCGGGGTCACAATGATTTCTCACATAAAGACTAGAGAGTGCAACATCCATTCCTTGGTCCATCATGTAATCTAAACACTCTTCCCACCGAGGTTTATCAGATTTTACACCTTCGTGGAAAATATTGTAACCATCTCTCCAATCCTTGGATAGATAAGGCATTAATTCATAGATTACTCGCCATACTATGTAGTTATGAAGGGCACTGAAAGAAAAATTTTTAATCAATTTCTTGCAAATAAATGATCATTTTAAGGCTACTGTTACATACGTTACATCAATCTGAGGAATAAAATCGTTCAAGTTTTTGATATAATCTAGATCAAATACAACTATCTGTTCATCAGCTCTTAAATTTTTTTTAACCAAGCCACCCAATAATCTGAACCAGTCAATCTATCAAGTATAAACAAGTCGTTATTAAAGTCGTTAAAAGTAAAATTAAGGGGAAAATAAATTACGTTAGGTGTAATTTTATGGAGCTCTCCAATGGTCATCTTGTTATATACTTTAGAGTAATCACGTCTCATTTCTGCTGATGTCATAAACTGTTAGAAATGGATTTAATTATTAATTAGTGGTTCTGAATGGTATACTAATGAATGATCAGAAGGTTGACCATTAAATAGTCATTTTGTACCTGAGCAAGAAGCTTCTCAAACTTTGTTATTGTTTCGATTGCGAGTTGTATGTCAGGGTTGATGCTATAACCCAATCTGCTAACTGCATGCTGTACCAGGATGGTATAGCTAGCTAGATAACTATCTTCAGTGTATAATCCTTTATGTTTCAAGACGAGTTCAGCTTGATCGATCTAGACATAAAAAGAAAAAAAATGTTGGTTATGTCTCATTTCATGTAGGTTTAGAAAGATACAAAACTAGAGTAATGAGCACCAAATAAATGATCAATTTAGCCTTAAAGACAAATGATACAGTTTTAGTAGAAAGCTTTGAATGGAGAAAATTAGAGTAATCTAAACTTACGGCTATTATATTATTGGAAGTATTTTTTAGATCAGGTCCAATATCGATTGCAATAAGGAAACTGAAATTAACTCCTAACTCTTTCAATTTCAACACTATATCAGCAAAGTCAAGTTGACTGAAGTAACTGATGGTGTTGCTCGTACTTAACCATCCACCGAAAGCGGTAATGATGTTAATTAATGGTTGATTAGCACGACTTTCGATAGCATCTGTTAATTTGCAAAGAGAAAAAATAAATTTGATATTTAGTTGAGCAGGATTCTTGAAGAAACAATCGGTTTCGATATAATTTACCAACATTGGTGCAAGTCTTGTACATGTTGATCAATTTCGTTTCATAGGAAGACCGACGAAGCTTCCTGAAATTATCAGCAAGATTATTGATGTCCACTAATTAAAAAGATAGTGAAATAAAACAAGTAATTAAAAATCATTGTTTAAAAAAAACTGGAAAGAAACACTTTAAATAAACACAACAAAAAGACCGCGTAAATGTGAAATAGCTTATCAAGCTTAAAGTTGAACAATGGCGACTACAGTTAAAAACAAGCGGCTTAACCTGTTAATCATCAGCTAACAGCAGTTTCAACTTTTTTCTTGATTGGAAGTGCAAATATCATCATTAACCCATTAAGTTTGATATAATCTCTCATCGTCAGTTAGGATTATTAAAAATTAAAAAAGTCAAACCTCTTAATTTGTTGTAAACTATTTCTTGGATCTTATTGAGTGTTCCGATACGGTTTTTTCCATGAGGAAGTATTGTTTCATTAATCCATCCTCCACAAGCAAATTGGTAAAAATCATCACATGGATCAACCGAGGTATCAAGATTTTTAATTATAATTGATGCTGCACCAATAGATTATCACAATAATAAAAGGATTATTTCAGCTTTAATTTTTAAATCTGGTTTTGTTAATGGTAAGTAGTGGTACTTTAGTATTGATACATTTGAACACTTCTTACCAGCTTCAATGCATCCTTGGGTTAAGCATACGTCTAATGGTTGCTCATCTGGAAGAGAAATATAAAGATTCCGATTAAGATTACTACAGTGATTTACAAATTGTGAATGTGAAACAAATTGCAGATTTGATTTGAAATAAACTGAGGATAAGTAAAAATATCTAGCTAAAGATGATCTACCGGATGGAAAGACTGATTGCCGCAAAACATAAATCTTCATTTAAAGATGCAGCAAGGTAAATACCATTTAATCGTGAATAACCAATCCTTGATTAAAATTATAATAATTATCATTGCAAAGTAGTCAAAACCAATCTTGATAATACAACTAAATTGATTGCTTCTTTATTTCAGAAATAAGTCATTGTCATACAATTTCCAGATTGGCCATCATCCGATTGAATCATTGTTTACCAATTTTAATTTGTTTTCCAACTGAGGATTGACACCAAAGGGTTAAGGTGATTAATTGATTATCGTTGAACCTTGATCGGTCTATTAGAATGTCCTTGGAATAAATTATTATTTACCTTTCTAATCAAACTTTATTTCCCTATTTTTCAGAACCAATATCAATTGATTGGTAAAGTCGATTATCAATGGAAAGTAACTTATGGTCACGGAAAAAGTACTACAAAACCAATCAATAATAGGATGATTGAAAAGCGTGAATACAACTTTAATAAACTTTCAATAACTTGAAATGGCCAAGGGTGTGCATAAATCAACAATAAAATTGGGTTTCAGAAGGTAAATGGTCCAACTGAGAACATCATCAAGTACAATCTATTTTGGTACATCTCATAACAAACCAATTATCACCATTATCACCACTTTCATCATCAGTATTTTCTGCTTGTGGTTAATTTGAGTGGAAGGTGGCAAAATGTGATTCATGATCGGTAAACAATCAAATCTGAATCTTGAAAAATGAGTAAAAAGGTCAGTCCTCGTGAAATGTTCATTAGCTTGATTACCATAAGATCTCAATGAATCTCATAACTGTTCCACTTACCTTCAATATTTTCCACTCAATATTCACTAATATTGTTTATCTTCGAGGCCCTCAATTCTCAAAATGATCACGAAATCAGGGATATAATTTTTTCGTTCTTTACTATCCAATGACACTCATTAATAATTATTGTACAGCAGAGTAGGAGTTTAAAATTAGTTTATGTCAACTGCTAAAGTCAAATATGGGCAACATTTTGTAATTTGTACCATAAGGTTTAGATTACAATAAGACTCATGATTACTGCCAAAGGATATATTAATAGCAACACAGGGTCACTTTTCATTAGACAATTGTAATTAGATTTTATGACATGGAGCTGTAATTGAAGACTTATTGCAAGACGATTAGCTCATTTCATCTTAAATTTTACTATAACTTTACTGATATTTCTTGATGATTACTATTTTTGAAGGTAATTTCATTGTAATCTTTTCCTCTTTACATTATTGTTTAAAGAAACAGCAACACATAAATTATTGGATACAAAATGATGTAAAAAAATCCCAAAACCTGTTACCTCAACAAAGTAGATTTCAATGATCAACTGAATAATACGTTCGTTTTCTTGTTTATTAGTTCATGATTTTCTAACCTAAAACTCACATATTTTTTTCACTAACTTATCAGGTTAAACCCTATGTACAATTGCAATCGATGAAAACGAACTTAGGAATCTATCATTGAATTGGCATTCGTTCGCTCATGGATACTTTTTACTGGATTTGTTTTTTGGATTATATTTGCTGATATGAAGTTTATCTTGTGGTATCATAACTAAATAAACCTACGCGTTCATTTTCCTGATGCCTTTTCTTGCTGACTGTTTTGTTCTTTAACTCAACATAACGCCTAATAAATAAGTTACAATGAACGAAATGGAAATGAAGCAGCTTCAATAGGTTTGATAATGGTCATGAAATATTTGGTCTTTTGCTATTCAAGGCTGTCAAGAGTTCAACGAAGTTTAATGATAAAAAGAGAGGCAACATTTGAATACGAAGAATTAGATTTCTTGAGTTGCTGAAATTTTAACTGCATTGATTTATGTTTTCACGTTTTTTACTGTTCGTGGCCACTTCACTACCTGATGTGAACGTAAACATTTTGGCAAATATAAACACCTCGATGATTAATTTGAATGATTGATAAATTGGTAAGCATAACTTTTGAAGCCAATTTTTCAGAGATGGTTTGAACGCCTCTAAATATTATAAATTATTGTCTAAACATCAAATGATCTAAACATTTTATCCTTGATGGTTAATTATTGTATACAATCGATTTTAAATGACATATTCAAACCTAAGCTGATGGTTGGAAGCAATGTGGAGGGAAATAGCTTTAAGCGCTAAAGGCAAAGTGCACTGATAAATATTTTGCTAATTGTTTTCGGATATTTCTGGTTGAAATGCTTCTTTTTATTACTTATATTTCTGTAATATCAATAGTTACCTTTGTGTTGATGGAAAACGATGTACAAAATAAGGAGAAAAAGGCATAAAAGTGATGTTATTGTTATAAACCGATGGCCAATGGTTCGCAAATTTTTACGACTTTGGTGATCAAACCTGGTGAAAATCGGTGAGATAAAAATCAATTTAGTAATTGTTGATGAAATAAAAAATTAATGTATTTTCTTCTTTGAGTTTAGTTTGCCAAACAAGGAACACAAGTGATTATAATCACAACTGTCATTGTATTAATAATGATGACAAATCTGACAAGATCTTGAATATTTTTGTCATAGTTGATGCTAACTTATTTACAAAAATTTATTCAATCACATGTCACGCTGAAAACTCGTCAAGGAATGAAGAAAATAGATTTTTGGTTCACAATTTTCTTACCTGTTAAAGCCTGTTGTTGTCGCTTTCGTCGTCGTTGTCTTGCCATCAATAGGATTTTGATTTAAATCAATGGCAGGATTGGACATTTACTCGGTATAATGATGAAATGAGTGAGATCAACATAAAAAACTATTTAATTGCTTTTAATCATCAACTGAGAATGATATTTACAAAAACAAAGTATCAAGAAGCACAAGCAAACAAACACAAAGTTGTAGTCGAAATTGGAAGTCAAAGTATAAATAATACAAAAAAGATGAAGAACGAACGAACGTGTTGAACGAAGAAACAAAAGCGATGAAAAAGTACGAACAAAGGAAAAAAGAAAAGACTTGAAATGAAAAGTAAAATAAATTAAAAGACTTGATTAAACAGAGAGAAAAGCTCGATCTGTTCGATTTGATGGTTAAAGGCTTGTCTGGTTTTCAATCTTGAAAAAACTCTCACTCAACTTGTTTGTTCACTCTTACACCATTTTTGCTCCCTCCATCATCATCATCATCATCATCATCATCAACAACAACATCTACTGCAACAAGTACAACATCTTAACCTTCTTCTTTCTCTCCTTATTTTTCATTTTGTCTTGTTAGATTTTCAGTTTTGATTCCTCCTACTTTCCGTTTTAAAATGGTTTGTAGCGAAAACAAAGTTATAAGGTGACCAGAAGTCAAGTTAATTTGATTGAAGATTATGATGATGGAGAGGAGGAGGAGGTTAATAATTATGTTGCTGCTCTTTTCATTTGTTTCTTGCACTTCTTTAACCATTAACTTCATTATCATTTCTCTAAATATAGTCAAGTTCAATTGAGTTGAACAAATAAGTGTAAAATTGAGAAGTATTGGCAAGAAACAAAAAAAAGTCTCAAACCATCGATAATTTAGTCTAAATAATTTGCAACAATGAAGAAGATTGAAAGAAAAACTTGTTGAAACAAAATGTTGATAATATTTTCCATTTTATTTATTCTTACAATTCTAGTGACTCAATGTTTTGGAAATATCAACCCAATCTTGAAGTCAAAATCAGTGGGTGATTTGGTACGGAGATACAGAAATCCAAATTTCCTCAGAAAATTTCAATGTGCCATTGATTAGGATGATAAGGATAATGATATCACTGCAAAGATTGGAAAGAAAGTTCAACGTGTGAAAAGCGTTGGTGTTGAATCTATTCAAAAATGTCCGAATACAAGAACAAAGAGGACGAAAAAGATGATTAAAGAAAGATTACTAAAAGTTATTAAGGTAAAATATCAACAATAACCAAGGTATTGACTTGATCTTTACAAGAAGTTTTCTCTTTCTGTATTTCTCTCGTCGTCCTTCAAGTAATCCGGCCAACAAATTTACCTGCTCATGTTTCATCTCTTTTTCCCCAATCTCTACCTTGATTCTAAATCGTAGTATTATCATTATGATTGTTAACTTTATTCATTTTCTTTTTCATCTCAGATTGTCCGAAAGATAGCCTTTCTGGATTCTTGGGTGTGTTCAATTGATTACGCTTTATACTTGCGTTATTTGGGTTTCCATCTTTAACCAAGGAATGGCCTCTTGAAAGATTTGCAACAATTGATGCAAATATAACTGTTGATGAATTGAACCTCACACCTTTGCGTATTTATTGTTGATTGGCACGAGTTGAATCGAGAGACTTTTTGTTGAAATAAGAAAGTTGAATAATCAATAAGATGGACAACAATTGATCATGAGTGACGGTCATGTAAATTGATTAAATGGGCAAAATCAAGAATGGTGTAACAAATTGTTCTCCTGTTGGACTGTTTATTCCAATTTTCTTTGCATACATTTGCTGTTATGCTATTGTATTAGCAATACTAGTCTGAATACGGATGGAACTTGTGATGTTATTTTTAATTCGTAACCAAGTAATTTTATTAATGCCGACACATCACTTCTCATTGACTTTAATATAACAGGATTTCACTGATTCAGGATGGTAATCGTTGTTGGTTAATGGCGAAAAATTTAAAGATTTTTAAAGGTTATGGATAATATGTAACACTTAAACATTGATTTTGTCAAGGAAAACTTATGAAGGGAAAACTTTGAATTCATTTTGATACATGTTTCATATTGCTTTTACAAACTGTAATAATTTTTACTCAATCAGCTCATTAGCTTATTAATTATCTGAATGGTTCTTCATTTTATTCACCCTCACATATAATACAATTTTGTTTAAACTAAATTTCTCGAGAGATTTGTAATTGCCGGAAACGACATTCTGATCTTTACTGGTTAATTGTCTGTTATTTAATTATCTATCTATCTTTCTCTAATTTAATTCATATGTATTATTATTTTATTAATATTTCCGTCCTTGCCAATTACAACTGACAAATTACAATTTTATGCAGCAATTTAACTTAAATTCACAAGTTTTATTGCAAATGGTGCCCATGAAAGGCGAAAAAATTGAAAACCTCAATGCATTATATGTATCATCGTATTACTGAAATTAAAATTCATTGTAAAATTTAGATTGTCAATTACAAATTTAGCAAGTTCAGATAAGATCCACGGCTTTTGGAAACATTGAAATGGACTAACCAAATGAAACTCAATTTACAATGTTCTAAGCACATAAAGAAAGTTCGATGTTGCTTGAACTTTTATCGTTTTTTGTTGCTTTTCCGGCCTTCTTCAGAAGATCAAAAAGTAAAAAGCTCAGGATGAGACTGGAAAGTCTGATAACTTTAATAAATTTTAGAATTTAACAAAAAAGGAGTTTTGTTCATGGAGTGAAAAAAACAACAAAAGAAAGAGAGATCATAAACTAGGAAAATGGATTTTTTCTAAGTGAATCTATACACGAAGTCATAATTATTGACTTTTAAAGCTGATGAAAATAGTGAAGGATCCATTGGTTCCTAATTTTTCCTTGAACTTTTGAGGAATGCATTGATAAGATTCAGCAAGCTAACTGTTCTTGAATCATCCACACAAGAGGATACCAAATAAATTGGGGTATTTGAGATATTGACCAAGCTATAAGACCATGTGGCCAATATCCAGGAGTACGATTATTTTTACCAATAGTTTGAACAGCCGAGTCGGCAAACACATTGGCGGTTGGACATAATATACTTGGAGTAGTGAGGATGGCACTGAAATCGTTTTCTCGTGATGGACAAATATAACTGGGCATAATAGATTGGACAATGATTCCTTTATCTTTATATTCATATTGTAAAGACCGGGAAAAGTAATCAACAAAAGCCTTTGAAGCAGAGTATGCTGACATTAAAGGCAACGGATTGTATCCCGCGATTGAGGATATGTTTACGATGACCCCCTTTTCTCGAGACACCATGTCTTCAAGAACTATCTGAGTCATAAACAGGACAGTTCCCATATTAACATTGAGAATTCTTTGAAGATAGTCAGAATCATTAGTGAGAAAAGGTGACGGTCGAGCAGGCATAACACCTACATTATTGATTAAAATTCCTATTTCTTTCCCTCTTAACTTTTGTTCAATCAGTCTATAAATTGATGGCCCTTCATTGAAATCAGCAGATATTTGTTCGACTTCAACATCAAAACGATCTCCTGAAAGTAGAAACAATGCATTAAAAAACACTTCACACTATAGTATTGTGACCTTTTAAAGATGACTCTTTTATTTTCGATATCTCAGTACAAAAGTCACCTTAAAGGAACCACAAGAACTCGTTGCAAGAAAACATAAATTATCTATCATCAACAGCCACCCTCAGCACCAGACAAAAATGTTCAAGAAAAATTCGAATTGAATATTGCTCATGATGTAAGGTGGCCGTTAAAAAATTAAATTCTTACTAATTTCATCTCCGGTAGATTGTAATTTTCTCATATCACGTGCAATCAGAATAATGTTTAAGCCTCTTTCGGCCAAGGCGAAAGCATAACCACGACCGATTCCTTCGCTACCACCAGTTATAACTAATAGGGAATAAAAAATCATAAAACAATGGTTATAGAGCTTTTGATCATTAGTCTATCAAATCGATAGTGTCACAATGAGGACAGATTAACAAATCAGAATGGAAAATTGCCAAAGAGAAAGATATTAATAGCATCAAAGAAATAATAACATTTCTTACCTGCCCATTTACCATACTGGGATAGATCAGTTGGTGATACCTTTGGCCATAAATATGTTCGTACTCCAACTGACAAGTCACTGAGGATGCAGATACTTTTCTTGGTTGCATAATAGATTCCAAGCAACAGTAGTGCATCACGGCAGCCCTTGAATGGTCTAGATGATTCGGTAAATAACAAATTAAAAGAATCAACAGCAGCCATAAAACTATCGTTAAAGTAAGTGAGTAGTAGTAGAACCAAAAGGATCAGCTGTAACACTGTTCTCAACATTTTCTAGGACATAGGCTTACTAGCAAAGAGTAAAGCAGAAGAGACTGCAATCAAAAGTAGGAAAATGAAAGTTGAACTTATCCCCACAGGATGACTCTGTTTGAAGGCTTTACAATTGAATTTTCCTAAATTAAAATGAAATTTTCCTTTTTAAATTCGAGGCCAACAGCTTGTTGAATTTCTAGTTCAATAAATCAAATATGAATGCTTAAAAATTTATTCCAATGTTTCTGTTGAAAACAGATCGAACTGCAATTTCGTAGCAAAATCTAAATACATTTGATTATCTTATTAACTGAATTACTGTTCAACAGTTAAGCAATTCGTCTTAAATTGCAGCATTTAAGTATTGTGCTTAAATTAGTTGATTTTATTTCAAAGAGATGGCATTACATTATTGAATTGCTTTTGTGATGTGAATTATCTCCAAAGAGTAACTCTTTGATTATCTCGGATTGTTAAAAGCTTTTTGTTATAATTATTGATTTGTATTTTATTTCGTTAATAGTCACTCATTGAAATATCTAACTACTATCCTTTCATATAAGTTGTCTACAATTAAATGCCTGTTAATAGTTAGTTTATTTATATGGTTGATTGTAATTTAATCAATTCCTGATAATTGTTTACACTTAAAATTCTGTGTACCTTCATGTCAAATGTTTAAAAGCTGCTTTAGGTTAAAGTTTAATGTCTCAAATTGCAAAAAGTTAACATCATCTTTCAACAAATTTCATCGAGAAATCAACACCAAAGCAAATAATATGTTAGAAACTAAATTGATTACCGGTAAAAATGATATTAAGTCAATTGTCGATGATATTGATACGATAATAAGTGATTGTGATGGAGTTACTTGGATAGAGAAACGGCCCATTGAAGGAGCTGCAGATTTCTTCAAGAAAATGAGATCGATGGGAAAACGGATTGTTTTTGCGACCAACAATAGCACCAAATCTCGAGAATCATTACTGGTCAAATTGAACTCGCTTGGATTTGAATCAACCATAGATGAAGTGATGGTAACAAGTTTCGCTACTGCAATTGCCCTTGGAAAGTTATCTTTTACTGGTAAAGTCTTTTGTCTTGGTTCACCAGTTTTAAGAGCTGATATTGAATCGGCTGGGTTCAATGTAGTCCCTCCATCTTCACAAATTAATGAGGATGAGGAAGAAGCTAAGCTGTTCAATGGAGATGGAATCGATTATCATGCTATTCCATTTGATCCGGATGTTTCTGCTGTGGTTATTGGTATGACTTACAAAGTTTCCGCTATAAAATTGATTAAAGCTTGCACTTATATTTCAAGAGTATCACCTGATTTAATAATGTCTACAAATACTGATTTCTCGTTCCCTGGACCGAAGGGAGTCGTTATTCCTGGTACTGGCAGTTACGTTCAATTAATTGAAAATGTTACCAAAAGAAAGATGTTTTCTATTGGAAAACCAAATAAAACCTTCTTTGAATGTATCAGGCATATTCATCCAACTGTGAACCCTGATCGAACTATGGTTATTGGAGATAGATGTGATACTGATATTGCATTTGGTTATAACAATGGATTTAAATACAAGTTGCTAGTTGGTACTGGAGTCAATAGTTTAGCTGATGTCAAACAATTTGCCGATGATAAGCTTGAAGATCTTGTACCGAGCCATTTTGCTCCAAGCTTGAATGACCTGAACCTTTATCTATCAGATTGATATTTATTGTACTTTTCGACTTGTTGATTATTTAGTTATTTTAAATGGTGATTTTATTTATTTAATCCAGTTCAATCTTAACAATTCATGTCATTCAGTCTTGATTGAAATGATAAACCATGCTGTTGCGTAAAGAAGTTTATTAATTTGATTAATTAATCTGATTTATTTACGAGATGAAAGTCACAATCTTCAACTCATAAGTGGACAAAAAAATTGCCGAACCATCACACAGGTTCAATGATTTTAAGAGTTAGATTAACATTAAAAGTATTTATAGTTGTGAAGCTCATTGGTGATGATTCAAAACTGTCAATACCTCTCTAATGTATTGAATTTGTAGGACAGATATCCTTTTTCAATGGTTTTGATCTGTGCAGAGCTGGTTCAATTGAGTACCAGATTAATGCTTACCAACCAACTGATTTAAGTAAATCAGCTTAACTAACAACACAATAGATTAACTGTTGAACAGTAATTCAGTTAATAAGATAACCAAATGTATTTAGATTTTTCTACGAAATTGCAGTTCGATCTGTTTTCAACAGAATCATCGGAATAAATTTTTAAGCATTCATATTTGATTTATTGTACTAGAAATTAAACAAGCTGTTGGCCTCGAATTTAGAAAAAAAATTCATTTTAATTTAGGAAAATTCAATTGTAAAGCCTTCAAACAGAGTCATTGTGGACCATTGGGGTTTATTGCAGTCTCTTTTACTTTATTCTTTGCTTACTAGGCATCAAAAAGTTATGTTTTTTGCCAACTTGCAACTGGATTGGTTGCTATTAATGGAGGCATTTTCAATTTCCTTTCCTATGAAATAATTTTAATATTTGACTGAACAACAGATACAAGATGTAAGCAAATCTGATTTTAATACCGCTGCCTCAATCACTCAATATATAAAAAAATTTTACATATTAAAACTAATCAGAAGCAATATCAGGTTTGATTTAAATTAGACTTTGTCAGTATTCCTCAAGTTAATTATAAATAGAAAATTAAATTAATTATCAAAATAAATAATAAAAGCAAGAATTAGTTTTCCCTTTTACAAATTGCTAGATAATCAGTCAATTACATCAACATATCTTGGCAAACCTAATAATTATCGATGTTTTCAGTGATGATGCTTAACCGATTAGGTCAGTTCCATGAAACAAGATAGACAAAGGAAATTGTAGTTCTCATTAGTATGCAAATGTTTAAAAGGTATTTAATTACGATGCTGATACGTTGTATTGTCAATTTCTGTAGATCAAAAAGATAATTTGATATTTGTTTCGCTGCTATCCCTAAATTATCATCGTCAACATCAACTACAACCATAATTTTGTAAATAATACTTGGAAATACATTTTAGTTTTAATCTTGTAAAAAATTTATTAATTCAATTGAAGAACACTAAAAAGTAAAGAAACTCTCTGTGAGATAAATATTTTCATGTGTTCATCAGTTAATCAAAATAATTTTATCATTTTATGATCATACAATATTAACTTATTCCATCTTCGAAGTCAACTAAACTAATTTTGGTCATTTTGAACCATTTGGATCGTTTTCAATCAATTTTCAGTTTCTTTCGATAAAAACAAGCTATTTGAAAATAACATAACCTGACCGAGATCGTTTAACAATCATGAAAACAGTGAAGGCAACACTTGCAAAAACAACGCAAAGGATTATTATGAGAACCACCGAAAGCGTGTCAAGACCAGAATCAACGGAATCACCAAGACCACAATAAGCTTTCCAATCCGACTCAGTGAAACTTTGCAAGTGTGTTAAGAGATCATTTAGTGGTACTGAAGATGTTGATGGCGAAGAGGAAGAGTGAGTGAAATTTGCATAAACTAACTCGGGCTCACGAGAAATAGGGAATTGCCAATAGTATAATTTAACGAAAAATGAAGATCCTGGTGCCTCAAATAACTCAATAATGAAAGAAGTTGCTGGATGAGGAATTTCACCATTGATATCGGCTAAATCGTAAGCAACAGATGACATTTGAGGTGTAAAGGTTGAATAAACCAGAAACTTTGGCTTTTGACTTGTATCCCTTCGATTGTTGGTGTTTGTTGCTGCTTTGAGTTTTTTTACTAATTCATCATAAAGCTCTCCAACATATAATTTCAACATGGCAGGATAAGCAACAGCCATTGAATGAAATTCATTTGCTAAATCTTTAAGATCGTCAGTTACTCCTGGTGTTATCCAAGAAGGAACAGGCGTTTTTTGATAAACTTGAAGCAAAGCTGTCTCAACATAGTCAATTTGCGAGTAAAGTGACGTCAACCTTGTTTTAGTCTCGACCAATTTTAATACTGATTCGAAGTCTTTTTTGTATTTCTCAATTTCAGGTGAATTCAAAAGATCATCCCAAGCTTGCTTTCTCCTTGGACAGTTACAATGAATTGACAGCATCTGTAGAAAGTAGATGAATGTAGAAAATAAAGACGAAAATCAATGAATGAGATAAATTCATATAATGTATAAAAAAGGTGACATTATATTGAAAAGAAAAAGAGCGAAATTAGAAAAGGTTCAAGAGTGAAAAAGTAAGATTGAGTCAAGTACAAGAGTACTTAAAGACTGCTATAAAACTAGCCACTGAGAGTTTGTCTGTACCAAAGAGCAAGAGACTACTTACACAGTCATCAGGTGTAGGAACAGTGTGGACAGGAATCGGTAGATAATCAGAGTTACCATATCTCCATCTACCATGAGCTTTGTAAGCGCCATTAAGCAGCACTAAGGCAGTTTCAATATTACTATCTTCATCAGCACTTCGAGCATAAACTTCTCTAGGACTGTCGGTTAGAAAACTTGAATATCTTCTACGAAGCGATTCTCCCATTTGATTAAGTTGATGTTTACCAAGATTAGTCAATACTGGTTGACCTTCTGGCCAAAATTCAGGTCTCAGTTGAGGATCAATGAAAGAAAAGGTCGATTGCGGGGTCGCAAGACCTTCATTGGTAATAACGATAACCGATCTCAAGGTAATGTGATCAACTGATGAGTTGACGGTTGAAGAAGTATCATTATTTGACTCCGAAGTATCTTGAGATGATCCGGTAGAAATTAATGTACAAATGGAACATGAAATTAATATAAATTGCTGTAGACGAGATGAAGTCATTGTTACCGTTGAATATAGCACAGTTTAACTACTCAAATGTTTGACCATTCATTGAAACAGCAGACAGGAAGATGAAAAGAGAAGCCACTAGGAGAGAAAGCAAAAAGAGAGTCCATAACAAGGGGAAAACAGGCAAAAGAGAACCTGTGGTTATTTAGGTTTAGCTGGTTAAACGGGTTTCTTTAGCCAATCAGAGGTTGAGTTGGATCCTATTTCAAGGTGAACTTGCATATGGTAACTTGACTCATCAGCTGAACCTTAGTTTTTTTTGAAAAACTAATCTGGTTGCTCTTATGGTTTGTGACCTGAACATTTAAATCCAGTCTCACATCACAAGTGCAGCGATACAATGTCATAATTTTGATGATATTGAATTTACAAAGCATAAAACGAGTTTGTCAGCTCAAGTCTCTGCACCAATATTGCGTCATTTTGCCATTGTTAACATGTTTTAGTAAAATTATTATCCAATCTTTTCCAACAATAATTTCACCGATTTGCGTTTAGTTGTGAAAATATCATTTGTATTGGTGTGGCTATATTTTGCCAATTTTTTGAAAGACTCTTTTTGTTCAAAATTGCATTGAAATTTGAACTTTTACATCCTACTTATTAATATATGGTTTGCAAGAATCAATGTGCATTTTAATTGTTGCGACTCTTTGCAGTCCTAATTGAATAAAATAGCAGCGTTTAAATGACTTTTATTTTTCCTTGATTTTTGACTGTCAAAAGTTGATCCCATCTTATCGGATGAAAAAGTAGAGATGATAAAAAGAGTAGGCCGATCTTGATCCTGACTAGGGATTAACTTTCTTCAATCTCTCTCCTCATTGGGCGGAAAAGTGACCTGACCTGTGTATATTCTTGCATCAGTCTGTAGATAAGAGAAAGAGAAATTTATTTATTTGCTTTCAAAATGATTATGAGTGTTAACAGGTACACTGAAATGATCAAGTGTAAAGACTGACAACTAGTTTATTGTTTCCACTTGAGAGTTCACCAAATTTACTTCTTGAATTGTTTTCTGGTCCAATTCAGGCACCAACAAGTTCATGGTAAGTATGTTGTATTTTCACTTGTTCATCTTTCAACCTTCTTTCTTTGAAAAACCACAAAAGATTTATAAAATTAGTAAGACCATTAGGATTATATAATAGTAAATATATCAACTCACAAAACTGTGGATCGAAAATTTTAGCATATTAACAAATATTTAGTTAACAATCTAACGTAAGCACACAAAAGACGAAACATTAAAGTGTCTAATCTAACGTTTGAATCTGATTAACGAATAAGGGTTGATAAAAATATGACAATTCCTTCAGAAATCTACACAGATTAGGAATTAAGTCTATTTTATGTTATAAACTAAATGATTGAGATGAAATAACTCTCTATTAATTAACAGTCTATACAACAATTTTTTACACAAAAAGAGTAAAGCTCATAAGACTTACTAGTTGCAATTCCGAGTCAAGATGTTTGTCGCTCGCTCCCGATTCCTTGTTAATTAACATCATTTCATCCAATGAGAGAAAACACTTTGAAATGAGTTAAATTAAATAATGAAAAGCTACAAATTAAACTGTCAAATTAAAAAGAAGTGAAAAAATAAAATGATGCAAACACCAATTTTTGGAATAGGTTCAATTGCGTGTCACCAGAGAGCACCAGCTTTGAAAATAATGATTCGAGTAAATTGTTCAATTGTTAATCAAAATTAATTAAAGTAATCAAGGAAGTCAAATAATTGCACAGTTTAATCACCGACAAGACAATTGTGATTTCTAATAAAAACAGGCTGTCCAATTGTCTTAAAGTAAACCACACTAACTTATCAAAAGAGCTTTAAAAGTGACAAAAATCTGCCATATTTAACTAGACTGTGAATCAAAACAATCAAATCTTAATTGAAACTAATATAACAGTTACATATTGTTAAAGTTGAAGCAAACAATCAAACAGTTGATATTGAATTAGCATCAATTAAATCCAAAACAATATTTCAGCAAAATTTACCAAAAAAGTTTAGTTGGTTGGCACCAGAGATCGCTAGCTAGAAGATGATGAAAATGACAAACCCAATCTCTCTCTCTCCCTCTCTCTTTTGCTTCCTAAAACATCTCACCAACCAAGTGTGTTTGTTTGGGTTAATTTAATTTAGGTTTTTGTTCAAGTTCACAATTTTTGTAAATTTACTTCGTTTCAATTAGTGTTTTGTTGGTTGTTAAATGTGGATTTACCAATCTGTTTTTCTGTGTGAACCATACATATTTTTATAGTGCATTTGATTAACATTGTGTCAACCAAATCAATCCTCTGGATAACCAAAGAGAGTCTTAGATAAAGAGGAAATAGAGTCGAGGTAATAACACTTTATGATGGATTCAGCTTTACTCTTTATTTTCTATCACAATTCCATTGTTTCCTGAATTTATCTTTTACCTTTTATTTTTTTCTATTATTTACCTTCATGTCTCTGTCTTTTCGACTCTTCTTGACTCATCCTCAGTACCGATCCAAAATTACTCTTTAGCTTCGTATTTTCTTTGTAATTCTATCTTTGTTGGTCTTTTCACATTTCATCTGATCTCCTGAATTTATCTTTATCTGTATATATTTTGCGTCTATCTGATAGATTTCATTTTTTACATAATTACTCTATTGTTTTTTAGTGTCCTTTTCTCCCTTTTAAGGAATCTGTCAATTGACTAATACTAACCAACCGGATCAACCAAATTATCAATTCATCTTGTGTTTTTTTGTCATAGTTTTTCCATGTTTTTCTCTTTTTGATATTTTTTCTGCTTTTATGGAAATCTAAAAAGCTTGAACTTTTATGCTCTTTCTCTATCTGATTTGACAAAATCTGCTCTTACGTTTTTGATTGAACAGCGAGATAAGTAAGTTGTGATGTCAAATTGTTAGTGTAGTAATCCTTGCAATTAACAGTCGTTGTATCTCCTTCTCCATAACCATTTCCCAGTTGTCATCCGTATATTGATACTGTATATAACTCTTTACTAGACAATGTCAGTGAATTGTCCAATTTGGATTGTTGTGATATTCCTTGTGCCTTTGTATTGATTGCTTTTTACTGCCACCATTATCCTTACAGTAGTCATTTTGTTTCCTAGCTTTTTCCTTTATCACTGTTTAGCTTTATCATTTTAACAAGTTGAGTTTGTACTTTGCATGTATGTGTTGACACTCACCAACCATTACAATTCAACTGACTTATATTTTTGTGATGAGTCAATGTTTAGGTAGCGGTGATTGCTGATTGATAGGCTGCTTAAAGGAGTCTTTTGTGTTCAGATCATCTTTAATTAACTTGTTTCGTTTTTTCCTTATTCTGTAATTTTTTTCTCTCCTTATAATATTCTTCGTCTTTCCCCTTCTGATTAGGCTTCAAGAAAAAAAAATAGGAAGCGATGATGCGATAAACATGGTTCATTGGGGATGCTGTTACTTGTTAAAATTGTCTTCGGTAAAATTAAATTTCATCAAGATGTGTTCCACTCAAGTGAATTATTGTGATCATCATGTTTGTGCGTTCCTTTATAATTGAGTAATATTAAGGTTAAACAAAAATTGTTTATCCGCCATCAAATAAGACACCGTTTTTGTTATACAAATTTTCTTCATGTTTTTCAAGCAACCCACAGTGATGATTAAAACAGCAGGTATTAGCAAGATGACAGATAATTGTTTAGATATTAATCAACTGCCTATAGAGGTCCGGGAAAAACTGGCTGAGCTTGATTTAGAGTTAAGTGAAGGTGATATAACTCAAAAAGGTTATGAAAAGAAAAGATCTCGCCTATTGGCTCCATATCTTTCCTGCCAGCCCGCTCAAGGATCCGCTAGCCCATCAACCCGTGCCAAAAGACGAGTTCACCGTCGATTAACCCGGCATGAGTCTCGTTATCACTCTGAAGTTCGCCAAGAAGCCGTTCAACAGGCTTTAGCAGCTATGCAAAACAGGGTTAAGCCATCTTTACCCATGCCATCGAAAAGAACCTCTTTAATGGCAACAACAACCTCACCTTCTCGAGAGAATCGAGTAACTGGATTAACAGATACATCATCTGATGAAGAAGACGAGGATTCATTGATTAATGAGAGTAGTGGTGGAGGAACTCCAGATGATGATCTCTTTATATCTGTTCGTCCAACCCATCTTATTAGTGGACACAACATTCGCCAGCAAAAATCTTATGACCAACAACCTAAACATCATTATCATCATCAATCTTCAACTGATACTTCAACAACTTCTTCACCCGCTCATGAACCCAATTTACCACCTCAACCTTTACCACCCAGAGTCATTGGTGTACAAGGTTTTCGTGATCATCAACCATCCTCACCAGTTGAACATCGAAGTAAAGAAAAAAAGGAAATCAAAGCACCGTCCATTGTTCCTAGGGAGAGTAAACAATCGTCTCAACGGCAATTACAATCAGCTTTTCAAAATCAATTGAAAGCTCATCTCAAAGATAAAGTGAAAACACCAATTACATCATCAACACCGCAACAACCACCCTTAATACCCTCACCAGCATCCTCTATGCAACAACCATCTTCAACAACTGTTAACAATCTTGACGATAATGACCAACCACCATTACCACCGCCTCACCAGTCAACTCAATATCCTCCAAGAATGATGAAACAACATCATTTCAATAATAACAATAACAGTAATAACAACAACAATAACAATAATATCAACCTGAGCAGTAGTATTAATAATAATAAAGATAATTTAAGCCGTGGTTCTGGTGATGGTACTGGAAGTGGTGGAAGTAGTTATGATGATAACTGTAGTAGTAGTGAGCGACCACCTGAAAAACCTCCTCAAAGGATAAGTTCTAGATCAGATACAAACATCATGAGCATAACCGATATGCTGCAAAGTTTATCAACAACAAATACAAGTTTCTCCACACAAAATCAACAATCTCAACCTGATGTAACCAAAACTAATAACAATAATGATTCTTTATCACTTAGCAGAACCTCACCCTCAAGTCAAGATATTGGCCCAGAATATGATAATGTTTATGGTCATCAAGAAAACACTGGTTCACCAGTGCGCACCAGTCGATCACCATCTATCGATACTTATGGTACAGGTAGATGGAAGGTATCAGCCAAAATCCAGCAGCTTTTAAATACACTAAAAAGACCAAAGAAAAGACCACTCCATGATTTTTATATTGACGATGAAACTGATTTAGAAATAGCTGCCAATCAATTGGATCCATCAGCACCTAGACCAGAGGGAAGTACCATGTTGCCATCAGTCAGTGAACCTCTCATAGTTTCCTCTGGACTACCCAAAAGTTTAGAGGAAGCTCTTCAACGTTACGGTTCAGCAACCTTTAAAGCTCCAGCAATCACTGTTCTCGATCCTACTGGAAAGATTAGTCCCTCGATAACTTATGGCAAATTACTGAGTCGAAGTCGCAAAATTGCATACAATTTATTAAATAAAATTGGTCAAAAAGGTCTTACCACTGGGGCTGAAACAACAACTATTAAACCCGGTGACCGTGTAGCATTAGTTTATCCAAACAGTGATCCAATTGGATTTATTTGTGCTTTCTATGGCTGTCTCATGGCTGGAATAGTTCCGGTTCCAATTGAGGTTCCCATGTCCAAAAGGGATGCTGGATCACAACAAATAGGCTTTCTTTTAGGCTCTTGCAATGTTTCTTATGCACTAACAGCTGATGCATGTTTCAAGGGATTACCCAAATCACCCGGAACTGGTGAAATTCATACCTTCAAAGGTTGGCCACCTTTAACCTGGTTAGTTCCAGATAATTGGTCAAAACCGCCAAGAGATTGGGTTCCACCGCCAAGGATCTCTGAAGAGGTTCCAGCTTATGTTGAATATACTCTTGATAAAGATGGTTCAATGAAAGGTGTTTGTGTCTCTCGACAAGCCATGATTTCCCACTGTCGAGCTTTAACCAGTGCTTGTAATTACACTGAAGGTGATGTTATGGTTTGTGTATTGGACTTTAAACGTGAAGTTGGACATTGGCATTCAGTGTTAACCAGTGTCCTCAATGGAATGCATGTCATCTTTATACCTTACTCACTAATGAAAATAAATCCCTCCTTTTGGATGTTAATGATTACCAAATTTAAAGCAACTGTGGCCATCTGTAAATCTCGTGATTTACATTGGGGATTATTGGCAACCAAGGAACACAAAGATGTAAATTTATCAACACTTCGAATGTTATTAGTGGCCGATGGCTCCAATCCATGGTCACTTTCCTCTTGCGATCAATTCATGAGTGTATTCCATAGTCGCGGACTTCGCCCTGATGCTGTTTGTCCCTGTGCTGCTTCACCAGAAGCTCTTACCGTTGCCATCAGAAGGTAAGTCTCTTTATTTGTAAACTCACCAGAAAAGCAATATAAATGAAACATTTTCTTCCATTGTCAATATCCACAAATGAATTAAATTCAGATTTTTCTCTTGACATAATTACTGTAATGATATAATTTCATGATCAACTTGATTCATTGTTTCATTCATTTTCTTGACATTTACTTTTCTCATCTTCATCCATCACTATTATATTACCTTTTTATTATCCCTCAATATCACCACCACCCTAAAAATTGATAATTATTTCGGTTCATTTCTACAATCAGCTAATTTATGATTCATGTAATCATTCATTTTTTTACAAAAAACTAACAATTCAAGGTTAGACTTGTAAATTAAGAGCCGGGAATTATTGAATCAATACTGAAGCTGAATCAATAGTGAACATTGAAAAAAATCATTTACTCATTACTATTTCATGTTTCAACGCAATGACAAATGTTATTGCCAAACAATCATTTGATTTTTTTTCTCTACAATATTAATTGCAATTGTTATTCAAGTCTACGGGCTAACAACCTTTTCTCACTTTCTTTTCTTGCTAACTTTACTTCCTCCATTTTTTGAGAAAACAAAACAAAGCAAGAAAATTGAAGGAAAAGTATATCAAGTCAATTAATTTTGATGGAAATAATGATGATTATGTTTACTCCTCTTCCCCAACTTGCAAAACACTTTTGACTTTTCCTTCACTGACTTAAGGAAACGGAAAAAATGTTTCCTTCAACTCACACAAACACACACATTGACTTCATTATAAAGGTTAAGACGCAAAAAGCATGTTTATTAGCTAAGTGGTCCTGCTTCAAAATTGACCAGTCTCAAGACATAACAAAAAATAACAAGTGAGGGTCAACTTTTCCGTCCAACTTGAAATATCTAAACATCTTGCCTTGCTCCATGCTCTTCATTATCATCATAACTTTGTCTTATTGATGAAGTTTATTTACTGGGAATCTATCGATCAGCCAATGTTTCTTTGTGTTAACATCTCAACTAATTAAAAAAACTCAACATTTGTAAACAAAAATGCTGCTTTTATCAGGAAACTTAACCTTTTCTTATCAATTGATCATAAACTCAGTCAGTTTCGGTGTTGCTTTTTCATACTTTACACCTTGTCATTAATTTAGTTAATTTTAATTTGTCGATTTCAAGATTTTTGCCATCATTTAACAGATTGTCTTCAGTATGCTCAAAATTTATCAGCAACTGTTCAATTATATGTTGAAAATGAACAATTTGTTTCTGTTTTCATCTTTAAGTTTATTTTTCTCCTGAATTACAACATGAATTTTAACCAAGATAAATGTGAGAACATCATTTATATTACATTAATACGAAACTTCAATTAGGAGCAGCTAATTTAACATACAACATTCAACGTTTTTCTTCAACTGATAATCATGATTAGTAGCACTTATGTATATTTATATCTTTATATTTAAATATTCACTTAATAATATACAATATTTTGTTGTTACTTTTAAAATACAGAATGAAAATTGGAAAGTTTGAAAGTAGCATTGATAATGGTTATTAGTGGATAACATTGATTTAATGTCCAACATTAGTCAAAACGCTTAAAGCCAATTCCATACTATTTTTACTATTATTGAAAAATGTCATTCTAATCATTTTGTTCATCTTCACCATTTGAACACACTCATGATAAAGTGTTTACGAGTGCGTTGATGTCAATTTAGGTTTTAAAAAACTATCTCAAAAAAAGTTAACATTTGCCTTGAGCAATTATCTCATTGATCATGTCTTTATAACAAGCATTTATTTCGCACTTTTTGTTTCTATTTTGTTTTCCATTGAACTTTTTCATTCTCATTTATCATGATAGCTATAAGATTGATTGCTATTCAAGTTGATATCCTTTTTGTTCCGATTTGATCATCTTTTGCTGTCTAAACAAAATTACTTTTTCCTCTCTTCTCTAAATCTGATTACCAATCTGTTTCAATTCAGTTCGTGTAATCTCTTTGATTATTTAATACAATCTTATTGTCTTTTCAGGTCTAATCCTTGAGACATTAATTGTGATTATAATCAATGAAAACAACATTCACTGCGAAAATTAAAACTTACTTTACCTTTTTAGGTAACAGCTATTTCCACATGAAAATTTCATACTTTATCCAATTTCAATTTAATCTTGATTTAGATTTCCATGAAATCCAAACATTCACCAAATATAGAGTTGATCAGTTGAATTAACATTTACATGATTATCCTGTGAAAATTTAAATTTGTTAAACTTACTACTCTTTAATGGTTAATGTAAATTGATGCTTGAACGCATTTCAATGCATTGAACAAACTCATTGGTCACCTTTTTTTGCATAACTTTACCTAAAGGTCAATCCTTCAGAAATAGTCAAATGTCATCTGGTGTTTCTTTGCATTCATTAACGCATTTAATTGTGTCTGGCCGTAATTTGACGCAACGATGAGACCATTTTAGTTTCACTATTCAAAGCAACAGACAAGTTAATCTTATTGTTATTCCGATAATTACTGTGAAAACTTGATATTGTTGTCACAATATCAAGAAACTGATGATTAAAATGGGAAATGTTACTTTAAAGCGACTCAATTATCATGATAATTATGATGATACAATTGACCATGGAAATCAAATAATAGAGTTGATCATTTACCTGAATTGCAGCCTTGAACATCGGTATAACTGATGTAATTTTAATTGTAATCAGCTAATCAGAGCCAGTTTTAAACTGTCATTAAAACAAGTTTTCACTCAATTTCTTGTTTTTCCGTAATTTTGTTTATCCTTTTCCCTCATGATTCATCCAGAATTTTTGCTTCATCCAAATCTGAATGATTGCTTTCCTATTCGAAACATTCATTATTGATTTCAATGGATGAAACAATTTCAAACTATTCACAATTAGCTCTTCTGTGAACTTTATTTACTCTCGAAGCTTTAATTGTGAGATATTGATAAATTATTGAGAAAAATATCATTTAAATTTCACAATTAAATGTTCACCATTTGCTGACTTGACAAACCTTAAAAGATGTCAACCAAATAATTTAATCTCTCAACCCTTTTACCCAACATTAACTATTCAAGCTACTTGACTAACTGTAAAATTAGGTTGTGCATAAAACTGTAAACAAGCAATTAAACAACGGTCACTTTGACAATTTGTGATTAAAATGAACCACAAAAAAGGTTGAATATTTCACTTTTAATTGTGATCCCTTTTATAATGAAATATTGTTACAATGAAAGACTGAAAATGAAACATGAAAGAGAAGCTGAAATGTTCATCAACTTGATTCAAAATTCACCATCAAATGCATCATATTAGTCATCAAATTGAAGATTCTTTGTACTGTTGATGTTAATCATTATAATTGACCATAAGTTGAATCACCTTCTAAACCGTTTGTAATCAATCAAAGTGCTTCTGTAAATCCAGTTTTCATGAATAGCAAGAAATCTTTTTTAAGATTTTCTCTGATTAACCAGTGAATATAAATCAGCTGATTTTCGGCCTCTTTCCAGAAAATTTTCACTCAAAATGAATCTCAACCTTTTAATGATCAAATATTAATATTAACGGTCGTTGTCCTTTGAGCATTATGTTTCACTTTTTTTTCTGATTCGTATTGTAATATTTTAAACTGAATAATAACTGTAAACGGGAAGTCTTTTGTTCTCATCATGAGAATTGTTATTATCATGGAAACTAGCAAACCTCAGATTAAAAACACTGAGATGTTCATTAACATGTACAGACTTTTCATTTCTAATCATATCTGGTTAAATCTTTATAAGTTTATTTGTTTATCAACAGCCAAACGAAACAACTCAACTCAATTAAAGTTGATTAACTTAATAGCAATGAGATTTATTACAAGATTATTATCTATATTATCATTAGCTGATTAACCATTGATGATTGAAAATTGATTTTACTTCCATATTCATCTGATTCAATGCTCTCTCTCTCTCTCCATGAAAACTACTTTTTTTGGGAAACCTTTTTGCTCATCTTTCATCATCTTTTCAAGATTATTAACTCATTATCGTTATCTTCATGGACCAACATGAAAGCCAACTCTATAAGTTTACATTATCCTAATAATGAATTTTCCGCCTCTAATCATGATACAACCAATACCAAGTTAACTCAATTTTTCTTGATAAATTGTTGCGTTGAATTTAATTTAATGTGACTTTTTGTTTGATTTAATGTGAATTGATATTAATGATTTACTTCCTTCATTTAGTTTACAGTTGAAACAAATCAGTGTTACTAGGATAATGATAAACACACTTAGACTAATCACACATCAGAATCAATGTGGTTTAACTGATTTGTTGGATAACTTCATTTCTGGTGAATATCAAACATCCCGTTAATAACTTTTAATTGCTACAATTTAACCACTAAAACGGTTTTTAATAATATTGTAAAATTATGAGCGGAATCATTTTGATGACCATAATCATTTGACCATCAATGCTACTCTGATTTACAATTTGCTGAATAACTTGACAACTTATTATTTTGCTGTCAAAATGAATCGTTTTATTTGACGTCCCTTGACATTGATAAAGCATTTTATATTTAATTGTATTCAATCATTTGATCAATTTTTACCTTAATATCTTGAATATTCATATTTTAAATGCATCTTTTCAGTGAAACTATCAAAATTTTCAAATTGTGTTGTATTGCATTTTGAACCATTTTAATAACTGTTATCTCGCCACTATTAGACTCTTTATCATGCTGTGTAATTCATAATTTAATAACAATTTAAGGTGTAACTAACTGTTCTTGATAATCAAATATTTATTATTTACTTGACACTTTATTCAAGAAGATTATCTATTGTAATAATCGTAACCATTTTATTGATTATTTTTCATCTTCTCACACAAAGAGATAATAGGATTTGACAGGTCGACAGAGTTGAGTAAAGTTTAATTTATTCAATGAAAAAAGGTAAATTCAAAGTGAATGATAATTTGTGATGTTGTGTCACTATTTGAGGGTCAAACAATCAATTCAAATCTTGAAATAGAATGAAAGAAAAGCTGAAAAGGTAAAAAAGGAAGAAAGGTAAACTTATGGAGAAAAAGAAAGAAATGAATTGAAAGTGATTGAGTTTAAATAATGAGCTTGAGGTTTTGATAAATCACTTGACTTGAAATGTTTAAGTAAATTTACTCTACGTTTTCAAATGATTTAATGTAAATTTTTGATGATCATCATTTTTGAATCATTTTACTTTGGCGAAAAGATTTAAAGTTTCAAGTTAAGTGATGAACAAACAGTTGAAATGAGCTGACGATGAGTAAAATAGCTTTTATTATTATATAAAAATTGTCTGCCATTCAAAATATTTCTCGTTATTTTATTAACACCTAATTTTGTTTCCTTCATTCCTCGCCAAAACCAAATATAACTTGATATTCATTTTTCAACTTGATTCACTTTCTCATCTTCATCTTCACCCATTTTGCCTTTCCTTTCCAGGGAAAACATTAGCTTTTCACTTTTGAACAATTTCTTATTTCTCTTGCTCAACTCCGAATATGGAACAAAATTTATGTTTCTTGACCCAGTTTTACTCTCTGCATCGTTTAAACATTACATTGACTCCTTTTTTGTTTCCTTCATTTTCCTCTTTACACTTGAGATTTTAAGTTATCCAATACTGTAAAATGATACCAATTAATTTCATTTGAAATTCATAATGGTTGAAAAAACTGTACAGCTGGATGATAAATGATGTGAACGATGAAGAGTGATGTTCAACTTAGGGCGAAGAAAAGAGAAACATAAAGTAAAAAAAGCATCAAATATTTCATGTTTTATGTTCAATATTTTTCATTATTTTGTCACTTAATGAAAGATCTTGAATTGATGGAAATCAAAAATTACATTAACCAGAATATGATGACTTCACTTGGCTTCAGAGATAAATCATAAAACCAAGCAATTTTCACAAATTTAGTTATCATGGAACAGTTTAAAGTCAAATTAACTTCGTTGGTTAGTTTATTCACTGTTTCACCAACTTATGCTTGTTGTTTCTGAGATGATTCAATTTCTTTGTTAGCATTTGGATCGACGAGTAGAGGATTCGTGAGTTCACTTTCTTGTTTATTGTCCTTTTGTTTTTCGGCAATTAGTGCTAAATCCCATTTCTCCTTGTTTCTTGTGAGCACAATGGCGTTGCCCAGTGGATGGATGAACATTATCGCTGCCAATGAGTAGACAAGACCTGGATTGTAGTCTATTGTTGCTTGAAATACTTTGGTATAATATAGTGAAGATAATATTGGAATTATTCCTCCAATCGCTGAATTAAATGCAAACAGTTTTCCAACTTCATCTGTAGGAACCATTCGTGAAAGTATTGAACGATCAATTGCTAGTAAAACACCAGCAAAACTGCCAAAAAACATGAAAACGTAGACAATTGGACTAAGAATTAATCCTTTGACCAGGAAACAGTAAGTGACTGAAACGATACCAATAATGGCAACTGCACTGTCATGAAGTTTCATTTTGTAAATGAATAAAGGTGGACCCACAATGGCACCTAAAGTAAAAAAGATCATTACAAGTGACCCATAATAGCCAATCTGTTTTGCATCCCAATGGTAAACTCGTTGGTTAAATTGATAAACAATATTTTGTTCACCCAGATAAGTCATGTTCTGTATAAACCCAGCCATTAAGGTTGAAATTATATACCAATGGCCATTATTGGGCCTTTTCTTGAATACACAGCGAACGCAGGATAAAATCAAGTTATCAGGTTTGAGCAAGTCAGCAACTATTTGCTTGAAACCAACTTTTTCTTCCTTCTCTTTGCCTCCATCTTCAACATTATTCAAATTAACATCTAACTTTTCCACCGTTTGTTGATCAACAGTCTGATCGGAATCATTTAACATTACAAAAGCCCAAATCGTAGCAAGAACAGCGCCCAACGAGGAAAAAATGTAAACCCCAACGTAATTACGAAGAAGACCAAAAGACCAAAAATCGCTTGCAATCAAATGCCCTCCCAAAGTGTTAGCTGTAGGCATAGCTGTAAATGAATGAAAAAATTGGAAATTTGATTAAAATTCAATCGAAAAGGTTGCTTTCCTTTCTTCATGAAATCAAATCAACTTTTCAAAGTAAATTACAAATTGAGAGTTCACTCACTTGCGAAGAAAAAAATCTCAAGAACCGTGAATCTTATGGCTCGATATTTAGCCGGAGTTTTCCGAGTTGCATAAGTAAAGGTACCTGTATAAATGATCGCTCCACTTCCAGTCAAAATGGGAAACAAATAAGTGTACAACAATGAATAAGGATCTGTAAAAAAACATTTGTCAATTTTTTCATTTCAAAACTCAATTCCAATCTTACCTGTTTCAAAATGAATACACTGATAGATGACCATGATATTTTGAACTACATTTGCTGCTGATGCAAAGCCAAGCATGTATCTCAAATGGTTGGGATAAGCGTCGATCCAATAACCCATAATGAGAGATGTGAATATTGTTGGTATTGTTGTTATTATTGTTATGTACATTTTAAGTGTTGTCGTCTCTTTGAAAACACCTATTTGTATCGAGTCATATTCACTTGCTGATGATTCCAGTCTCAAACAAACAGATTCATTTGCTGAATAATGGTTCATACAATATTTATCTTGAATTAACTGATTTAAAGCAATATTTGGTAATAGTGAGCTGAACATGCTCATGAAAAAGAAAACATCAATTCGAAGAAGCTTGATTAAGCCGAAAAACTCTTTCACTGTAATTTTAGGCATTCTGATGGTTTATTGTAATAATACTTACATTGAAATGTAACTACAAGAATTAGACGAGAAAATGATCAAACATTTTTTAAACTAACATTTATTTCCTTATCTAACAAGTAGTGAACCTTGTCGGCTCTCGATCACGTTATAATCAACTTAAACGTTGCCAATTCCAGGTCTCGAAGCACTTGATAACATGAATTCAAGGTTTAATCACTTGAATTATTACATGATGGTTAGTTGATGCATTCGCCCTCACTTATCTTACATTGTACTTAGATTTCAAATACCAAGATAAGAAACAATTTTCATGAAAATATCGACTTCGATCTTCTTGGTACTTCAGCTGTAATTACTTATGATTTTATGCAAAAAATGATTAGATTCTAGAATTTTTCCAATTCCTTTATTTTTATCCAAGTCAAATTCACGTTCATAGATTCAGAATGATTGTTACATTGAAAAAGTTGTGCGATTTTTTTATTATAAAAACTGTTTTACTCATAAAGATGTTGAAAAAGATTGGTCGAGTGAACCAGAAAAAGAGAGAAAAAATTGAACCAAATATTTAATTCTACTTTTCATTTCTATTATGTAAGTTAATTTCAAAAGGTCAGTGTGAAAATTGGACTCAAGAGTGAAGAGGAAGAAAGGAAGATAAAGATTTACCAAAAATCTATTGATCCTCAACGCTTCATCATCCTCTTGATCTTTCCATCATCTCTGGTTTAAATGATACACAAAGAACATTCTTTATCACCAATTTTTCTCTTGATTTTGGGTTACAGGTTTTTACACTTAAAACAAACTTTCTCTTCAAACATTTTACTTTCGCCTTCATCATCAACTTTCTTCTGGCTCTTTCAATCTTCCGATAACATTTCTTAGCTCAAAAAAACCAACAATAACGTCAAAAAATCAACAGCATGATGATGCGGTTGCCCACTAGATGCAACTCAAGAGACCAATTACCCACTGACTGGTTTCTTGTTCACGGTTAAAAAGTCCATGGGAAAAAATTAACAAAGAACGAGATGATGATGATGAAGATGAAGGTTAAGGTGAAGTGTAAAGACAAAGAAGCCAAATATATTAACAGCTACTTAAGAAAGTGGGTGGAAGAGGAAAATGAGGAGGAAAAAGGAGTAAAAGTAAAGACTTTTGATGCGTTTTCATTTCACGTAACAAGTGTATTATAAAAAAGGTGTAACATTAGTAAAAATTGCTTTCAAAATTTACCTGTAAAAAAGAGAAAAAAAGAAGTTCTTTCATCTTGAAAGACCGAGAGGAAGATGAAGGTGAGAGAGTCAGAGTGATGAAGATCACTTCATCAAAAAAGTCATCATCTCCAGATTGTTGAGCTGCTTTTTAATCCATGATTCCTGTTGTTTGATGAGTTTATAACCTACAATTGTGACTCTTTCATTTAATCATTTCTAATTGTCCAAAAATTATCCAAATTGTTGTCCTTAATTTTATTTCTACGTCTTGTGAATACTTTGAAAACGTCATTTCAACCTTTTTTTAGCTTTTACAATCCATTTGTCAATGGAAATGGAAGAAATCTTTTGAAATCAATTCCATTTGAAGTTTCATTCTGTTGTCTCAAAGTTGTTACTTGTCTCATGTGTCCTCTCATTATCATCATGACCATCATCATGGTGATATTGATCACTCCAACAGGGAAAGGTTAAGTTGAAATAATGGGTTTTTATCTCAAAGACAATTTAAATTGATCGATCAATCGACTTTCCCTTTCATCTTAACCTGATCTTGATATTGTTTCACGATTCACAGCATTCTTAATGTTACTTTGTTGTTACCTTTTCCTTCCCTGTTTACTGTTTCCTATTAAATCAAATTGATGTTTACCTTTTGTTTCAACCCTCATTGATAGGTGAAGGAAAACAAAATTGAAAATAAATAATGAAAAATTGACGAAAAAAATTCCAAATTCTAAGCAATTGATCAGTTCTTGTAATAATTTCAATATTGACTTGAACAATTATTGTTACAGTTTCAAAAGCACCAATATTACCTGTAAAAGATGAAAATGATTGTGTTTGTTGATCGTTTCCAAGACACACTCACTTTGTTTATTCACATTCAAGTGTCTTTACCTTTCTGTGTGTCCTTTTTTGTCTAACTCATCATAATTTTGACATTGATAGTTAATTATTATTATGCAATTGAATGATTCTCATGTTTGTTGATTGTTGAAAGACCAGGTTCATTATTTGGAGCTATCTGAAGTTTCTTCCTAGAACTGTTAATAACCTTGAGTGTTATTTTAATGGTAGGCTGAACATGAGCTTTTTATACTCAGCACTTTCAGATTACATTTATCTGTGAATACTTCCTACTCAGGGCAAAAAAGCAAAATTCAATAGCTTAATGTTTCATAGTGATAAGCCCATTGAACTATCCCATTGGAGTTGAGGATAAAAAACAATGTAAACAGTCAAATGTAAAATGCAATAAAAATCCCGAGAAGAGTCAAGATTTGAATTGAATATTTGATTTTTGTTGACTTTTTTCAATGAATTGTCCGGAAATACAATTAGGCCATTAAATTTGAGGATATCCTGGTTCATTTTTATATAAACATTACCATTTTAGATTATATTTTAATTAAATTAACTCCTTGACATTTACTTAATCATCAACATAATCTACTGAATATTTGCTTTTTATTTCAATGTAAATCTCAATGTATTCAATATGGAAATCAATATTTACTTAAATTCACTCAACATTTCAACCATTTTTAAGCTTCTCTTTGATTATTATTAACGGTTATTTAAATTATTAAGGATTATTTACACTTTAAGATTTAACAATACAATGTATTATTAGTTAATTGTTGCTAATATTGAATCTTTCGATATTTGCTTCACATTTAATTTCACTTTTGCTTTTTGTTTTCCTGTATTTTTCAGTGAACAACCAAAATCAAAGTGTTACACCAAAATTGATTCTTGGAACGATGAAATTAATGTATCATTAACACGCTAAATCGTGATTGTTTTTAGCTAAATTATCATCAATTAGTGATCATCTTCCGTTGATTGTATCATCAAGATAACACTTTAAAATCAACTTTCTTTAAATAATATTTTCAAATCTCCATTTGAAGGTTATCGACTTATTGTATTCATTGTTTGCTGATTTGTGTTTATTTGCGTTTATTTTGACGATTAGTTTTTTTCTTGTATTTTGCTTTTACTGTTGTTTGTGAATATCATTTTGCCCGTAAGGTTAGTTTTATTTCAAGATGAGAGCGATTCTGATAAATCAACTTCTCCTCCAGGGATCCCCTGAAAATTGAATTGAAAGCAAATTAAATTAACGGTCTTGACTATTGATGATGAGGGTGAAAGGAACGATTGACTTTTTGAACAAAATTAAAATTAAAGAAAAAAATGGTTAATATTTCGATTAAATTGGAAAAATCAAAAGAAATAAGTCAAATTTATTATCATCATCATTACTTTCATAAAACGCAGTAGATTTCAAATCTCTATTATCATTATGGATGAATTTGATTTAATATGTTCTGAATGGTAACTCAATTTGATGTTAAATCAGCCAGTAAACAGTTTTAATCAGAACCATTAAATGACAACATTTTTAACCTAACCTTTACACTTTTCTCAACATTCCAATAACTTTTTTGGTGACAACTTTTTTTAATCAAATAATAATGAATTGGTTTGACACACGCTCCATTGAACTATCAAACATTTTGATTTTCATCCTTCTTGACTGTTATATTATCAGATACAAATCTTCATCAACACATTGATCAGCTGCAGAAGAGATGACATTAAAATATTATCAAAAAAGGGAATAACCTGAAATTTCAGCTTTCAATGAGATATTTATCATTTGAACGCCTAAGAATAAAAAATAATACCTGATCAATTGATGGTGAAAATTTTATTTTTGTATGTATTCAGCTATTTTTAGATGTTATTAAGGTTTGCTTACTCAAAATGTTTTCCGTGTAAATTAACAATTGAAAGCTTCTGAGAAGTTAATGTGCTTTATCAGTTGGTTGTTTAATAATTTTATATTTTTCCTGAATATAATTTGTTAACTGCTTAACCAAATCTTTTAAATACATTATTTTACTCTAGAATTGGCTAATTGGTGTGAAAATAAAGCAATTTTTTCCTATTGATACACTTAACTTGATTTCATTTTTCAAGTTGATCCATTGTGAACAATTGAAATGTAAAAAAAGTGAATAAATCGTGCAAAAAACAGCTTCTATGTAATACAGACTGGATTAAATTCAAAATTGATTTTAGATATTTATGCCTTTTTAGATGAAATCATGATAGTCACGATTCTTTACGATTCTGATCAGATTAACCTAAATGCTTGATAAACTTTAATAGAAATGATAATTGTTAAAACGATGGTTACTTTTTGTTGCTTTTCTTGGTGAATCTTTAAAACAAAACACTGTTGAACGAATTTTTAATTTCTTTCCTTTTTTTGTTTGTGTTTAATTTTAGACCTGGCCGTACGGGGGTTGGAGCAACTGGACGTGGAGTCCTCTCAATGTCGGCGCTAAGTTATGGTGTAATTCGTGTTGACCAGGCCAATAGTTTAACCTCTTTAACCTTACAGGATTGTGGACATATCTTACCCGAAGCAACAGCTGCAGTTGTTAAATTGAATGGATCACCCTATTTATGTAAAACAGATGAAGTCGGTGAAATTTGTATTAGCACAACAGCCACTGGATCGTGTTATTGGGGCCTCCAAGGATTAACAAATAACATATTTAAGATGCAACCACTCAATTCAGATGGTTCAGTCTATTCCGAGAGTCAGACCTTTGTTCGTACAGGACTCATTGGGTTTATGGGACCTGGAGCTCTTGTCTTTGTTTGCGGTACTCGTGATGGTTTAATGCAAGTTTCAGGTAGAAAGCACAATACAGATGACATTATCGCTACAGTTCTTGCAGTTGAACCAATGAAATTTGTGTACCGAGGTAGAATCGCTGTTTTCTCAATCAAAGTACTTCGTGATGATCGTATCTGTGTTATTGCTGAACAAAGGCCCGATTGTACCGAAGAGGAAAGTTTCCAATGGATGAGTCGAGTTTTACAAGCAGTTGACTCTATCCATCAAGTAGGAATTTACTGTCTATCATTGGTTCCACCCAATGCTTTACCCAAAACCCCATTAGGAGGCATTCACCTTCCTGAAGTTAAACGTCGATTCCTCGAGGGAAGCCTACATCCAGCCAATGTACTGATGTGTCCACACACTTGTGTAACCAATTTACCCAAACCAAGGGAGGTTCATCTTGAAATTGGCCCTGCTTCAGTTATGGTGGGCAATATTGTCCAAGGAAATAGGCTTGCAGTTGCTCAAGGCCGGGAACTTGGATCCAATGCAGATGAACCCATGTCTATGGGTGAAAATGATTTTACCCGGAAATATCAATTTATTAGTGAAATATTAAAATGGAGAGCAGTGACCACACCCGATCACAATATGTATACTCTTTTAAATAATAAAGGATGTGAGGCAAGTTCAGTTACCTGTTTAGGATTACATAAGAGAGCTGAAAGAGTTGCCTCTCTTTTACTTGAACGCGGTAAACTAAACACTGGTGACCATGTTGCACTCATCTATCCACCTGGTATTGATCTCATTTGTGCATTTTATGGTTGCCTGTACATCGGTGTTGTTCCAGTTACCATTCGACCTCCTCATCCTCAAAACCTTCAAACAACCTTACCCACGGTGCGAATGATTGTGGACGTTTCTAAATCAGCCATTATCTTATCCACCGGACCTGTTATTAAATTGCTCAAATCCAAGGAAGCCTCAAATGTTGTAGATATGAAATCATGGCCACTTATCATAGACACTGATGATTTACCCAAGAAAAAGTTAACCTCAATCTATCGAGCACCAACACCTGAAATGATTGCTTATCTTGATTTTTCTGTTAGCACAACCGGCATGTTGGCTGGTATCAAGATGTCTCATGCTGCTGCCACAAGTCTTTGTCGCTCTCTTAAATTAGCCTGTGAACTTTATCCTTCAAGGCACATTGCTCTTTGTCTAGATCCTTATTGCGGCCTTGGTTTTGTCCTTTGGACTCTTAATTCAGTCTATTCTGGACATCATTCTATTCTCATTCCACCTTCTGAAGTTGAAGTCAATCCTGCTCTCTGGTTAACAGCTGTTAGCATGTATAAAATACGTGATACATTTTGCTCCTATGGAGTCATGGAGCTTTGTACCAAAGGCTTAGGAACCGGAATAAATGCACTCAAGGCATGGATAAAATACTTTTCAAAAAACAAAGCAAAGCAAAGTTTTAACAATAGATTAGCTTGAGATTTGTCGGCAAAGACAAAGAAACCGCTAAACAAAACAATTGTACTTTGTCACCTTATCTCAAATTTGGGTGATATTCTGGTCAAATTTTTAGTAAGACCATCTAACCTAATTAGTTTACTCAATTAGTAGAGAAGATTAACAGAAAGAGAAGATTAACAAAATAATTGAATTTTAGCTAAAAAGTGTGATGACTAGGGAAAGCCAAACACATTGAAGTCTTGATTAGTTATGTGACGGTATTTTGGGTTCAACTAATAGCGGGAATCATTGCCATCATCCTATTGAGTTAATAAGTGTATAACCAAAAGGAGGCAGCAAAAATTTGCTCTCGTCCCTGCGGCTAATTAACAGATCGCTGACCTTCATAACCTTAATCTTGGCTCAATGATTCATCACTACCATCATTTTCATCTCTCCATCATCATCTTTACCACCACACAGTTATTCACTTGAGAAATGTATTCAAACTATTACTTTTTTCCGTGCAAAAGCAGGGATGTTGTAGATTCAGATGATAATGATGGTGATGATGATAGTGATATAAATGACGAACAAAATTGCGAAAAAAGAATGGCCAAGTTTTAGAAGAAATTTTGACTGACTCTAATCAATTGAAGAACTTTCCTTGATTGTCAATCTTATTATTAATTCCTATCAATAGCTTTGAAATGCATTCTTTAAACTCTTTCCTAATCCTCAATATCATCCATTATCAATTCATTTAAGGTTATGCTTCATTAATAGTTGGCAAGTGAATCTTTTTCAAAACAATTTTGCATTTTGATATTATAGTTTATAAATTGATGTTTTTTTGTATTTCAAATCAAATGTTACATCAATTTAGATTGACACTTTGTCCTGGTTAATTGCCAAAAATGTATCTCTGACAATAGTTGAAACATGATGAGTTTAAAGTCTATATTTGACTTGGGGTGTTTAAAGGTAAAAGAAAATAGATTTAAGGATTGATGATGGCAAGATAAATTATCATCTTCTATTTATACTTTCCATGATCGAATGTGTTAGACCTTGAGACTAAACCTTCTTCCCACCTTTTCTGTCTCTCTTTGATTCAAGAAGAAGATGATAATCATGATGATAATGATAATGATTTAAACTTTGCTTTGCTTCCGGGTCTTTGTTCAATTGATTTATGTTACAATTTTAACATTAACATTTGCTTTTTTTTCTCTCCTCGTAATTTCCTGATCAACAGCAAAGAGGCGTTAATCTTGCTTGTGTCAGAACCTGTGTAATTGTGGCCGAAGAGCGACCTCGAGTCTCATTAACCAATTCATTTTCCAAGTTATTCTCATCCCTTGGTCTTTCTCCTAGAGCGGTTAGCACCAGTTTTGGGTGTCGTGTTAATGTTGCCCTTTGTCTTCAAGGAGCCTCAAGTCCAGATCCGACAACTGTTTACGTTGACATGAGAGCTCTTCGTAATGATAGGGTTACTCTTGTTGAACGTGGTGCTCCTCATAGTCTGTGTCTCATGGAATCAGGTAAATTATTACCTGGAGTCAAGGTAATCATTGCCAATCCGGAGACTCGGGGTCATTGCGGGGACACCAATTTAGGTGAAATATGGGTACAAGCACCGCACAATGCAAGTGGCTATTTCACTGTATATGGAGAAGATGGACTGCAAAATGATCATTTCAATGCTCGTCTGACAACTGGTGATACATCACAAGTTTATGCAAGAACGGGTTATTTGGGATTCTTAAGGCGAACTGAATCTGTTCAAGCTGATGGAGGTTAGAATCACACATTGACTTTTCAAAACTAACCTTACTGTTTTAGTAATTTTAGTTACCCCCTTAAATATCAATGTTAATCTTGATTTATGTATTTATTTATTTACTAATGTATTTTATTTATTTATTTATTCATTTTCAGAACTTCATGATGCCATATTTGTAGTTGGAGCTTTGGATGAAACGATAATGTTACGTGGGATGAGATATCATCCAATTGATATTGAAAATAGTGTTTTACGGTGTCATAAAAAGATTGCTGAATGGTAAGTTAATTGTTTATCTTTTTTTCTGGTTCTATCATTACCAGGATTCTGTTATAATCTGGAAAATTCACGTTTAGCTTAACTAATAATATGCTCTCTTTTCCTATTTCAGTGCAATTTTTACTTGGACAAATCTTTTAGTTGTTGTCGTTGAATTGGACGGTAATGAAAATGAAGCCCTAGATCTGGTACCTTTAGTGACCAATGTTGTCCTGGAAGAGCACCAAATGATTGTTGGAGTCGTTGTCGTTGTCGATCCAGGAGTAGTACCAATAAACAGTCGTGGAGAGAAGCAAAGGATGCACCTTCGAGATGGTTTCCTTGCCGATCAATTAGACCCTATTTATGTTGCTTACAATATGTGATTCTTATCTATCTTAGCTATTCACTTTCTAAATCCTATTCATTTCATTCTCCTTTTTAATCATCCCAAATCCTCGCCAATTTTCATTTCCATTTATTCATTGACGCTTATCACATTCTCACCATGGTTTGCTCATGTTTCAAAAAGTGAACCTTTTCTTAGTTAACATGACATCTTATGTCAGCAAGAACAAAAAAATCAGTATCATTTTTCGTTAACCCTTTTATTGATCCCACAATTTGTTGATAACAGCAAAATTTTGTCATTACATTTTCAACATTTTATTCATTTTTTCACTCAATCCTCCACCAAACATGATAAAAGAGACAACAAAGGCCATTGACAGGATAAACCTTTCCTACTACTTCACCATCATCACTGTTGATCATCATCCATACACCACCTTTTTAATTAAACAAGCATCGATAAAAATTAACCATTAGATTCAGCTGACTGTTATTTTCAGTTGTTTGATATTATTGTTCCAAATTGCTTCATTTACTGAAAATAATTGCAGTTCCATTGTTTTTTAGTTATGTATTTGCTGCTTTTTTTCTCGTCTTGAGCAATTTTTATTTAGCTAAACATGAAAAGCTCAATACAAAACAACTAACAAGTTGTTTTCAACAGTTGAGGTTGAATCGATACACAAAAGTAAATCCAATGCACAACATTTTCATTTATACAAAACAAATTGTCTTCAAGTGCCTAGCTTAAAAAACGTTAACATTAAGGTTATTTGTCAGGTCATTTTCAATGTTTTAACTTTTCTAGGTTTACTTATAAATTTGATTTCAGACAAATTAAAAGCCAAAATGATTCTTATTAGTGCGTAGCAAGCTTCAATTTAATTGTTTAGAAGCTTTAATTTCATTTTATTCATAACTATTTACAGAAAAAAAACTAAACCATTGATCTTGATGGGATCATTTTTCAATAAAATCATCACAATTGCTCCTTTTGTCAGCCAAATTGTAACCCAATATCACATTTCCCGTTAATATCGACATGAAAACATTGACTCTTAGGAAAAACCTTTTCAATCAATACAAAGATCAGTCAATTGAAATGCTCAGTAATTAATGATCTTGTAAACTCAATCAACTTGTTTATTTACTGTAAACATATTCATTGTAATTTGTGATTCTGATTTTTAAAGATTACATTCCATTTTATCCAAAATGAAAAAATGATCAACAAAATGATTTGGTTGTTAATGGTAATCATTTATAGATTGACAATTTTTAGCCCTTTTGACTCTTGTAATAACAACTAAATTCATATCATTGTTGACATTTTTTTTCTCGTTTCCAAAACTTTAAATGTTCAACATGATAATCTCCATTAATCTAATGATTCATTTAGGTAACCTTGTCTTAACTTATTCTCAATGGCATCAATTGTGACCATCGATTATCATAATCATCGTTCTCACCTTAATTCCCATAATTTTCCCCTTCTTTCACTTTTCTTTCAATTCTTTTTTAAGAATCAACCTTTTCATTCTTAAAGTATATTTCAATTGAATACAAAGCAAAAAAAGAGGAAATATTTAAAATGAATTGAATAAATTCATTAACCGTCATCATTTGTAAATCTTTTATATAGCTTTTAATTGAGCTGTATTAATGAAGCTTCAGTTCATTTTAGTGATCATGCAATTTGAACTGAACTTACCATGTTCTTTATCATTAAATTGTAAACTTCAAGCAAAACAGACTTATTTTTAATCGTAAACGGTTCGGTCGATTCCTAACAAATAGCTCCATTAAAAACGGTTAAATTATTAAAAAAAATAAATCAGCAAAACCACTGTAAAAACATTTGAAAAGCAAGATCCAAATGCAATAACTAATGATGAAACTTAATATTATTATAGCTTATATAATATTAGCGAATAATGTCAGCCAATGATTCTTTGACTTTTGCTTAAAATTTAATCTCAAAGCTCTTACTGAACAATTTAAGGACTTCTCAAGTAGACTTATAGATTGTGAGATAGCAATGAACAATCGAAACAAATTCAAAGCGGTTTTGAGGCTGAACCTTTGGTTAGTTTCAAGCAAAAAAATTTATTAATCTCTAGCTAAGCTATCAAAAGGGTAAAATGGAAGCAAAAGTGAATCAAACCTTGAAAATGATCTGAGAATCGCTTGAGAGGAACACGATTCAAAAAGAAAGATTTAGCCTTTGATTGTCTCTGCTCAATTTAGTCTGGCAGCTATGAGTTGTTGCAGAAATCGTTAAAAATAACGCTCAAAACATATACTGTTATAATAAATTCATATCTACAAGAATGTTCACTACATCTACATGCATATTTAAATATTGAAAAATTAAGATTAAAAACAGCAAACCAACATTCCACAAATGCTTATTGATACATTTTCTTGGTTTTTTGTTTGTTGATCAACTCATGATCAACTGATGATTTATGAAATGAATCACATTGAGGGACGAGTTTCAGCCTTTGTAAATTATCAAAAGGGCATTTCTGACCAGATCTGGTTTCAACCCGATATGGTTTGTTATGTTTGATACTTTCAAGAGCAAACATTATTGAAAGGCTGATAGTTGAGGCGATTGGAGGGCCAAGATAAAACGCTTAAGTCAATCTTTTAGCCAAAAGCCATTTTATTGAAACGAGACAAAAATGACAAAGATTTTCATATTCTTATTCATTTTCTTTTTCTTGTTTTAGTCCAAACATCTTTTCGAACGGCAATTGTTCAGTTTTTTTAAGGTTGACTCGTTTAATAAAGAAAGAAGTTAAATGAGTTCTGTTATGCTCTTCATTATTATTGTTGTCCTTTTCTTAGTCAGTTTAACCTCCTCCAAAACTGTTGAGTCAAGTGATTTTTACTATAACCATGATGGAAGGGTTAAAAGAACCAACATCAATTGGATGTCAACTATTCGTGACTCTGTCCATCTTAACCACTTATCGCTGCCTGGGACACATGACACAATGGCCTTCTATGGTGGACCTTTTGTTCAAACCCAATCATTATCATTGGATTCACAATTAAAAATTGGAATACGTGCGTTTGACATTCGCTGTCGCCATATTCATGACACATTTGAGATTCATCATGGACCAATCAACCAAAAAAGCGATATGGATAAAGTGTTAGACTCGATGATTTCCTTCTTGAAACGATTTCCAAAAGAAGTGTTACTTGTGCGAGTAAAAGAGGAACATGTACCCAAAGACAATGGCAGGACATTTGAAGAGACGATGAATTACTATTTCAACAAACCATCCTTTCGTAGTTACATATGGAAAGGTAACTCGACTGTTTTACTTGGTGATGTTCGCGGTAAAATTGTCATTTTTCGCAACTATCCTTCATACCATTTGATTGGGATTCCATGGGATAGCACAGTGATTCAGGATGATTATATTGTACCAACAATCTTCTCTGTTAAGATGAAATGGATTAAGGTTGTTAAACATCTGGAACAGGCTCAATCTCTTGCCTATCGATCTGATTCTTTTATCGTCAATTTTCTTTCTGGAACATCTATTGGAGTCTATCCAAGCTCGATTGCTAAGCGAATCAACGAATACATAACCAAATGGTTGACAGTGTCCCGAGTTGATTTCATCGGTATTATTTATATGGATTTTCCTGGAGAAGGTTTGATCAATAGCATAATAAGGTTAAACTCGGGAATCCGAATAACCAATGGTTTGGGAGAAAGTGGAAAACGATTGGAATTTTCTTGTAACAATGATGGAGTGAAACACCTTCTGAGTCCAACTGAATCGTATCAATATAAACATAAAGTGAATGGGTTAAATATGTGTAAATTTTGGGTTGACCAAAGAAAAGTAACTCTTACCTTAAAAACAGGCAATGAAAATATTGTTGTTAATGAGATTGGATTTTACCGAGTCCATGACGGTTTCTCTGGTAAACATGAACTTGGACGATGGAGGAATCCTATTGATTCATAAATTTGACTGATCATTCCATTGACCATATTCACGACTTTCCAGTGGGTTGGAAATACTCTTCGTAAACAAGATCGTCTTCGTCATCAGATCCTTTTCATTTAACCTTCAAAATGTTATTCTTATTTTCAATATTGAACAATTATTTCACTGAAATATCCAATTTAATGAGACATATAAAAAAACTGAAATTAATATTTAATTATAAATTATTGAAACGATTGAACGAGTTTAGTAAATCTTATTATAGAAACCAGTTTTTTACAATGTAAATAAACAAGAACGATATTCACACGAGCAAAACATGAGCTGAAGTTGTTACCATCTATCGTTTGCTAAAATAACTGTCACACTCTTAGACTATTATTTTTTATAATATTTATTAACAGATCGCAGCTAAGTTATTATAATAAATGATATTTTCTGAATAATTGAAATTCAATGCAATAACGATCTCTATTATTTAAAAATTTAACGCTTCTTAAATGCTAAACAATCACGATTAATCGAAATTGTGATTCATTTTGAAATTATTATCAATGGCATTCATTTTTGACCATTGATCATCATAGTCAACATGACGATTAATTACTTCCCACAATTTCCCCCAATTTAAAATAACCAACCTTCAAGAACCATTTATTCAGTATACTTCAATGAAGAAGAAAAGAGGAAATATTCAGCACAAATTGAATAAATTCATTAAAAGTCATCTTTTGTAAATCTTTTATGCAGCTTCATTAAAGCTGAATGAAAGTTGACGAAGGGCCAGTTTTAATGATCTTACACTTGAACTGAACTTCTATTGCTTTCAATAGCAATACTTTCCAAAGAAAAGACGCACATAAAATTAAGGTACTCGAAGGTGTCGACAAACGATTAAGCTGACCAGTTTGATTGCAATTCTAGACTGCATTTCACTTCATGATTTTTAATTTTTCAGTTATCTAGTTTCTCAGTTGTTGACTGTTATTTAAACTGTTCATCGGGAGTGAATTTTACCACAATATCTTCAAATCATGTTTATAATGACCATATCTGCATTGATTTTATTTTATGTAGCTTACTTGATTTACAATTGGATAGTTTGGATGAGAAAATTTGACCAATATCCAAGTTATTCATTGTCGCCTTCACAGTGCATTTTTGCCCTCAAAGAAATTATCAAAGGCCCTGAATATATACTGAAAAATTGTAAGTAAATCTGAATTTGTTTGAAAATCTGACAAATTACCAACAATTAATATCTTTCTGTTTATCTGCAGATACGAGTAAAACGTATATCAAATATATTCACCAGTTCATTAAGCATCAGGATTACATTGTTTTATGGATAACTTTTTATCCAATTTTGTTTGTCTTGAAAAGCAACTGTATTGAGGTAAGTAGAGTAACTATTCAATATAATTAATCACTGATTATTTAACAAAATTTAGGATTCGCTGAAAAAACATAACGTCAAAACAAGCTTCACTCAAGCTTTTAAGCCTTTCCTCAGCGATGGTCTGGTGCTGAAAAATGGTGAAAGGTGGAAGAAATTTCGTAAAATTGGTGAAATGAATTTAAAGACTAAAATGTTATCCTCTTTTATACCAACAATGTCCAAACATGGAAATACGTTTATAACTAAATTATATTCAAAGACTGACTCATGGGTTGATTTACAGAAAAATTTATCTCTGACAACATTTAATGTTATTAGTGAATGTGCTATGGGTATATCAACTGAATCCGATAATTTACAGAACGATGCTGAAACACTATTCTCATTGGCTCCAGATGCTCCTGCATATGCAATCAAGCGATTGTTTAATCCTTTGCTTTGGCCAGAATTCATTTATCTTGGTTACTGTGATTATGCCACTTCAGGTAAAATCAAAGTATGCAGCACATTATTCAAGCACTTGGTAAACAAAGAAATATCAAGACAACAGATTTACTATGTAAACGACATCGACCACTCTGACGAGGAAAAAGAAGAGATTTTTTTGGACAAAATCAGGGACAACTATCTTTCTCATTTGGTCAGTCTTTACATCGATGGATTGAATGGCAATGATGATGAGATTCCAATTGAAGACATCGAGTATGAGATCAATAATTTCATTATCGCTGGATTTGAGACAGTTAAAGTATCAGTATTATGGACACTAGCTTGCATAGGTAAGTAACACATGATTATATAATTTGGTTGGAAGGCCTGTTGTTTAGTATTTACTCTTTTTTGCTTCAATTTAATAAATTATTTTATGTCTTCGCCATCAACAGCTAGTGAACCTGAAATTCAAGAAAGAATTTACCGGGAAATTAATGATGTATTGGACGATGATGGTTACGATATTGAAAAGTTAAATCAATTGACTTACCTTGACTGTTGTGTACGCGAAGGTTTGAGGTTATTTCCACCCATATTTAGCACCGGACGAACCTCACAGACAGATGGTGCCTTTGCTGGCAGATTATTGCCAAAGTCAACTGAAATAATAACAATAATTTGGGCAGTTCATCATGATGAGACGATCTATCCTGAACCAGAGAAATATGATCCAGATAGGTTTTCATCAGAAAGAGTTGAATCAATTCCCAGCTCTGCTTGGATACCTTTTGGATTCGGGCCAAGGACTTGTATTGGCTATCGGTTTGCCCTTTGTGAAGCTAAATTGTTGATCTCTCTAATAATTAAACATTTTACTATTCAAACAAACAAATTTTATGATCAGATTGATTTTACTGCAGTCATTACTCTCAAACCGATTGAACCAATGCTTTTTAAATTTACCCCAAGAGGACAAATATTGTTGTAACACCAATCACTGTAATTAAATTAAAGAAACATAAGATTAATTCTAGTAATTAAGTTAATAAAATGATAATCCATGATCTTGAATTAATGAAATCAATCTTTTACCTTTAAATGTTATATTCCCTGAGTTCATTTTATAATTAACCTTCGTGTTAAAACTATTAAATTTTTATTTATGAAAAATAAACATTGTTTAATTTATGTAATTGTGAGTAAATTAATGATTGGAATTTATTTTCTTTAATTTAATAATTTACTTATCGAATCCAGTTTTAAATCTCACAATTTAAATTGTGCAAACTCTATCAAGTTTTATTAGGTAATTCAGTAGATGGAGCCATATTTCCGATAGCCAAAGCATTTGCTTAGCATTAATACAAGTAGTAACACGAGACTGTAAGTAGTGAATTTGTAATAATAACAATCTTAGAATGTCAATAAATTGAACAATTTTGTGACAAATTTTGAGGCAAAACAAAATAATTACTTTATTGTGGTAATCTATTTTTTTTATTTTTGTCTTTAACCCTCTTTATTCCTCTAACCCTCTCTATTATTTTTAGGAAATTTGAGAAACCTCTGACTTGTTTAGCTCTGTGCCCAATCTAACGTTTTTCTCCTTGTGTTAACATTTGTTACAGAAAAAAAATGATTTAGTTTAACTATCATGCTTCAATCAATTATTCCGCTTGACCATTATTTGTATCTTCTCTCTTGATCTCCGAATAGATAAAATGAGCCTGGAAACGCTTCTTGAGGCTGCCAGGTATTTAAGTAGAGTTGAACAAGATGCAGGTAAGTGATTAAAAAACACTACTTTTTTACTAATTTTTCTCTCATTTTCGCTATAATCTTTACCAATATTTATTCTTATTTAATATTACTCGTATTTTGTCTATGTTTATCCTTTTCAACTAATTGTTACTAAAGCCATCATACTCTAGTTATTTTTTTATTTTCTATCACCCATTGTTCTCGAAGTTAACATTTCAATGTAGAAAAATTGATGTTTTCAAAATTAGGCTACTCTTTATAGACTGAATCGACCTGACATGTCAGATTTTTCTGCTTCTCTTTCTTACCTTCTTTCATTCGTTTGTCAGGTTCATAAGCCTGTAACTATTATGTTGAACTGGGTCAACTTAAAATGGAGAATTGAACAGTCATTGCGAAAAGAGAGAAGCTTAATAATCGAAAAATGATTCGAAATAAAAAATACTCACCTCAGTCAACTTGATCTATAAGTTGGCTATCTCTGTCATTCGTTATTCACCTTGATGACTTTTCGTTTTTTATTTCTCTCCTTTTACTTATGATTAGCATTTTCCGAAATTTGGTCCGAAGAGGGACAATCCTCGAATGGTGATTCTGGTGGACATCTCTTAATTGACCCTAACCTGCCTATAAGCTGTCAGTTTCATACTTACTCGAGTGCAGCGACAGCCTCAAAACCTTTGGCTTTCCCAGTGAAAAACTCTAAAAAGACTCACTCGAGTCAAAACGATTATAATGGAATTACCATTTCTCCTGGTAAGTAATCGTGGTCGATAAGCATATTAATGGATCACTCTCTTTAAGGTCAAGAGTTACATCTCACCACTATGGATACCAAGTAAACAGAGCTATTAAGCTGGTCAGTTTAAATCTAGATTTACATAGTGGAAGATAGTAAAGAGAAGTTTTCCGACATTTTTTTCTTGGTGAAAATTGTTAATAATATAAGCATATTTTTTTTATTTCGGTTTTTACTAGTTTTACCATCAAGTCTGTCAAGCCAGTCTTCAAATCTGTCCTCGAGTCCCACTAGCAATTCTTACAGACGACGGGCTCTTTCTACTGGATCTAGTAGCAGTAGCGTTAAAGCACAAAGAGGAAACCGTAGCTCGCGTTATAGTGAATCGAGTCATGATGCGGATTCAGCAGCTTCCAATCGTCATAGAGAGATGCATAAAACATCTGAAAAAAATCGTCGTGCCCAGTTGAGAGACTGTTTTGAACAATTGAAAAAAGAACTGCCTCAACCCGAATACCGAGATCGTAAATCATCTCACATTAATATAATTAACTGTGCCCTTCGATGTATTCAAAATTTGAAGAAAAAGGAGGCCGAGAATGAAATTGAAATGGCTCGTTTAGCCAGAACCAAGGTTCGTCATCAGAACACAATTTCCCAATTGAGGCAAGATCTTAAATTAGGCAATTCAATCGACGTGGATAAAATTTTGAAAGAATCTGTTGATAACGTCCCAGTTGTTGGTGCTTTTGAGGTAACTGGAAATGAGATGAGCGGATCTTCATCAGCCTCTGATTCCTATTCCATGGTGAAAACCCCATCCACTTACCGTGGAGAGTGTGATGGTGACTATCAAAGTGACGGAGAAGTTATCGCAATCATTGCCAACAATCTGCTCAACAAATTTTCTTTCTAACTCGAGTGACACAACAATCTGTTAATTTGGGAGTTTGAAGCTCATCAATTATAAATTGAAAAAGAATTCGTTAGGAAAAAACTGAAGATGGTAATCGTGACAAGAAAGAAGAAAGCAGAAGAAAAAAAGGATGACTTTATTAAAATAATTATTATTGATCATTTCGTTTTCAAGCACACACACAATGATTACAATTTCCAAAGAGAATGAGAAAAGATAAAAAATGCTTACAGTAAGCAGTAAAAAGATTTTACAAAACGAAGAAAGCAAAAACAGGATAAAACTCATCATTCAGCCCTTAAACTCGATCGTTTTACTTTTTTGAGCTAAACGGTTTTTCGGTTGATTCAGATAGATTAAAACGCTATTAACAAGCATGAAACAAATTGTTGGCTATTGTTTTTTTCAACTTTTTTTTCTCAATCTGCAAAATCATTAAAAAAACGTTGCGAAAGCAAGAACGGAATGTAATATGGATCGCTCTTATTAATTTTTTGACAAAAAGTTACCAAATGATAATAAAATGTTGATAAAAAAACAAAAAGGTTGAATAATGAAAAAAATTGAAATCTGAAAACTACAATTTACTTGTATGAGGCATTACAGGGAAAATGATGTTGATAACCGTTTACCACAAGAATTATGTTTCACTTTGAAACATATTTTTTATTTCAAATCACCAATTAATCAACTAATCAGTGTACTTTTTTTTAATTGAAGCGAAAAAATTGAGGGTAATTGCTTCTCCTCATATATCGATTTCTTTTGGCTACTTACATCTGTTAACATGATTGGATTCTAATTGAATTCTATGTAGATTGCCACGTTGCTTGTTTTGTTTAATTTCTTGATTTAGGGATTTACTTTGTCAACTAAACGATCAATATATTGGCATGTTCATCAATTCACTGATTACTTTGCAATCAATCAGAGTTATCTTATCATACCAAGAGATACATTATTTGTATTATACAATAGTGAAGATGATTTTGACGAGACTGAAAATAAACAGTTATTCATTTATTTTATAATTTTCAAATTTTAATAATTTTGTTAAAAATTAGATTATTTACTATAATTTACAATGCTTGTTGGTTATTTGATTTGATTAATGATTAAAATTTTACACTACGATATTTGGCTATTTTAATTGATTTCACAGTTTCATCTATTACTATGCATGCATAACAAAGTGGTGAAACATGGATTTCGAGATGATGGAATCAATGAAATTATCAATGATTTAAACTAATAAATAGGTTAATTAAAATCGATTAACAGTGAGTAAAGTGGTAAAAAAGTTAAAGTACAAAAAATACATGCATGTAGTTGAAGGGAATGATTGTGAAGGGGTTACTATTTACAATGATGCAAACTAAATGATGGATTACAAATTGTTATGAATCCATAAATGTTTGATTTTTTCTCCTATAATCAATCAAATGATTGTTTGCCAAATTTGTGACCTTCTTCAGACCTTGGATAGTTTCCTGCTAATCTTTTGTATTCACCGTCACCGTCGCGGTCATTGTTGAAGCCCAACTTTCCATCGCCAAATTTGCCTTCTCCAAATCTATTCTCGTCAAAATTGGCCTGGAAAGAGTCTCGATCAAAACCATGTTTTCCATGGAAGTTGGGTTTATTGGAGTTTCGCTCTCTTTCAGGGAAACCTCGTTGTTTGGGTGATGAATCGTAATCAGCTACTTTGAAGCCTCTTTGATCAAATCCATTGGCATTGACAGGTCCATGAGATTGATTACCGTCATAAGGGAAACCTTTGTCATCGTACTTCCTTTGACGAGGCGAGCCAGAAGAGCCTTTCAATTCTGAAGCAGCTGCAATGTATCCATGAGCTTTTCCAAGTCCGTGAATCTTGTGACTATGATGACCATGATGACCGGGGTGAACGTCATGATGAGAATGTTTACCTATTGAAGAGTTACGATTGAAGAAACTGTTAGAAAATTTGAATTGCATTTGTGGAAGATTAGAGTTTATAGAGGATATACTAATTTAAACGAAAATTCTGCGCTTTGATGATAGATCAACATCAAATTAATAAATCTACTTGCAGATAATCGAATTGCTCTCACAATGACAAAATAACAATATGAATAAGTAAAACATAAGATATTATGAGAGTTTTATGCCAGGCTTCAAATCCCCTGTTTTAGGTTTGGATGTTGTAATTTAAAAATAACACTTACCCCAATGATCTTTGTGGTGAGTACCAACATCGTAAAGCCATTTACCCTTGTGGTGATCTCCGCCATTGAAGTAGACACCAGCTGAATCTACATCACCAGTTCCAGGTTCATTGGTTTTGATTGTAGCTACAAATCCATTTTTACCAGCAGTATATTTGACCAGACGAAGTCTACCTTTTGCATCATAAATACCATAAGAGCCAACCACATGACCGCCCTTTTTAGTGAATTCACCATGTTCTTTACGAAAATTCTTATTTCCCCAAGGATCGTGGATATCATATCCAAAGGAATACTTTCCCCAGCCATTTTGTTCACGATAAATGTTTGAATGTCCTCCACCATGATGATGAGTACCGAGAGTAATTTGAAGTGAACATAGAACAACTAAACAACAAATAAACGTTGAATGTGAATCCATCTTTTAAAATATAACTAATCACTTCTTTCAACTCACAACCGATTCTTTGTCCCTTCAAGACAAAAATACAAACGATATAACTGTCTTGGTAGTCACTAGTTGATCAGTTATTTACTTTTAATTCACTCGCTTTTCACTTAAAGTATAAGATATTGTTTGCTGCTTGTCCGTTGAACAACTGATCTATCCAACTGCTGGCTCGAGTTACTTATATACTGGTGTAACTGAAATGACTAGAACTTTTAATTATCATCTAAATACTTTAAGTTTACCTCTTTTTGGTCACATTTTTAATTATAGTTTATAAGAATTAACTATTAGACAGTAAATCTTCTCATTTTGTTATGCACTTTTGAATAGACCCAACCTCTAACTAGCAAGGAGTCAACATGTAACAATTAACAGTAGATCAAAATTTTAATCAACAATTTTCTCATCACTGTTGTCACCATCAACATCATCTTGTACCATTAAATTGTTGATTGAAGGATAAGGACAATCAATTACCAACCCTTCCGATTGAAACAAATTGAACAAATTCAGTACTTACCGTAAGTTGTCTTAAAATTGTGTTAACATTGAGGTTAACCATTTGTTTTTTCAAATGTTATTACATTTCACTTTCATGTTATTAGATAAATTGAATTGTCAAACGATGATGATGATCAGGCCGATAATCAAGTGTTTTGATTGTAAAAAAGTAACATCACAACTAATGTAGCAAAAAAGTCGATAAAAACACGAAGAGCAAAACAAATGTAGCAGTACATGAAATCAGACGGATACAGTCAAAATGTACTTCCGTTAATTTTTGATCAGTTTGCAGCTTTAATTTTCTTCAACAATCAGCTGAAAATCCATCTTTTTAATGAAATTTAATAAAAAATTCAAGGTTTAGGACTTTCAGGCTGGGATCGAGCATTCACCTTATTAACCAATAACCTTATTATAAATAGAAACGTACTTATGGGCATCTCAAATCAAGTCTTCACTACTATCTATTAAAATTAAGTCTATTGGTAATTTATGATTTTATCAACAGTTGAATTATGAGATGCTGGGTGATTTATTTAATCATATCCAAATATTTCAGGTTAACATAAAAAGCATTTCCTAATATAAATGAAAACAATGAAATCGGGTGAAAAGAAATTAGAGAAACGTCTTTTTTAAAGCAATTGACAATCAAATGACAATAATCATCATTTCAATTATTTACTTTTTGATTTTAATTCTTATACAAATTCAACTTCAATTTGTTTCACCAAAACTTGGTTTCTTTTTTTAAATAATTGAGGTGACATTTTGATTTTTTGATGATGAACCAATGTTAAATTGGTCCTCATGACTGATTACGGTTGTTTGTTTAATTTTAATTTCACGATGAGCGAAATGGTAATGAGAAGGGAAAAAATGCATCACATTCAATAATAGATGAAAGATGAACAACAATATGGTGGGCTAGTGTGGAAGAGGTGAAAAGGGGTCATTTGTTGTGTTTCTTGAAATATAATCATACAATGATAATAGAAGTCATAATAATAAAACAATAATTAATTAAAAACAATAATATTATTTATAAGTGAATTCTTCGTGTGAATCATGCTGCAATTTTTTACCATTTATCAAACATTGAGCGAGATACTCGCTTGTCACAATTGGAATATTAGTTTGTTGCGCTTTCTTAATAACTGAGGTAGAGCAATTACTGTCAGCAACTATAAAATCCACAGAATTAGAGGCTTTACCTGAAAAATTTAAAAAATACAGAAAAATTTTAGTAAACAAATATTTGAACAAATTATGTAAACCAATAAGGGAAGTTGAACGTACGAGTTGATGATCCTCCTGAAGGTGGCAAACCAGAAACAATAATAGCTTGACCGGCGGACAATACAGGTTTCCATGTATCTATCAGCTTGGTGTCAGCAATCAATATCTTCAATCCTTTGAATAGATTTGCACTCTTTTTGAAGACATTTCTAGAAAGAAGGAAAAAAGCGATGGTAAAATTAGATAATCAGTGACACAAAATACAAATGTGTAACAAATATTATTTAAGATCCAATTTTTTTGTAAATAAAAGCTTTGTTAAATTGGATTAAATTGTTAGATTGAGAAAACTAATGTAAAAAAGAGTTAAATTTATACTTGTCTGATGGAAGGCTTGATTTGATGATACTAAAGCCTGAAGGAAGTAAAAACTTAGTTTTTTGGAGCAATTGTCTTTCACGGCAGCATTCGATAACCCAAGTGTGCCTTACACAAGAAATGCCAGCGTGTAAACATTGCATATAAAGAGATGTTTTCAGATATGTACAGGCAATCAGAACGATCTCATTTATTTCGGCGCAATTCTGTAAAACAAGAGAGATGTAAAAATTAGCTGGTTGCTGCATTTGAAAAGGGAGTTTAACTTACTCGAGCTGATTCAAGATCATTAAAGACTCTCCCTGAACCATTTTGAATTTGAGATACCAAATAATCAGCATCAAAGGGTATACTACAACCAGCTTCGGATGAAGACATTTCTTTATTGGAATTACTAGTTCTGTCAGCTAATAGGAAACCAATTCCGTCGAAAAAGGTGCTTCCTTCAGGTGGAATCGGTCCCAAGAGTTTTTCCTTTTCTCCTTGAACAATTGATAGTTTAGAGTTTGAGGAGGTTGATGAGGTTGAAGATGATTTAGATGATGATGAGTCTGAACTAGTTTTTTTATACGTGAATGGTAAAGGAGGCTGGTATTTAGAGGCCGAATTTTTCTTAGATTTAGCATTTTCATTGGTTACTTTGCCTGATGGACTGAATGATGGCAAAAATTTTTTGCTAAATGAGGTACTTCGACCTTTTGTACTCTTAGAACTATTCACTGAACCGGTATCAGAGTCTCCAACTGAACCGTGATCATCACTAGAACATGTATGGCTAGCGACTGATGAGGGTGCTGTTTGAACTAATGATGTTGAAGATGCTGTGTTGCTTGTTGTTGTGGCAGCTGTGGATGTGGCTGATGACGATGTTGTCTTAGATATCCGTGAACGTTTAGGTATTATATTATTGAGATCAACGTCAGCAAATTTAGATGCATTTGAAGGGAATTTTGATTGTTTACCTAATAGAATAGCAGCCATTTCAGATGTTAAGAAAATGTTTCGAGTTGGATACCGCTTACCATCAGCGTCGTCATTTTCAATTTCGTACTCAACATCATATCCGTTTTTAACAAAACAACGTTTAATCACTCGTTGAGCACAACTGTCATTTGAATAGGTTATCATAACGTGCTGTCCAGGTACTAAGTAAGGAACGGAGATAATCTCACTTTCGTGGACAGAACGTTTTTCGCCGTCGTCAAAAGTTATTAACCATTTGGAATCAGTTTGAGGTGAAGTTGTTTTACCGGGATAAAAATTTTTATCTTGGGCCCATTTAGCAAAAACTTGATTATCTTTTTCAATCGGTCGAAACTCAGGTTCTCTGATTTTATCAATAACCATATCTGGAGTCACTTCTCCAACTCTCATCAACGATGAGTTTCCATGTAAAGAAAGCAAAGCTGTTGCTGTTTCCCTGCGAGTTTCTTCGCTGTCAATTAATTCTTCCTTTTTAATTGTATCCTCCTTATCCTTCATTTTAACCTCTTCCTCTTTAGTTTCTTTTTTTATAGTCTCTTCCATCTCAGCTCTTCCATTTTTTCTCGTTCTTTTATTAGATCCACTGACAGAATTGAGTTTTCTTTTGTTGGAATTAGATTGGTTTTTAGAATTCGACTCGAACATAGACATTGGGAGAGACTTCGGTTCAGTAGGGTTACGTGATTCTTGGGCCATATTGCCTGATGCAAGGTTTGACTCTTTAGAAGAGACAGATTTATTAGATTTTCGAGTTGTATTAGGCAAGGGCTTGGAAAATCCTGAATTATTTTGTGGCTCAACATTTCCATTAGTAGACGACGAGGAAGATTTAGATGATTCCAACTCTGGCTTTAGCGTTAACCTCTCACTGTAAAGATCAGATGAGTTAGATGAAGATGGCGTAACTTCAACCGTAGTAGAGTTAGCGTTGCAATGATCAATATTGTTCTGGTTGAAACTGAATGGGGAAAATTGTTTCAGATATGCTAGCAGAGTGGTTTTATTTTCCAGATGAGCTGCATCCAATTTCAAACTTCCTATTGGGGTGATTACTGGTTGAGATTTTACTGCTGGTGTCTCACATAAAACTCGTCCTTGATAAAAAACTTGACGAACGGTATGTAATGTTTGTACAGTTCTAATTTCCACTTCCTTGACTGTTCTATCAGACGAAGGAACAGAATTCAATTGAACTTTTTCTTCGTTATTTTCTTCTCTTGGTTGGGCAAATGAAACATCGATAACCTCTGGTTTGGGTTTGGGTGGCTGAAGAGTTAAAGGAGGGGGAAGTGGCGACGCAGGTGCTGGCGCTGGTGCTGGATTAATAGGTTTACGAGCTATTTGTACTGATGGTTGTGTCTTATCTTTGAATCGATTTCTATCCAAGTCATCACAATTCATTATTTGGCTAGCTTTTTGCGAAAGATCTTCTGATTTTTGTGAAGATTGAGTGGATTGCGACGATTGAGTGGATTGTGATGATGTATGATAGGAATTAGAGGCACCAACCAAACTGTAAAAAAAGAGACATAGCGCAATTTAATACCCTTGATTCTGAATTAGATATGAAAAAATTGAAAAATTGCTAGTTACCTAGGTGCACCAGAGCTTGGAGTAAGCGTTCGGGGTGAGTTATCTTGGGGCATATTTCTAATAATATTGCTAGGTGACGAAGCAGGGCTGCTAAGTCCTCTACATTGCTCAAGTGAATCATGATTACTCATACTCGGTGGTGGTGTAATAATGGTGTGATAATTGGAATTGAATAATTGGTGATTGGAATTGGATTGCTGTACATAATTATGAATAGATTGATGAGGTGAAGGTGGTGGTTGATGGGGAGGAGGCTGTGGCTGCGGTTGCAGTAGATGATGTGACATTGAATGTTGGTGTCTTGGATGAGATTGATGAAATTGTGGAAGATGAGTTGGGTGCTGATGTTGGTGGGGATGAGGAGGATGGTGGTGATGAGATTGATGTGAGTGATGAGTTTGATGATGTTGACTATTGCCCCCGATTGAATTTGAATTTATTCGGCCTAGTTGTAAATTTGGTGAGTTACCACCATAATTGACTGAGTTAGATATCGGAGTTAATTGATGGTCCGTCCTAGACTCTCTTTCTACTCTTGAATATGCGTGATCATTGGTCGTTCCTACAAGTTGATGACTTTGATCTGAAATAAGATCATTTGGAGCCATTTGATTGGGTGGCATGGTCGCGCAGCTGTCACTATCATTGATCTAAAGATGATGGATAGATAAAGAAAAAACATGAGAAGATATTAATTTAATATTTCTGTCAAGTAAGTGTTAAAAATATTGAGAGATGTAAATATCTCTAGAGAAGTATAAAAATATACTCTTGTACTCTTCATTTTATCTCTATTTTCATAGGAGAATAAATAAATTGAATCCTTTCAAGGTAATATGAATCAATCCAAAGTACAAAAGAAGATAAAAGACTGAAATGAGAAAAGACTAAAAACTAGTGACGCCAATTGATTCAACGTTCGAAGAGCACAATAATGTCCTTGAATTAAAAGTATCCAATTAACGGAGATATTTGGTATGTTTCTTATGGGTCGATAAAAAAATAATCGGAAAACGAACGTTGGTAAAATACAGGTAAAATTAGTTGCATTAGATTTTTGGAGAAGAAACATAAACAACTGTTCCTGAGAATCTTTCTAAATCCAATTCGCTGAAATTATACCAAATAGATGATGAAATAATCTAAAGATCAAAAACACAAAGCTCCAGGTGGGTATGTTGGTGAAAGATTTACAGAGTTGATAGCTGATCTTTCTGAGTAAGATTCTCTCTTCCACAGTCAATAGGTTACCATTACCATAAATGGCGACTCAAACATTAATCGAAATACTCACAAAAAGATTTAATAAAGGGTCATCGAAGTGTAGATATGATTGTGATGTTTGCATCTCATTGATCATACCAGAATTAATCGAACAGTCGGATGATTGAAGACAGTGTGTTTGATTTAAACGTGTAGCTGCTGAAGGGGATAATGTTGAAATAGATGAACTTGGAGGTAAAATCGGGATAGTTTGTGAATTTACTGGCCTATAATTGTAATCAAGTAAATTAGGATTCATGATCAAATAATGTAAACAAATGTTAGTAGACGGATTTGGAGTAGAGATGCTGGCCAGAAAAATTGAAGCAAAATTGCATCTTAAGATGAGCAGGAGCAAAGAGTAATTCTCAGAGGCGCCACTATTAAATCTACTAAAGAAACTATTTATTTAAATGTTTTAGCCTTTAAATAATTTAAAAGTTTTCAGTTATAATTAGATCGATTGTCTTAATTTGCTACTCGTACATCTTAAGATTTATTGCAATAATGCCACAAAAATTATAGTCTCCAAATAATGTATTTAATAAAAAAATATTTTTTGACTTATTTTTTTCTAGTCCATTATTAGGATTCGGATTGTATCCTACGGCAATCAGCATCATATGTTTCATCATTAATCATAAATGCAAATGATAATTGTCCTTGTGAATTTAATTTTGTATTGGAAATGAGTTTAGTTCATCGGACAGTCGATTTAAATGATTAACTTGACGCATTCTCAAGTGCGCATAGCTGAGAAAAAAAGAGATAACAACTTGAAGTAAACAATGTTTACTAAACATTGCAAATTCATTTGCCATTTTGCTATTTAGCTTGAATTCCTAGCTTGTGAGTCATGTTTGCACTTTTTGACTGAATAACATTTTTTCTTGTCGTAAAGTGTTTCTAGTTTTGAACAAATAATGGATAGTACCAGAATATCAACAGTTCCTACAACAATGTTGGAGTTGTCAATTTCTTGTCGGAATCTAACCAATAAAGATACATTGTCAAAAAGTGATCCACAATGTACTTTGTACATCAAAAATTTGTCAGATAAAGATTGGAGAGAAATTGGAAAAACCGAAGTGATCAATGATGATTTAAACCCTCATTTTGTCCGTAAATTTTTGATCGATTACAACTTTGAAACGGTGCAAAAACTGAGGTTTGTATTACATGACATTGATACTGTTTCAAATGATTTTCTTGGCCAACATGAAACAACCCTGGCTGAAATCGTTGCCTTTCAGGGAAGAGAATTTACTGGTCCTTTGAAAGATGAAAGAGGAAGAAGTGCAGGAACTGTCATTGTAGTTGCTGAGGAGATTGCTAATTGTAAACGAAGTGTAAATATCGCCTTAAAAGGTTGTGATATTCTCGGGACTAGTTGCTTCACCAAACGATCAACTTTCCTCACTTTTTGGCGATCTATTGAAAACGGATCTTATAGTCTAGTTCATAAAACTGAAGCTGCTCCAGTTTCCCATAAACCTGAATGGAAAAAGATCTATATTTCTGCTAGAACTCTTTGCAATGGAGATTTTGATCGCAACATTAGGATTGACTGTATGAAATATAAAATGTCTGGCGCCCATACTTTGATTGGATCATTTCATACTACTCTCAATGACTTGACTCAAAGATTTAACAATCCTTCTAATCGTAAATTAACGGTAAGCCACTAGTTATCAACCATCAATAGCAGATTAATAATTTTCAAATTTCTTTTTCAGCTAAGCAATTCAAAAAAGCGATCCATAAAATGTGGTAATCTGGAACTCAAGGAACTAGAAATTGGCGATGAATATTCATTTCTCGATTATATCATGGGAGGAACTCAACTACATTTCGCAGTTGCTATTGACTTTACCGCCTCTAATGGTAATCCAATATATCCAGAGTCGCTACATTACATTGGATCAGATAAATCTAATCCCTACGAACTAGCTTTAAAAGCAATCGGTGAAATTTTAAGGCCATACAACTCTCAAAATGTTTATCCTGGTTTTGGGTTTGGTGCAAAATTATCACCTCAAGCTCCAGTCTCTCACCAATTTCCATTAAATGGTAACATTAACCATCCGTACTGCAATGGAATTGAAGAAATTATTACACATTATCGATCAACTGTTAGTCGTGTAACTTTTTACGGACCAACCAATTTTGCTCCTGTTATTGAAAGCACAGCTGCCATCGCTAGACAATATGATGCTGGTTCTAGCTATTTTATTTTACTCATTATTACTGATGGTATTATTTGTGATATGCCACAAACAAAACAGGCAATAATCGAGGCTTCACACTTGCCTCTGTCAATAATTATTGTTGGTGTTGGAAACGATGATTTTGCTGCCATGAATGAACTTGACTCTGATGATCGCTTGTTGGAATTTAATGGTAAAAAAGCTGTCCGTGATATTGTTCAGTTTGTACCTCTGAGAAACTACATCAATACATCAGTACCAGCTATGGACGGTTTAGCTAAAGATGTGCTTTACGAAGTACCCGATCAACTTACTTCATTTATGAGAGCCAAAGGAATCAAACCCAAAAAAACTACTCAATAACATTTTACTTTTATCTTGTTATTTTCTCAATGTTTGTCTTTTAACCTGCCAATGACAATTTTATATCTCAATTCTATCATGTCCTATGAAACAAACTATCTTTACTATCGTGGTGATTCACAATTTAATTTTATCTGTCTTTATATGATAAGCACCATTGTTATTACATTGAGCTTTCTATTGTATTCTCTTATTTAACGTATTATTCGTTAACGAACAAATTATGCTAAATTCATTCCATACTCGTTGTTGAACTTCCACAATTCACTACTTGACCAAATTTTTTTATTAAATTTGTCTGTATCTGTTGTCTAGTAAAATTAATACATATTGTTATTCCCATAATAATAAACCAATACTTTTGTAAAATTGATGTTGGATTGAACAATCTTCCTAGCTTAATACACTTCATTTTCCACCCATAGAGGGCGTTACAACTATACTGTTACGGTTGTATTCGAGTCCTTCACTTGGTCTTGTTTGTTTATCAATAATCATCTTTTTTAATTGTTCAATTAATCTCTAATTTCTGGATTAACCTTTGTTTTGCCAACAAATCAGGTATGTAATTTACTTAAGTAAGCATGGATTTGACTGGAGAGATCATAACTAGATATTTATCTCTTTATCCAGGAAAGTGTTACCATTATGAACTCGATAGTTCGACAATGCTTGAATCCAAGGACTATTAAAGGTCTACAAATGCTGCAAAAAAGAGGCTACTCGTACCCTTATGATAATAAGTTTTTGGTCACTCCACCTAGGACACCAATATCGGTAGTTGAAAGAGTAGCTTGGTTTACCTTGCTTTTTACCTCTATAACCTCTGTCCCTGCTTGGATTCTTTATCATCTTCGTCTTTACCGAGGCCAAAGTTACGATGACTGGATTAACTATCAAAACAGATGGGTCAAAAGTGGATAAATGTTTTTTTGAATTGCTGACAAAGATTATTGTGAAATTGTTATCCCAGTACTCATGAAATCATCATCAAAGCAAATTACTCTTACAAATCTCCATCTTTTAGCTTTCTTCTTAATATAATTTAATGAGCCAATGACGGTGATGATTTTATTTTTGTTTTTATTCACTGTAGATTAACAGTCTAATGATGAACAGAACAGAAAATAAGCAGCCATTAAAGTTGTTCTGCTTTAGGGTAAATTAATGTGCTTGCTAGAACCTGAAAATGAATCAAATACTGTGTTTTTTTGTAGGTTAAATTTGTTTTGATTGATTTCCTTTGAGAAAAAAAATTATTAAATCTAATTGTAGATTAAATTGGTTAATTGATTACTTTCATTTGATCATCTGGATGTTACCGGTCAATTCATTATTTTAATGATAATGGTACCTCAACAAAAAATGAAGCTGATGTAAAAAATGGACGACTCATTTTTCATCAAAGCCGTTGACTTAACAGATTTTATTCTTTACCTCCAAGGATTTGCAAGAATTGATTATCTCATGAAAATTGAATTATTGAATACAAACAGATTTGAACTTTTCATCTTTTAATAGTAAACATTTAGCAAAGTAAAGGTTAATCTCAACTAATGATTTAAAGGCTAAAGAGAATCAATTATGCTATTACAATACAAAAATACATTGAAACAAATTGCCATTAAAAGGAGTTACAATTGTTGAAAGGAACATCTTTTCGGGATAACTGACTTTTCACCTAAACATCAGCAATACCAGTTGATTAAGAAAGATCAGGTGCTGCTTTACAATAAAAAGTCAAATTACCAGAAATAGAAATACAATTAAATCAATTAATTTTACAAGTGTAAAAGGTTTAAGGCCAAAAAACTGATGCTAAACTAGCTCAATCACTATTTTAAAGGTTTAATAAATCGCTGAATTTGATAGTAGAATTAGCTTGATCAGGATCATCCCCTCTACAGTTTAATTGCAGCAATCGAAACAGTTTTACTTTCTCAAGCTAGATTGGCACAATTACTTGACCATTACGACTTAACAGTACGGTATTTGAACGGCATATTTGAAGATCGGTAATATTAATTGGTTATAAATGAGTCAAAACATAAATCAGCAGTTCGTATATGTTCATTAGCCAATTGTCGGATTATGATTCAGAGACGAGTCATAGTTCTATTAAACAATGTTTAATGACTAATTTAGGTAGCAGCAATCTAAAAAAGATGAAAAATAGATAATGAGAAGATGTTACAAGATTTAACAACAATCAATAACCAGTATTTATTACCATCATGATGAACACCATTCAAAGTTGCAATCTAAGATGGAAACAATTTTCAAGATTAAAACCTTTTCATCATCATCACCATCACAATCTACCTCAACTACTTTAGTGAGTCCAAGCATTATCTTGCCTTTTGTTATAATGATTATAATAAAGAAATAATGAGGAATGTTGATGACAACTATCATTATATCCGTAGGCGAGTTAGCTTCAGCTCCAAGGATTTTGAAGAATTAGAAGGTTCCTTAACCCGTTATAACAATAATAGGCATGAAATTTCAATCTCCTATTGAAAGGAAATCCAAAATTTAACATTTGATTACCATTATAAATTCATATGATGATTGCTTGTCAGTGAAAGTTTCACCTCTTTCACCAAGTTTTCCATCCCTTGCACTGGACAATACTCTGTATGCATCTCTGGCAAACTCTTGCTTTTTGTTCATTTCTTGAATTCAAGGCCCGCAATCAAAAGCTTTAATCCTTTAATATTCAACATCTTGAAGTGTTAATCCAAAGTAACCATATTATGATGATAAAAAAATACAATCACGATTCCAAAACAAAGCATAAAGACAAGTGTATACATTTTACACAATACTTTATAGCCATTTTTGGCAAACCAGCATTAGATCAGCAATTGTTGATTGTTGTCTTCATAACTGGAAACAATTGCAACTAGATGATCATTGACACTTTCAAGGGTAACAATCATCAAGTGGTGAACCATAAGCTAATAGAAAAAAAAACAAATCATTAACCAAAAAAAAGATAATTTAATTTCCTGTTGAGTTGGTAAAGGTTGAACATAATGTATCTTACCATCTTGTTTAAGCAGACTTTGGTGGATAGGATTGATTTTATTTGGGTTAATTGTGATTGCACTAGAAAATTTACTGTAATGTCGATTAAAATGTAAATTAATTAGACAATAATAAAATAAAACAGACTCAATTAAACAGATAGTATCACTATAATTGATGGTTATTGTTTGGTTTAGCTTGGTTACCAAAAAGCACAATTGCTCATCTCCCGCTTTTTTACCTTCAATTCCTGGGGAAACAACATAAATTACATTTTGTACAAACCCAAACAATTTAAATTGTCATCAAATGTAAGTTTTTTTTATTTGGCTCATCATTAGCTTAAATCTTAATCAATATAAATCATACTTCTTATTAGTACAATGATTATTATTGTTTATTCAATTGCTATTAGTTGTAAAACAGCGAAATAGTTGGAATGATTGAAGGAATGAACAAGGAAAAAAAAACTGAATGGCGAAATGAAGACGAACCTTTGCCATTAAAAAAGCAAGACATAATTGATTTACAACAATTGTTAGACAATTAAATGCACATAATCAAATGTAAAACATGTCTTTATTGTTCACAGGATCAGCAATATTTAACAAGATAATTGATCAGTCTGCCATTAAAAGACAATTTGCTGTTCAAATTGCTTGGTTACATTTTAATCTAGTTAACTCAAAAAGTTGTTATGACTGTGAATGTGTATGAATCAGTCTCTAATACAATTCAATTGATTGTAATCATCATCCCGGAACAAAATTCATCTACTCTTCAAAATGATAAGAATTGATTTACAGTACACATTGATGCAGATATAACAAGAGCTAAATTGTTGAGACACTTTAATTACTATTTAAATTAATGGGAGCCTCGTTATATGGCTCAAGTAATAATTTTGTTGTTGTTTTGAGTTTTAAAACAGAATCTTCTTTAATTGAAAGCAATACTCAATCATCAAAAACGAACATTTTTCACACTTTTACCAGAAAAAACATTGTTTTTTGGTGTAAAAACTGGTTAATTTGTTGATTAACTTGAATGCAAAAATGAATCCAAGGTTATCAGCTTTTCGTTTTACTTTTCAGTTAATTGTTGAGGCTTAACTCTGTTCAACCTTTACAAAATTAATTTGGTAAATAGTTAATTCACTCAATTATCAATCATTGAAACATGCTTCCAACTTGATTGAGGTTAATAAGCAATTTGCAAATCTTTTTGACTCTGTTTTTTATTCACATGATAATAATTTAGATCCATTTGCAGTGAAATAATTCAATGGTCAGCCTGATAGTGCATTTAAATTGTAACTCTTGGAGTAACCCTTAATAAAGATTAATTATGCAGGGGAAAGTGTGAAAAAATATACACGGAATCTGATTCGATTGGAGAAGGAAATTGATTAAAAGGAATTCTTTCGATGATCATTCAAAGCAGATAATAAAGCTAACAAAAGCGACATCAACTTGATAAAAACACAAGGAAATTGTTTAAATGGTGTTAATAGCTAGTAATAACACCATTAACTGTAAGATGACGAGATGAATTGTAGGAATTAGTGAAAGAGTAAAGTTGTTTAAATTGTTCAGAAAACCCATGTTGTTAAATTGAAAGATCAGAGACAATATTATCATAAGGAGATGTGAATAAAGGCACGATTGGTTAAACAACCGGTTCTAATGTGAATCTATGTGTTGGACAACTTAATACACTCCAATTGAAGGTAAGTCCGTCAATATGTTTGGTTCAAGGGAGAAGAAGAGAGATGATGATGATGATGATGATGATGAGAGAGCATCGTTCTTACGTTTCACCACAACATCATGATGATGAGAGAGAGAGAGGAGAGAGCAAGTTTACTTTTTTGTCTTAAGACTCAACATTACTCACTCTACTCTATTTAATTTCTGTTTCTTCATGTTAGACGTTTTTGCGTATTTATCTGATTTCATCTTATTCAATTCAACCTAACCTTTACCTTTCCAGTTAATCATCTCATTCAGTTTATTGTAATTATCTTAATATACATAATAATCATCATAATCAGGCCTCAAGCAGAGCCTTTGTACTTTTTTACTTTCAGTCTGTGTGTGTTTCAATCAGTTGATCTGCTTTTACTTTTTATTCAATCATTTTTCTCTTCTTCTTCTTCTTCTTGCTAACAACCTTTTCTTCGGTTTTTTTTCTTTTTCCATCCTTGTTCTTGAAGTTCAAGTTGACAGAGAACCGAAGAGGGAGAGATCATGATAATTATGATGATTAGGATTACCAATTCATAATTAGTGTTATTTCAATGATTGTAGTAATTTGTAATCCAGATTTGCTACATTGCAAATACCAAATAAACCAGCAACTATCTGGTTAACCTCATCAACAGTTTGTCTAATTTTGTTTCTTGTTTGTTTAACCATCAGCAACGCCAAAGCTTCATCATCCTCCATCATTTTGCCTCATAATAGTTGTTAATATTGATTTTTTTACCGATGCAATCATCAACTGGATACTTTTTCAAATAATTAAAAAAAATGTCCCAACTCAACTGTCCAATCTCATGGTTTCCTTGGAGTCATAGCTTCCAACAGGAATCCTCTTTGATCCAGCAAACGTCTTTCACGTACAATAACTCGACCATTCCTGGTTGGTTCTTAATTTATTACTGTCAGAGCAATTGGTTGACAAGCTCATTTAACGTCATATTTATCTTAGTGTCCATTCAATTTTACCTTTCCTGTTACTGTGTCCGAGCTAAAAATGGTAAATCACGAAAGTCAACTGAAAATCTTCATAAACAGCACCATAATCATTCCAATAATCACTCAAACCATCAAAATGTCACCCAATCGGTTCACGTTTTACCCTCTTCTCAAGTGCGAAGTATCTCACAAAGCCACATTACAGATTTAGGTGTCAATGATGCCATCAGTGAAGACATTGATTGTTCTGTTGACAATGGACGATCCCATTTGATTAGCTTTTGGAACCAAATGACCCCTAAAGTATTACTTGACATCTTCACTTTAATGTTACTTTTCATTGTTTCTCTTTCCATCATTGAGCTCCTTCAATCTCCTTGGAACCATGTCAGTGACCATTTCAATGGTCGATTTATCACACTTGTTTCAACAATGATCACCTTGTTGGTCAACTATTTTATTGTGTTTCCCCAACTTGGCCTATTGCTGTTAAAACCTGGTTATGGTAACAGCCTTTATCGGGTTACCTTCTTAATCATCGTTGTCTCGTACTGGACCATCACCATAATCAATTTAGCTTGCCAATTGGGATTACTGTTAAACATGGGACTGTCCATTTGGACCCACATCAGGTTACAATTAACACTTGCTTCCATGATTATTACGACTTGGGTTCTTTGTGCTAAACTTTCAGCCATTCTCATGACAAAGGTAGGTTAACAAGATTACTATTAATTGAGAATAATAAAATTATCATGATGATAATGTGTGTTATGTGACAATTTGTTGACACTGAAAGTGTTTTTTATCATCTGAGTAAAATAAAACCTTCAAACCAAGTGTTTACTTTGAGGAGTTTATTCATAGAGATGATTTTAGATATATTCAAATAGTATTATTAATACTTCAATAATGATACAAATTACTGCTATTTCTATAGCAACCCTAATTCAGTTATCCTGATTAACTTTCAGGATAAATAATGAAATAAAGCAAACTTTTACTTTCAATCAGAATGAACTTTGTTTCGCAGCTTTGTAGATAAAAATACATTCAACTACAATACAAATTAACTTTCATTCTTAAATTAAATTGTAAAAGTTGCAAAAAGATGAAATTAATAACTTGATTAATCAGGAACAAGCCAAAAATATTAATTGTACAGCATTTTCAATCTTCTGATAATTAGTTGTTTTAGGTTGATCGGATTAGGTTAGAAGTGATTTCAATCAAGATTTGCATCAAGATAGTGTAATATCATTTTTTGTTGCAAATTTCATTACAGTAAACCAGATTTCTTGAATGAATAGATGTCTCAGTTTGCCGTGAAACTTCTTCAATCACATTGAAATATTCCCCTGAATTTAATCAATTGGACTAATCAAAACAATCACAGTTTTGTAACTGAAAAAACTGGAAAAGGTTATCTTCTTACTAACAGTTCATTAATAAACTTGTATTGAGTGTAACTTTTTATATACAATCATCTATCGACTGAAATTTGATTCCTTGAGATAGTATATTGTTGATATTAATAAATGAATCTGTTCAAGTTGAAATGATTTAAAAAAATAAACTTAATAATCCAAATTAATCAATACTTTTTGTGATTGAATCATCCAAGATTATCATGGATTAATTAAGTTCAGGTTAGCTAACACTTTGAATGTAAATATGTCAATCAATGTGTTTTCAACTCTTTGAAAACAACCTTTTCATGAGATATATCATCATGGGATATCGTGTACTTGGTCAATGGTTGAGAAGCAAAAAATACATTTCACACTTTTCCATTATCTAAATTGATCCCAATCTGATTGGGGATTTCATCCGAGTCTTGCTGTTTCATCAAAACTATAAAATTTAATTAGTTAACAGGTTAATCTGAACCTATTGGATATTTAAAATCTGATAAAAAAGTTAATTCCTTATGAATGTACTTTTTGTAAGCCTTTCAAATGAAACGCAAAACCAATTCAAAGTAGCAAAATTGGTGATACAGATAATAAATTATGATTTGTTCATTGTTTAAATGAATAGGATCATAATATTATGTATCATGTATCATATGCATAATTGAACTTTCTTATGAAAAATGTTTTGCGTTAAACAATGCATTTTGCTTTTTTAAAAAGCAAATTGTCGGGTGATGATTAAAAAATATGATAAACATGTAACAGACGATGATTTATCATAATATAAGAATCAAAATAATCTAATAAGATAAGAGACGACAGAGCATCGCTACAAGGTAGCATGCGACAATAAGGTTGACACGGATATGCAGGTCCTCTCAGGCCTCACTTAGTCATGACGATTAACACGCATCCCATTATCTTCATCTATCTTATCCCTTGTTAGTTCATCTTTATCCTCATCAGCAGGAAATGAGGCGGATGATGATGGAGAGAGAGAGAAGAGAAGAAGAAGAAATGAGCATCAGAAATGGATCGTGTTTTAAGAGCTGTGGACAGGTATGTTGGTTGGTTGATAACTATTTTTGTTGAGAATCTCCTTTTCTCTTAATAAATCTCAATTTCCCGATTTCAGTGTTGATCAAGAAAAACTGAAACATTTCCTTGGCAAACTGGCATACTTTGGGTTGTTGATTGACGAGAAGGCAAGATGGGAGATTGTCCGAAATCCATTTAACTTTGCTGGTGAAAAGATGAGAAATATTAAAAAAATCAATTATAATGATTTCAATAAAATGCAATAATAATTATAATAGTGATTAATATTATGCCTTACCAAAAAAACCGATTACTGGCTAATTTTGAATTTCACTTCGATATCCATATTTAAGCAGAGAGGCTTTCCAAACGTGTCTATTTACCTTGCAGGTTTGTTTAAATTTTATCCATCATCACTAAGTATAGAGATTGAGAGGAGAAACAAAAAAATGGATTAATAATTAAGAGAATGAGACAAGTTTAATTACAACCTGTCATAAACTGTCTATTTTATTGGCCTACTAAATGATGTTGATACAACTTGTCAAATTATCATCAGCAAATTATCCGTTGTTGAACATTCTATCTGAATAATATTCGAGAAACAGTTGATATTGAATAAATATTATTAAAGGTGATGCAATGATTGTTTATCCATCTTACAAGATTATTAATGATACTTGTTGAGTTTTGTTTTGATGAACTAATAAAAGGATAACAAGCATTGAAACAGATGCTTAACTGACAATTAACTATTTGAGGCTCAAAAATAATCACTTATTTAATAAGAGCTTGTGAATGGCTAATCAGTATAACTTCATTTAAATTTTCAAGGTAAATTTGAATAATTTGCATAAAACAATTTGCCGAAAATTCCAAAACTGACCTCCAAATTAGAGTTTCATTATCTTATGTCTATGAGAGGCTATTGTGTAAAAATTGAGTTGATTGTAAGATACAATCAATCAGCTTTTTACCAACTGTTAGCTGATTGATTGGCTAAATATTACTTACAAGCCTTTCTTGTGATTCCAGTATTTCATTTACTCTGAAAATTCATGTGATGAAAAGATGGATTAATCTTGATTCCTGTTTTATCAAAATTTTCCAATGAATTAACCTTTAGACGATCAACGACATTGATGACTCCCATGTGAGGAAAACAGTTTCCTTGCAATTGAACCTGTCAAAATAAAATCAAATTTATGTGATTAGATTAGCTAATGAATTAAAATGGATGGAGATAAGATTGTATCATGTACATGTTAAAATGAGTCAACAATTTGACTATAATTAGATGTGAGTAGATTGTTAATTAATAATTGGATAAAGCTTACCTTTCTTTATTACCAAAATATTGAGAGTTTGATTTGCGACTAACTGACCAAACAGCATCTCAATCGGTTAAATATAATTGAAGAGTTTAAATATGATCAAGAGAAAGTTTTAATTGCCATTTTTGAAACAAATTATATCTGAACTGGCTTGAGAGTTAATGAATAAAAAAAAGTGTCTCTTAAAATTAATCCAATAATCAGTGTCCACTTGAATTGATGTGACACAAATGTACTCAGTATTTTGGTAGACGATCTTAAGTTACATTGCGAATCAATTCACATCAATAAGTTTTGACTATTTAAAGTAGAAAGATACAGTTGTGACAATTATAACGGTTGATGGTGGAAGGGTTATCACTGTAGTTCATCTTATTGTTGCTTCAAGCAAAATGGCATCATTAACCTTGACGGGTTTTCTGGTGATCCATCAATCAACTAATCATACACCATTTTCATGGTTGATTTATCTTGGCTGTCCAGGGTAGGAAGACCACACTGTGAAGATTATTGAATTGTTGGTGAAACATTTCTGTTATTGAAAGTAATCACATGGAAGTCACTCTCATGATTAACCGGATAACTTTTACCATTCTTTGATGGTAAAAGTCTAATTCCACTCCTTGCTGGCTTGATCATTATCAGAAACTGAATGCATTATTAATAAAAGAAAAAAAATAAGTCATAATTAAATACTCTGCATATTTAATGGATTGAAAATTGATTGTAATTGTTTAAAAGCGAGAAATAGCATGATTTTATAACATCAGATCATTAGTTTATAATTTAAACATGATTTAATTTAAAAGCATTTTGTTTCATCTTCTCTCTTCATAATCAATTCAACTGTGCATCTCCATTAACGCAGTTAAAACATTGAAATTAAGAGCCGCTCAAAAATTACGTATCTTTCTAATTGCAATAATTGTCACCTTTGATAACATCAAATATTAATATTATCATCACCATCAACAAAAGCACCAAGCATTACATGTAATTGTTTACCCAAAAACTTCTCATTCTCAATTTTTGTCTCATGCTAAGAGATTTATCATGTCCCATGTATCGGATGAAAATATGGCATTGGAAGTTCAACAATTGCTTTCAATAAATCACCTGCAGCGTGACTTTTTGGACTTCTCATTTGATGATGAACCAAGTTGCAGGAATTCCATTTTTCTGATGCTAAGTGGTGGCTCAAGTTTGCTAGTATTTATCATGATAACGCACATACTCGTAACTTTCCTTACATCCTATGAGTGTTACGCACTTTCACAGCCCGATCACGTCTATGTACATGTAATTTTTGAAAGAGAAGTTAAAAACTTCACTTTTACATTTTAATACCTTTTTATCTATCCGAAAGTTAAAATTTCAGGGAGAAAAGCATTCAGCGAAACTATCCATATAGCTATCTACGTCATAGCCTGAACTATCATCTTTTACCATCTCGACAGAAAGAGTCAAAACAATTTATGGGGCGATGACATCTCGGCTTTAAACAAATTCACGCAAAATTTGATTAGCCTTTTCAAGATTATGTGCGTCCTCTGACCGTGCAAATTTCCGATTATGTTCACCAACTCGATTATCTCCTGTTGACAGTTTTCCATGAAACACAAAGTGAGAGTTATAAGCTGAAAAAAGAAGCATTAATTGTTATTAATAAAAAAAATTGAATGCTTAATTAGTAGTGAAAATTAAAATTAGGAAACTGTTAAAGCGCGAGAAATGGCATGATTTAATAGCATCAGATCATTAGTTTTGAATGAAAACATGATGAGCTGATGATATTTAAATTAAAACAAAGGTTGCCCCATGCATTAATATGTATTTGTATGTGATTGCATGAATTAATTAAAACAATTACTAAAAATAATAACACCAAATGTAACAAACATACAAACCTTTTACTGATATTTTAATAGATGTAGAAGAGTAAATGGGGCCAAAAAATAAAACCCTTTGGGTCAGATTAAAATTCAAATTTCCAGTTAATCGATGAAACAAATCATGAGTCACAAGTTGATAGTAAAAAAATTGTTGATTAAACCAGAGATGAGAATGACGAGATTTAGCAGTAAAGCTGAAAGATTGAACGATGCTGAAAAAACACGCTTTGACCGATCTCCATTTTGATATGAGCTAACATTGGAGGGAACACACCAAGAAAAGGCCAAGAATTGGAAACTAATTGATAAAACAAATGAGACACAATTTGAGAAGTTAATCAGTTAAAACTATTGGTGTTAAATGTTTACAATTAAGTAGGGAATCATGTTAAACAAACCTTGATAATCATGACCATTTGATTATATCTTGAATTCAATTGACCTGATACAGAGTGGGTAACACTGTTTAAAAAGAGAGGGAAAAAAGAGTTGTTAAAGGTGTGAGTAAGAGTTCGCATTATTTTTCCACTTTCAACGGTTTTTTGTCTCTTAACATTTTCTGTTATCTCTGTCTGTTATCTTTTGTTTTTCAACTCTTTATCATTTCAATTTTAAACAATTTTTCTCAATTCTCTTTACATTCTCTTATCTGTTTTGTTGTTCCTAATACATTTTGAAGAAACCAAATACCAAAACTAAATAAACAATTAATTAGCAAGTGCTAATGATGTGCCAACAACAACAGTGATATTTATATTATTTAAATTGTTGAGGTCAAGCTAATGTTTTAACCCTGAAAGGTTCGCCATTTTGTTCAGTAAACTTCAAATGATATGATTGTATCTAAATTTTTCATTTTCTTTGCCCTTCTCTTTCTATGATTTCATCTTTATTTCACGATTCCCTTTGCTGTCTGTTAATGATTTATTATTTCAATAATTATTGTGTATTTTGTGTTGTGCATTTACCTGTTGCCAAAAAGAAAACCCGGTTAATTGTAATGAAAATTAACCCTTTACGCCTCATCTTTCAATCAGTCCATTAATCTTAATTTAAGATCTTTTTTGTTTCACTCTTCATGACCAATTCATCTGTGCATCTTGATCGTCATAAAAACAGACATTACTTTTTCCCTTCTATTACCAACCTTTTTTAAACATCTTTATGTATCTTCATCTTCAATACCAGCTTCGATCTCATCTTTAGTTTCATCTTCATTTTCATTCATGTTATATTTAACGATTACTAAGAGATATTTTATTATAAATACCTGAGGCTTACTGTTCAAGAAGAACAGTTATGACATTGAAATACAAAAAAAAGCCCAACAATTACAAATCTTTCTCATCGCAATCATCACCACCTTTATGGCTTTGATAACATCAAATATCATCATTAGCAGTAGTAAGCAGCAACAAGCATTAACATAACCAAAAAACTCTCTCAACTCTTCCTTCACTTTCTATCTCAATTAACAGCAGTTGAATTTGAATCTGAACCATTGACACCATCATCAACAGCCATAAAATTATTATCAAAAATAAACATCTACAGATGCGGCAATTGATCAAGGTCAACATAATTCGAGTTATATTTTGATCAATCTTTCCAAAAGGGTTACAGTTCTCCTTTCAAGCTTCTTTTCACAGTACATTTATGCTTCCAAAATTAAACATTTATTTCTCAAAATCATGTTCTTTAAAATCATCGATTGGAATCAATTTGTCTGGTTAAGTTTCCGCATTTAATCTTGATGGATGTCTGTAAATCACTTGAAAAGTTATTTGCGATCGCTTTTTACAAAGACAAGCAACTTTTTCGTCTTATTGATAATAACCTTACCAACGACTACCAAGGATAATATATTTGTTTAACTGAATTTTTATGATGATTTCAGTGAATAATATTATAATTTTCTTGTTCAATCATAAACCTGATGTTCCAATTCAGGACGTGATTGGCTGTGAAAATAACGTTTATTTTACTACTAATGGATAAAAATTTCATTAACCGATTGTGGCCTTTTGTTTTGTTTTGTATTTTAACTGGAAAATTACCGCAAAATTTGTTATAATCAGACGATTGATTAACTTGCTAAAGACGGGTTATAATATCTGGTTAACTATTATCTTGGAATGACGTTCAGTAAATCAAAGTAAATCCTAGTATTAATGATTAATCTATCAGTAGTGAAACGGAATTATTCAGTAACCAGACTAAACAAAGTGAGACAACAATCAACTAACCAGATTGTTATCTAAGATAATTAACAATTAATAGTTGATCTTCATTAATGATCTTTACTTGTCCAATTGCAGGTTGATACCTTGATTAAATTTAATTGAGCCCATCGTTAAATGGTTACATTGATCATAGGCACTCCCCTGTTATCATCAAATCATTATTAATAACATAGCAATCAATATATGTTGACCCATAAATTGGTGGACAATGATTAACAATTTACTCTTGAAGATTAACCTTTTGTTTGTCAACAAAACAAACAAAACAAAGGCAAATTGATTGAACTGGTGCACAATTAACTAATCAATTTTGAATGAAACAAAATTAGATTTAACCCGTTATCTTCAGCTATACCTGAAATTTTTGATGCTCATTATTAAGATGAGTTTGTTTAATATGAATGAGGAAAATGAAAAATGAAAATGATCCAAAATAGCAAATGAAAAAATGGAAAAGTTAATGATTACGATTGTAATCAATTTACTTGGTTAGGAGTGAATAATGTTGTTAAACAATCATTATTAATGTCATTCCCAATCCATTATTGAATACATGGAACAGAATAGGGTCACCAAAGTGAACAAGAATAATAGCAATTAATTAACTTGCCATCTTAATCAACACCATTGAAGACAAAGCAAGAAGCAAGGTTTGGCTGTTGCCTGATGATTATTTTTACTAACAATATTATCATACATGAACATTTATTTGTCATTATTCAACTTCAATATTCTGATCAAATTTCTATTTATACTAATTTATCTTAATTAACTCTTTATTTCTTTCAACAGGAACGATTTGATGGAGACTTGAAGCCACCAAGCGATTGTAAATACCTTCATCCATATTCATCGATATTATCCAAGGCAACGTTCTCATGGTTTTGCGAGATCCTTCGTTTAGGCTATTCAAGACCCATTCAACTCGAAGATCTGGGTTCATTACCTAAAGTATGTTAAACCCAATTTTCAACAAAAAACTCAACTAATGCAACAGTCAAATGAAAGGTCAATCGTGAAATTTTCTGGTTAAATCTTTGGTTAAACCTTTTGACCCAACCTTTTGGTTGAATCTCGTCTTTAATCTTTTCATCAAACCAGGATCGCTACCTGCTGTAATCGAGATTAATAGCTTAATCGAGATTACCAGTGTTGGGTTAACAGATGACGAAAAGTCACCATGTGAAAATGTGATTTGAATGAAAGGAAATACATGTATCTGTAACTTGTTTGGTTTCTAATCTTTTCTTGTTTTTTTCTTCTTCTCCATGAGCTTCAGGTTGTTGACAAGCATGTTACATTTGACAAGGATAAGAACTTAGATATTTGGTTTGAACTTTAAAATAATGAGAAAGATCAGGTTTCCAGATCTATCCCGTTGATTCCAATCATTTCTTTAATCTTGTTATCTCTGGTGATTTACTTGCTCTTTTTGACGTTTCTTTTTCTTCATTCCTTCCTCTCTTCACCTATGTAAATAGATTACTCACCTTCCTGATGATAGGTAGATAGATAACCATGAAATTTATCTTCATTCAAAATAAAGGTTAAATCAAATCAGTTGAATGAATATATCTTTTTGCCACTGACCTCTAAATGAATCCTAAGTTTATCCAACTACACTTTGATTTATGTTTTGCTAAAGTTAAAACTATCATGAAATTAGCATTGACACAGTGATCATAATCAATCAAGTATTCAATTCAAGTTGATGCAACAATCTTACAATCTTCATTCTAAATTGTCTTCTCAATCGAATACAGAAAAACGAATTGAATCAAGATTAACAAAGATTGGTTAAACCATTGGTAAATCAATATTGAATTGATAACCATTGATAATCATTGATCATCATTTTTTATTCACGATAAAAATGTGTGTTTCCATTGATACAAACAGAGAAATAAGTTAGATGAGCGACCAAAAAAAATTCAAATGTTTCATTTTTCTCTCTTTTTGGTTGATTAGTTGATTATTATTGTAGTAAAGGTGTGTTAATTGGTTAAACAAGAGGTAGATTGATATTTACATTGGACATTTTGGTTGGACAAGTCAAATGTTTTACACCTTTCCCATGCTGATTTTGTTTCCAGTGGAAGAAGAAAATTAAAAATGTGTAAAGAAATAGGAGAAAAGAGCTTTTTTTTTGCTTTTTATTTTTATGTTTTGGTTACTATTGCCGTCTCACCACCTCCAGCCTGATGACCACCATCATCATGACCAGCTTTCACCATCTTTATCCACCGATTTCTCATCGTGTGCGACAATTAACCCGTGAACAAGTTGCACTAGCTGGATTGTAATTACAGTTGGCTGAGCAAAGATATCTGGCAGCACAATCACCACCACTTCGTCCATGTTTACTAGCTTCAAATTCATCTCTTTCTTCATCAAAATCATGACAAGCACCAACTGCTTCAACTGCATTCAAAGCTCGAGCGGCTTGACCGCAATTGTAAATAGCATTGTAATTAGCCAAACAGTGAAAGTACCTGTAGGGTTAAAAAGCAAGAAGACCAAACCAATCAAAGTATTATTAATATTTGCATCATAACGACATCATCTTCAAGATTGATCTTGATCTTTTCACATAAAAAGTTGATCATTATGATAAGATGATGATGCTACCAATTTAAACAACCTTTACTATTAGTAGCAACATTTAACTAATCAATAATTTTCCTTTTCGTTAATGTGATTATAATATTACTCTGTATCATTGCTCTTTATTGCTCTTTAAAATTCATTTTCTAGGTCAGTGTCGATAGTAATCAGCAATAATCATTATAATAGTCATTATAATAATAATTACAATATCAGAACATGTCTTTAAGTGAATGTTTGTTTGTTTTGTATCTTTAAGATGAGAGGTAAAAGTTTTACCATTTTTCGCTATCAGGTAATTATGACAACTATTTGTTGATATATTTGTTGTATTAATGTTTACTTGTTTTACTTACAGATGACAATTTTTACACGAAGTTGAACGCATTGTAGCAAAGACGGCAACCATTTCACGGCCAGCACAACGAACTTCAGTTTCACGGTCTGATTTGGGTCCAAGTTTACGTTTAAAACAATCGGCGATCCTTTTCCAATCAGTTGCAACGGGTGATGATGTTTCTTCAATGTTTTCACCATTGACCATCATTGGCTCTGAAAGAGCAGCACTTGAAACATAATCAACAATTGACCAGTAAAGTCCAATAAGAAAGATATAACGCCAGATCATGATTTATGAGGTAGTTGAAGATTTAACACACAGATTTACAGACTAACTGAAACAATGATTGATGAAAGAAAAGGGCTGACAACAATCAAAAGATAACCAAGATCCAAAGAGGGCAAAGAAAAGGGCAAATCAAGTGAAAGTTGATTCAAATGATGATAAATGGTAATTGATTAACAAAGGATAAACTGTTGCTAATAGTTAACCATTTGCTTGGTTGTGACCCTAACGGCGTAGTAACTGTTTATGAAACACCTTTGTTAATGATTATTGGATACTTGTGATTAGTTTATTCAGCAATTATGTCTTTTTGTGATTAAAATTCAACTTAATTAATCAACCAAGTAAAATGATTATTGGGAGGAGAAAAGACAAAGATGAAAATGATGATCACATTAAAAGGCTACATTTCCTTCTTTAGACCTTTACCTTGCCAAAAAGGTATGTTAACTATTTGTGTGAAAATTAGCTGATTGTAGAGTTTCAACAAAATTGTAATTTCCTGATCAATCATTTTACCATTTCAAAGTTGAATATTAATTAGCGGTGAGAATTTCTTGAGAATCCTTTTAATGATAGTTTCTCAGCCCTTTCAGCATTTTCATTTTTACTGAGAAACTGGTGTTTACCAAAATGCCATTCAATTTTGTGTTGATCTCGGATAAAATTGATTTTACCTCATTGATTGTAACCATTTAAAGGTTGCTGATTACCATTTCTTTCCTTTACATTGATATTGTTTTTGATAAAGAAACAGACGGATTTGGTCTAAAAATTGTCTTTCTCTATTTTTTCCCTAGTTAATCATGATGATTTCAGCTGACAACAAATTGAACTTGTAAAACACTTGATGGTGGAGGGATGATCATGAATGATGGCTTTTATTGATGGATCAACTCTGATTTGTGAGACTTGAAACACACAAAAGAAGCGAGTTTATATAGCAGAGCACCTTTTGATAACTTTGGCTCTTGAAATGTGCTCAATTTAAGCTGATTCATATGAAAAAAATATTCAACCATTACAATTGAGCTTTTGATTGCCATTATTTACTCGTGTTTTGTCATGGTTTTAAAAGACACAAATTGATGTTGAGTTTGGAAACCTTCACAATCAAGATAACAAGATATGTTGATACAGATACTGATGTAGTCTTGTAAACTGGTGATGAAAAGCAATGTGATTTTAAAGGTTTAACCTTTTTTACAACTTATCACATTTTGATTGATAATTTATATATATTTGGGTTTCCTTAGACAGTCAACGAACTGTTCATCTTAGCCTGAACATTGACCGCCAACTTCACATGGACATTGGGCTATGAATGGCTATAAATATACGTCAAAATTTATCTCAATTATATCATGATAAGCTTTTAAACTAAACTCTTGACTTTTCTCAACCAGTTTTTCAACCCTTTTTTCAAGAAAAAAATGTGTCCATCAGCTCTGTGTTAATCAACCAAATCAACTTTGATCATTTTCGGGCTTCTCTTTTTTACTCTCTCATGTTTGCCTGTACTACTTCAATTATTTGTTGAACAGATAGCTTCCAATTGAAATCTGTTAGTTTAATAAGCTGATGAAATAAATCAGTTTACATCAGTTTTATTTGAAAAAGCAATCAACTCATCATTCAATTGCACCAAGTAAATCCCCTTTCAGTATCTTTTTTGTTCATATTAACCTCTTTTTATCCGATACAATTTAATGATAATTGTTTCAATTTGTCTCCATTTCACTATTTACACAATTGTCAATCATACAATCAAAGTCGCCACTTGGATTGTTTCCATTCAAAATATTTGCTACTTTAAAAAGACTCAAGAGTTAACCATTGCACTGCCAATGATTCATAATGGTTATTCAATCCAAATGAATCTTATTGAATCAAGTTTAACAAGCTTGATCAAATTCCGAATATCGATTCATTTGCACTAAACTGACTTTTTCCTTTCAAATTTGACTGTTGATGTTTTTTACCAAATAATGCATTATATCTCAATCAATTTACTGATTTAATTATGTTGATTCATTTAAACAGGAACAAAGAACTGAAAGTCAATTTGAAAAGTTCAATAAATTTTTTGAACAAGAAAGTTGTAAATCAATTAATCAAGATAAACCCATTTCATTGTGGAAGTGTTACTGGAAAACCTTTAAATATAGTTTAGCTGTTGGAGCCATACTACGTATCTCAGCTGATCTGTTTGCCCTTTTTGGTCCAATTTCAATTCAATACATTCTTAATTATGTTGATGCGGTTAAGAATTCAACCAAAAATTCAACTCTCAACGGAACCGCCAATTTATTGCAAACAGATTTACAGGTAATAAACAGTTTATCTTTGGATCGTTACTTCAGTCAAACTAACAAGTTATACAATATTTTCATTTGTTTCAAGTATTTCTTGACGGTTCAAGCCTTAACTTGTGATTAACTTGAAAATTATTCCCATCAACAATTGAAATTAATTTTAGATTCCTTGGGAAATTAGCAGTTATCACTATTAACCTTGAAAATTTTGATTAACACATTAATTGTAATAATTTCCGTTTACCAATAATGCACACAAAACATGATAATTTAAAGAGGCATCCTTAAACCCTTAACCAAATTTATATTTTAAACCGTCAGAAATTACTGAAAAATTCAAACATGACCAACAATTTGTATTTAAATTGAAATTAATCTAAATTGTCTATTCATTATTTCAATATTTCTTAGGTTATCGAGACTTCAACATTCATTCACAATGGATTCCTCATTGCTTTTCTCGTTTTATGTTCAACCTTTTTGCAAAGCAATTTTTCCAATTCCTTCAACCATTTAGCCGTTCTTCAAAGCTTACAGCTTAAAAGTGCACTACAGGTAAATCTTGTTAAATTTTGGAGTGTAATTCATAATAATCATTGTTTTTCATCTAAATTTTCGTAGAGTTTAATTTATAAGAAAACACTTCGAATGGCCCCTTCCATGGGACTCGATTTCGGTGGTATTTCCAATCATATGTCGTCTGATACTCATGATATGATGATGCTTTTTTCAATGGGTCATTATGTTTGGGCCATACCATTAAAAGTTAGTATAAATTATCCTGATTCTGCATTTGGATCCATCAAAATTAATTTATGGTTTTTCTTGTTAGATTATCGTTTTGATGACTTTACTATACTTTCAACTTGGTGTCAGTTCAATCATTGGAGCTGCGGCTATTTATATTTTAGCGCCCATTCAATACTATCTTGGTAAACGATTAAGTGCAATTCGTAAAGAAACAATGGTAAACATTGAGAAATTTTTTTGAAATCAATTTTCGTTTAATATAACTTATAACATTTTGTTACTCTAATACAGGATATTTCAGATCAACGATTGAAAAAGACAAACGAACTGTTAACTGGAATCAAACTGCTTAAATTGCTTAATTGGGAAATACTGTTTTGTCGGAAAGTGGAAAATATCAGGAATCAAGAGTTAAATTACCAAAAAAGAGACGCTATTCTTGTTGCTTATATAAGTAAGTTTCATACCAATCTTGACTCTTAATATTTCCTTATATTTAATAGATTAAGTGTAAATTATTCATATATTTAAATGTAATTTAATTTTTGCTAATATTTTGTCTCTTTTTTACTCTTTCAACTGTAGCTATATTAACCCAAGCTTCATCGGTTATCCTAACATTGGTTACCTTTGTGTTATACCCGTACATTGAGGGTGAACCCTTACAACCGGCAAAGGTTTTCACTGGATTAGCGTTATTTAATCAACTTACAGTTCCTCTTTACATAATACCTGTTGTTGTGCCCATCATAATCAGCTCATTAACCAGCAGTCGACGGCTTTCAAGATTTCTATCTCAACCTGAAATTGATTGTAATGTACCCTGGAGGCAAGATGATTGTGATTGTATTAAAGATGATGAATCGGAAGATGGTAATGCCAATGTAAGTTGTAAACAATTTTTGAACTGTCAATCACCTTTCACCCCTTAAATCCTCTCCTCATAAATGACCATTTTCAAACAATTAGACATTTCTTAAGACAGCAAATTTGTTATATTAATTGATTAGCGCAATTATTGGCAGCCAAATTAAATAACTCTGAAAACAGCCGATCTTATTTCCTTAAATTTACGGGTTAACCAATAATATCAAAAGAATAGACCATTTATTTGAAATAAATGATAATAATGGCCTCTCCGTCATTACCACAATTTATTTTTATTATTATTTATAAGCATAATTTTTAGAAATATATATTACACGATTTATTTATTATTTACTTTGTTTCTTTCAACACAGAAAAAATCAAGTTATCCCAATGGAAATGTATTAATTGATACCAATTATCAACCAGCAAACCAGTCTTTAAATGAAACATCTAATAACAACATCAATGCTACTAGTACGGACTGTGATGGAGAAACGGCTGTTAAAATTAGAAATGGCCATTTTGCTTGGAGTAACAAACAAGAAACGGATAACCTGAGAAATATTAATGTTACAATTCCTAAATCAAAATTGACAATTGTTACTGGGCCTGTTGGAGGTGGAAAAACTTCCCTCCTTTCAGCCTTAATGAACGAAATGATCAAGATTGATGGTACGGTAACTTGGTGTTCAGGCAACAGCCGAATAGGATTCTTGCCGCAAACACCTTGGCTTTACAATGTTTCCCTTCGTGATAACATTACCTTTGGCTTACCGTATGATCCTGAACTTTATTCAAAGGTTAAAGAGATTACCTGTCTTCAAGGAGACATTGAATTGTTACCCAATAAGGATGATACAGAGATTGGTGAGAGAGGAATCAATTTATCTGGTGGTCAAAGGCAGCGAGTTGCTCTTGCTCGAGCCATCTATTGTGATCCTTCAACTTTAATACTAGATGACCCTCTATCAGCACTGGATCCTAAAGTATCTCACACAATATTCACTTCAGCCATTGTCGATTATCTCTTAGGTCGTGGTAAAACTGTTATAATGACAAGCCACGATTTAGATCATCTTAAAGTTGCTTCTAAAATTATAGTTATGGATCGAGGACGAATTGATTTTGATGATGATTTTAGCGGTTTAGTTTCTTCTAATTGTCAATTTTACATTCAATTGAGGGATAACGACTTAGCTCAGGAAAAAAATCGTGCTTTTATTTCTGATGAAGGTTCAACAGCAAAAGAGAGACAAAAGCTTTGCCGATTAGTGACTAAACGTTGCCTGGTTCGAACAGTTTCAACCATTGAAGGGCATTCTAAAAGAAGATCTGGAATTTATTTACGTCAAGTCAGCCATGACCCTTCGTGCCCATTGCCTTGTGATGATTATACCGATATTGAAGGCCCTTGTCGATCTACTCCAACAAACTCGGCTTCATCGAAAGACGATTTCTGTGTTTATGGTAATCCTGGTACAACCGGGGCTAATAGTGATTTTGGTAGACGACCTCGACCAGGAAACTTGCTACGACTCATTTCAAGTGAATCAGCACATTCACGAGTTTCTTCAAATGCCAGTGGCCATTTTATCGGTGGAAATGAATCAGCAACACCGAGTGGCATATTCCGCCCTGGTTTGAGACGTTTAGTATCTAAAATTTCCGATCGTACCATCAAAGAGGAAGATGATGCTAGTCGAATTATTGGGACAACGAGAAAATTATCAGCTGATGCTGATGAAGGTGATTTATTGCTTATGGTTAATGGGCGAAATAAATCTGAATTAATGGGTCGATCTGAGGGAATGATTAGCTCATCACCTTCTGAAGGGTTAATTGGTGATGAAGAGAAAGAAACTGGATCAGTTTCAATCAAAGTTTATTGGTTATACATTAAAGCTTGTTCTCCTTATTTAGCGATAACCATTTTACTATTTCTGGTTTTTTCCCAAGTAATCAAAGTAGCAACTGATTTCTGGTTGACCGATTGGACAGAATCTAATGTTGGAGTTGCTAATTCAACTGAGAAAGCCTCTTCAGTCCTAACTAAACAAGTCAAATATAATGATAACCTTACTAACCCTGATCCTGACTTGGTGAATGTTAAAACAAGCCATACTCTAGTTTATTATATTGGCGGTTATTGTATTTTATCAGGATTAACAATTTTAATTTCACTAATTGCTAACCTGATGCTTCAATTTGCCTCATTACGAGCTGTTCGAGTCTTACATTCTCGAATGATCAATTCAATAGTTAAATGTCCAATCAGATTTTTCGACACAACTCCTATTGGCAGGATTCTTAGTCGTTTCTCGGCTGATATCTCCACTATTGATAAGGTAACACTTGAATCTGACATCCAATGTTCATCATGTAGCCATTAAGAGTCAAACATTAATGCTTTTTTTCAAAAATTTATTCTCATAACTAATCAAAATATTTGATTTCAATATTTAATCACAGGAAATTACATCAACTTTACCTCGTTTGCTTCGTTTTATGCTCCTTTGTTTCTCAGCAATTATTGTGAACATAATTGTTACTCCACCATTCATTATAGCTGCCATTATAATCATCATAATTTACTATTTATTGCAAAAATTTTTCCGTGCAACTTCAATTGAGCTTCAACGCATTCAAAGTATCAGTAATTCGCCAATTTTCTCACATTTTAGTCAAACTTTGACCGGACTTTCAACTATTCGAGCTTTCAGGTACATTTCAATCAACATTATTTTAAAATCCTTGACTAAACCATAACCATGTCTCATTTTTATTTACCACAGGCAAGAAACTTCATTTAGTGAAGCATTATGTGAATATATCAATACCAATAACTTAGCTTTCCTGATGGTCAACTGCGCCAATTGTTGGCTCGGTATTGCTCTTGTAAGTTTCCTAATTGTATCAATAATTGATAAGTAAAATCAGATGAATTAAAATAATTAATTTAATTTCTAATCAATCCAATTTTAGGATTACCTGGGAGGAATAATTTTAGCTTGTGCAACTATAACATCGTTAATCGCCGCAATTTATGGGGATATAAGCACTTCATTTGTTGGAATGTCAATAAGTTACACTTTATTGATACCAATCTACCTTAATTGGGTTGTCCGTAATTTAGCAAGTCTTGAAATGCACATGTGTGCTGTTGAAAGAGTTGACCAATATAGTCAATTGGAGCCCGAAGATTCATCAGAAACTTTTGAAGGTATGTTATATAAAGCCTTAACTCGTTTGTTTTCATCATGATAACAACTTTCTTATTTTTAAATCGATTTCGGTACAAACAGAATTACCTAAAAATTGGCCATCAAAAGGTTCAGTTGTTTTCAAAGGAATTGAGCTTGGCTATGAAGCAAACGCTGATTCAATTTTGAATAATTTCCATTTGTCAATCAAATCCGGAGAAAAGGTAAGATTAATAAGCTTTGAAATTTTGATAAAGAGCAAGAATTTTTAAATGATTTAATTTTTCAATATTCCAATAGGTTGGTATTTGTGGTCGAAGTGGATCTGGAAAGTCGTCCATAATTATGGGATTACTTAAGATGGTTGATGTCCGCGATGGTCAAATATTGGTTGATAATAAGAATATAAAGAAGATACCTTCTGATGTTCTGAGGAAAAATATCGCATTAGTTCCTCAAGAGCCAATTATATTTTCAGGAACATTCAGGTAAACTTGAACTCAAAATCGAACATCAAATCATTTGAACTTCATTTTGATTTACAATTTGTAGTTTGATATATCATTTACTTTGATTAACCAATTTTCAATTTATAATCTTTCTCTAGAGAAAATCTGGATCCATTTCAAGAATACTCTGATGATGAAATTTGGAGAGTTTTAGAGGAAACAGATTGTCGATCGATTGTGGACTCGTTAGACGAGGTTATAAGTGATGAGGGATCAAATTTGAGCTCAGGTCAACGACAATTGCTGTGTTTTGCCCGAGCAATACTCAAAAAGAGTCCAATACTAATAATGGATGAAGCCACATCTTCCCTAGATGTACAAAAAGAGTCTGCTATTGTGGACTACATTCGTAAATCAAACCGAACTGTTATTTCAATTGCCCACCGACTTAATTCACTTCTTGATTATGATAGGATAATTGTCCTGGATTCGGGTAAAATTGTTGAAGAAGGTTTTCCAAAGAAATTACTGACTAAAGAAAATGGTATTTTCAGATCTCTTCTTGAGAGTGAAAAAGGAAGTTGAGATTGTTTTTGGGCCAATTCAAGATAAATGATATACTCGAAATATATTCAATCGCTTTGTACATGTAACTTTTTTATATAATTTATATTTAATCACAAGGATTGAGATTAAAGTTTGGTCAATTAAAGTATATTACTTCAAATTATATATTAACACTGTAAATTATTAATTATAAAACTGTTCCCGTGTGTCGAAATTTGAATTCTGATAAAAATCATTCAAAAAATCAACATTAATTATTAATGTTTCTATAATTCTATTCATTAATTTTAATCAATGTCATCTAAGAATTGAAAACAGATTTAATTTATACAGAAAAATATAAACTCACGAGATGATAACTCACTTTCGTATTATAAATACTATCACTTTGATTCTTAATCATACATGTAATAGATGCACTTGAATCAACCAAGGTTAGCACAGTTTCCAAGTTCTTGAAATAATCAACTAAATTTGGGCTCGATGTGTTATCAGCTAGTTTCGAATGAATAATGGCTTTTAATAATCTCTATTATTCAATTATATGTATATCAATAATTTACGGCTACAATTCACTATCAACAAGCACAGGTTACTATTCGTAATTAGTTATCCATCCCTCGAATGACAAGTTGCATGAAGGCTTGATCATCAAGCTGACTGGATTGTGTTTATAAATTTGATTCTCTATTTACTAGTGATGTCACCTAAAATCTCGGTCTTAAGCAATTTTAATTATTATTGAAAATTGAGTTTAATATCTATTAATATGACTTCTCGTGAATCTTTATTACCTAGTCCAGTTCCTGGTAAAGTTAAAGCTCGTTTCAAATGGGAACCAGCTACCATGAGTGCTCTTAAAAAGTGTCAAAAATTTTTAACACGGTTAACTCGGATCAATCATATGGACTTTGAATTTGCTTTCTGGCAAATGATTTACTTATTTGTAGCACCATCAAAAGTATATCGATCTGTATATTACAGGAAGCAAACTAAAAATCGATACAGCCGTGATGACCCTGCTTTTGTGGTTCTTTTGTCATTTTGGTTTATCATAAGTGCCACTGGCTTAAGCCTAGTCCTCAGGTTACCATTTATTGCTTTCATCAAATTCTTATTCTGGGTCGTTTTTATTGATTGTATTACCATTGGTTTAATTGTGGCCACTTTATTTTGGTTTATTGCCAACAAATATTTAAGAAAACCAACTTTACCGAAAGAAGACGTTGAATGGGGATATGCTTTTGACGTTCATTTAAACGCATTCTTTCCGCCTCTGATCATCATCCATGTATTCCAGCTATTTTTCTTCAATGGTGAATATTTAAATAAACTAACTCGTCCTAGTATAATTTGATTCATCCGCAAATTTTCTTAGGCGCATTAATATTATCGAATGAATTCAATGTTACTATCAAGCTTATTTTAAAATTACATTCAATTAACTGACTTATTTTCTTTCTCTATTACAGTACTCATAAATAGTGATTGGTTTTTTGCTCGTTTATTTGGTAATACACTTTGGTATATTTCAGCAATCTATTATGTATACATAACTTTCCTTGGCTATAGCTCGCTACCAAATCTGCACCGAACTCAATTCATTTTATACCCACTTGTTCCTTTATTTTTCTTCTACATCTTGACCCTTGTTGCTGATATAAATATCTGTAGGATAATCATGGATTTTTACAAATACAGAGTTTATTGATATTTTATATTTTCAATCAATTTCCTTTTCTAATTGTATTTATTAAATTGTGAACCCATTCTCGAAACTATAAATAAATATGACCAAGTCAGCAGTATTCAATCGTTTTAATAGTTACGAATTTTTTTGTTAGAAAACTCCAAGTAAAGGGTGATTGATGATCGGATTTATTATCGCTTAATTTAACCAAAACTTTGACTGTAGCTGTGACTTTTATCATGCTTTGTTTATCATTTTTCTGGTTGTCTCTCCTCAAACCATCGCCAATATTTTCAATTAGCATTCTTGCTTATTTCAAATTCATCCACCACATTATCGCTGTTTCAAGCAGATTATAAGAACCAGAGAGAATAGTTTCGAATCAACAGCCCTTTTGTCAATTTCATTTTTGATTTAAGTTGATCACAAATGTTTTAAAAACGACAATAATCTATTTTGTAAAAGGTTAAATATCATTTGTTTACAACCTTTTTTCATTCAACTAAACTCAAGTTGCATTTGGGATTTTGGGTTGCTATAGTGACATTAATCAGCGGCAAATATGATATGAAATATTGTTATTTTTTACAATAATTGGTTTAAAAGGAATTAAAGATTTAAGACTCTTTATTTTTATCGATTAACTAAGTTTGGCAATTTTTATGGAATGCTGATCTAGCTTCAATGATGAGTAGATAATTCAACATATCTTTGTTCATTTGCTCAATTCCATCAGCATATTTGGTCAAATCTTCTTCGTTATTGGTGTAATTGTCTTTTATGTTTTGTAAGAGTCGAAGTTTTTCACTAGCATCTTTAGCTAATTTTTCAGCTCTTGATCTGATTGACTCTGATTGTTTCTTCTGTAAGCCAGAATCTGCTTCTTTTTGAGCCAGTTTTCGTTTAGCTTCTTCAAACTTAGCTTCCAAGCCACCAACTTCTGCTTCTGCAGCTTTAGCCATATCTGTAGCAATATCAGCTTCCTTGGATGCTTGAGTTACTGAGTAAGTATTTTTCGTAAAGCTTATTCGAAGTCCTTCCAATCTCTTTCGTAGTTCTTCGATCTTAATCTTAGCTTGTTCTGATTGTCGAGCAATACTTTCAGTCTCAGATGAAATGGAATCAAGATCTATTTGAGCTCGATTAAATTGTTCATTAGCATTTTTGATTGAATTCGCTGCTTCATTTTGAGCTTCTTGAGCAACAGCTAAAGCATTCAATACCTCTCTGGCCATTCCTAATATTTCATCTGCACGATTCTTGGTGAAGTTTGCCTCTGATTCGAGTGTTTGTGCTCTACGCAAATCAGCTTCAGTTTCATCTAAAATTTTCTCAATGTTTTTCACATTTTTGAGAGTTACGTTGATTTTATTGGCAAGATCAAGAATTTGTTCCGGAGTTAATGATATTTGAATTTTCAGGCAGTTTTCAGCAACTGTTCGTATCTCAGCTGGAGTCGCTGATTGGGCAGTCATGAATTCATCAATAAGATTAAATAAATCTTGAATCTCTTTGCTCATTGCCTCTGAATTGTTTCTGGCAGCAATAGCTCTATCATATGCTCTTTGAGCTTCACGTAAAGCTTCCTCACTACGACGGCGAGCTTCTTCAGTATTCCTCACCTCGTCTTCTCCCTTTTCACGCAGTTCTTTCAAAATTTTCTCAGCGTCCTGGCCATAGTTGAGTGCTGATTGAGCTTTTGTAGTTGCAGCGTCACAAGAAATATCACCACATTTTGAGCAACCGGCTCCTCCACAAGTATAATCACATTTATCAACGGTAGATCGACCGCCACAAACCAATTTGTTGATATCTGGAATATTGTCTTCTAAATGTTTAATTTTTGCCGAAATCGCACTCAGCGATCCTCGATTGTTTTCCATTGATTTTTCATGATCGAAATTTGTGGATGAGATTAATTTTTCTGTTCCATATCTAAGCTTTCTAGACTTATAGATGTTAGGTATAGCATCTTCAACCTTTTTTTCAGCTGCTAAACTTCGCCTGTAAGCGTCTTCTGTCAGGTTCAATGCACTCCTAACATCATCTGCTTTGAGTTTAGTTGTATTTTCACGTAACTCAGCATTTTGAGCTTCCAAACCACGAGCCAACAATTTCAACTCGTCAAGGCGTAAATTGGCTTGACCAGTACGTTGAACAGTTTGATCAGTATCTCTTTCAGCTGCAGATATTTTTTGGTTCAAAAAATCAACCTCTCGTTGTAACTCTTGAATCGTTTTGTTTACATTTCCAATATCAGCGTCCGTAACATTTGATCCTGAAATTAATATTTCTGCATCCAGTAATTTATTTTCAATTGTAATAAAAGACTTTCCATAAGCCCCTGGTGCTCCCGTTTGTTTGATCTTACGAGCTCGTTCAATTAGTCTTAAGGTTTCATCTCTAAGTTGCTGTATTGTTGTGTCCCAATTCTCGAAACATTCACCACATGATTCACACCGAGGAGCCAATCCAAGGTAACCTCGAGCACATTGATCACATTTTTTACCAGATATTCCCTTTAAGCAAACACATGAGCCATCGAATTTATTGCACTGCATAGTTGCGGATCCACTAGGATCACAATCACATGCTGAAAGTTAAAATGATAAATAATGATTCATTTTAATTGATAAAAGTTATTACTATTTTTGTTTTAGCAATCAGAACAAGAAATATTAATCATTTGACTTTAGATAATTTGAATGATAGAATGGTGAACTGAGCAAAGGAAAAATCATTATTATCGATAAGACACAGAATTTCGTTCAAAATCATGAATTAACTCAATATCAAAAGGGAATCTCAATCTCAATGAATGAACGACCAAACTAACAATTTAAGTGGCATTGAGAGTTTATTATTTTAGTGAAGTTGAAACATAACATGCAATGTTAATCGACTTTAGACTCCAGTAGCTCAAAAGATCTTTGGTTACATTTCAATGACATTCAATGTAAATTGTTATTTTACGTTCAAAAATCATTCAAATTGGTTAGCAAAATCAAAACTAAATCACTTGATTACACTTGTTTTAACCAGAGGAAAGAATTAGATTGTTAAAGTTGCTTGTTTTGAAAAAAAGAAACACTTACCTTGTTCATCTAAATCTGCTTGTAACAGCGACACTTGATTAAAAAACACAGATTGGAAAATAATTGCAACAATTTGTAACAAAATAAATGGATTAATTAGCATTTTCACACAAATTAAGCAGATTAATAGAATCAAAAATACAAATTAAGATAAAACAAGGGTTGAACTTTCAATTTAAATCAACACATTTTCCATTGTTTCATTGAATTCACATTGAAGCTTTCACAGTTCAATCAGAAGAGGAGCCAAACGGATTTCTCAAAACGAGTTTCATTTCTGGCCTCAACTTGTTTAAGGTACGTAGGTGTATTGAATGAAACTATTGACCAAATTGGGTAAAAATGGTTTCTCTTTTTGTTTTGGATACAAATGAACTTGTTCTAATGCTGATTGTCTCGTTTTCTGGTTGGGGTTTGCTTTGAATTTGACAAAATGGATTTTGATTGGAAACTATTCTCTCTGGTTCTTATAATCTGCATCAAACAGCGATAATGTGGTGGATGAATTTGAAATGAGCACGAATGCTAATTGAAAATATTGGCGATGGTTTGAGGAGAGACAACCAGAAAAATGATAAACAAAGCTTGATAAATTATCCAAATGACCAGCAATTGACTGTCATATTTTTTCATTTGCTTTGACTGTGATAATTTGAAATGACAGAATGATGAACTGAGCAAAGTGAAAATCATTATTATCGGTAAGACACAGAATTTCGTTTCAGAATCATGAATTCACTCATTTAAATCTTTAATTCCCTTTAAACCAATTATTGTAAAAAATAACAATATTTCATATCATATTTGCCGCTGATTAATGTCACTATAGCAACCCAAAATCCCAAATGCAACTTGAGTTTAGTTGAATGAAAAAAGGTTGTAAACAAATGATATTTAACCTTTTACAAAATAGATTATTGTCGTTTTTAAAACATTTGTGATCAACTTAAATCAACAATGTCGAACAACGGAAATGACAAAGAAGATATCCTTAAATCATTCATCACTGAAGTGAAAAAAATTGAAGAACAAGACTCTTTTTACACATCTGAACTTCAAATTCAACGTTTGTTAAGACCGGGATCATCATATGCTAACTTAAACCCTTTTAGTGTTTTATTGCTCGATTATGAAGCTCCGTTGGAACAAATCAAGAAACAGTACAAGAAGTTATCGATTCTGCTTCATCCAGATAAAAATCTAGATAATCGAGAGAAGGCCCAAATCGCTTTTGATATTTTGAACAAAGCCTACAGATGTTTAGAGGATGAAGCATCACGAGCTCGTGCATTAGAGGTTGTCGAAGAAGCCAAGTTCAAAGTGAATCAGAATATTGAAGAAAAGAGGAAAAAGTTGAAACGCCAAGGTAAAGGAGAGACCCGGATCGATGAAGATGATCCTGAAAAATTCAAACATGCCATTCATGTGATGACAATGAAGCTGTTTGCAGATTACGAAAGGAAAAGACGACAAATGGAGGATAGAAATACAGAAGACCGTAAAAGGAAGAGAGAAGAAGAAATCGAAGAAGAGGAAAGGAAGAAAGCTGAGGTTGAATGGAACAAAAATTACGAAGAAAGTCGTGAAATTCGTGTATCAAGTTGGAAAAATTTTCAGACAACTGGGAAAGTCAAGAGGAAGACTTTCAGACCTCCTAAACACAAGCCTGAAACCAAATGAGTTGCCAAAATATCAATCAATACAGACCTACTGGCAGATTTACTGAATAAACCGTTTAAATCCTCTAAAAGCTATTCTCGATCTTAATTGATAACCAATTTCGCTCGATGGTCAACTTAAATTCATTCATTCATTTACTCATTTACTGGAAAAGAGTCCAGAAACTATCATTATCAAGTTTCATTCTGAAAGGAATCATTGTATTGTCATCAATTTGTAGATTTAAGTCACAACACGAACAAATACTAATTTTGTGTAATATACGTCTAAATAAATTTTTGGTCATTCAATTTTTCATTCAATTATTTGTGCGGATTCTACGACTGCAGTTTTAATTATCAATGTATTTAATAGATTATGAATGATTTTAATCGCAATGTTTGCTCTTTCAAATTTACCGCCAGTGCAATTCTGCAGCTATTTCTTTGTGAGTCTGCCTGAAATTTAGTTTATTGTCTGTGCAAGATTTCACTTTGAAAGTTTGTTTATGAAAATTGGTTTGAATTTAAATCTTTCATCATTTTAATACAACAATGAGGTAAGCTTATTCATTCTTTATAAACCATTTTTGGCCCATGCCTCTATTATTCTGATCTCTCGATATTAATGAACTTGTAATATTGAAAATTAATGGTTAATGTATTTTTTTCATTTGCTTTTTTTACATCTGTCATTAGTATCCTTTCTGATGTTCCTGAATATGTTGTCGATAAAATTGCTGATACTAAATGGGATGGTGTCAATGGAACATACAACCACGACAATGAATGGAAAAACTGGGACGAAATAACCACAGTTTACAATGAATATACTGGCGAAACGATTCCAGCATTGCCATACGTCATATCGGACTGGTGACCAACTTGAATCTTGAACTTTTCTAGTGCTTTCAGTGACAAAATTATTTTAAATTATGCTAGCAGACGTATTAAACTAGACTCGATGCTACGATGAGCTGACTGATTTTACAACTGATGAAATAAAACATGTGCTAAGCTAGCTTGAAAATTGGATTACGTTTGCTTTCTAGTTTAATCTGTTGAATGCTCCCAGTTTACGGCCAAGTATATTTTCTTAGCTATTTTCTGAATATTTCTGAATTTTTTTGCTGATCAGCAAGTTCAATATTTTGTATCATGCTTTTATCCGGGGTTCCACTAACCTCTAGCTTATAAATTGCAGTTTACGCTACCAAATGCATTTGGCTTGCATCTCAAAATTTCAGGCTACTAGAATATTCTAGAATTTTCCAAGTAAGAAGAAATCTGAGCCTTAATACTAAGCCTGAGCACTAAATATATTAATAAATAGCTGTATACTTTCCTATGAGATATCTGATTAGACTTTTGTTAATAAACTCCGTTCTTGTTTGCGAAAGTGTTGTTTTAATTCTGATATTTTACTCATTTCTTTTTTGATTCGATAAAGTATCAAGGCAATGACATAATGCGGTTAGGTTTTTCAGAAATCCTGAGAAATATTTGCTGTCATAAAATATTTTATCATTCAAGCTATACTATTCAAGAATACGTATTGTAATTAATCAAATTCCCAACTCAGCACTCGACTCTTGCTTTTCACAGCTTATGGACAATGATCTAGGAATTTCGAGCCTAAATTGTGACTTATACTTTTCTGATTTTTAAGGAAAATTCATTTAAAAAATTGAATAATTGCTAGCTATCGTAGAACCAAAAGCTTCCAGAGAAATATTTGCTTGATAATATTTAAATGTTTATCTAATGATTTTCTTATTCAAATGAATCTTTTCCCACAAATTAACATTCGATGTATCGATTATTTTCTTTGTATGCCAACAACAACATGTCGATAATGCAATTTTAGTTTAAAATTGTGTTCATCTTTTTTTGTTTATGTTAGCTGAAAGCTACTTTAAATTTTATTATTACCAAAGTTACTTAAACCTGAACTATCTACATTAGTCATGACGGAATTAAATGTAGACTTACAAAATAAATGTAATGTGGGAGACGAAGCTGATGTTGAAAAGGACGAAGATTTGGTTACTCCGTGGGATGTAGTCAGTAAATCAGAAACCGGTGTTGACTATGAAAAATTGATTAGTGAGTATTTTTTATTGCTTATTTACTCAGTTTAATAATATTTCTTTTTTTCTTTACTCACTAGGTCGATTTGGATGTAGTCGTATTGATAGTGACTTGATTGCCAGAATGGCAAAGCTGATAAATGGTCCTGTTCATCATTTGTTGAAAAGGCAAATTTTCTTCTCTCATCGTGATTTAAACAAAATACTTGATCGTTATGAGCAAGGGAAGCCTTTTTTTCTCTATACTGGTCGAGGTCCATCATCCAAAGCCCTCCATCTCGGTCATTTAATTCCCTTCATGTTCACTAAATGGCTTCAAGGAACTTTCAATGTTCCTTTAGTTATTCAGCTAACTGACGACGAAAAATATTTCTGGAAAAATATACCTTTAGAAGAAACAATTGAACTTGCTCGTGAAAATGCAAAAGACATAATAGCATGTGGATTCGACATTAAGAAAACATTCATATTCAACAATTGGAACTTCGTAGGGTAATGAAATTTTAAAATTTTCAGTTTCTTAATGATCTAATTTTATTTTCTCTCTTTATTTGTACAGTTCGTGTCCATCCTTTTACCAGAATATTGGCAGAATTCTCAGATTAGTTAATAATAACCAAGTCAGATCAATATTTGGTATTGGCAAAGACGCCGATTGCATCGGAAAAACCTTTTTCCCAGCTTGTCAAGCAGCCCCATCTTTCTCCTCGTCATTTCCATTTATTTTTGATGGAAAAAAAGATGTCCCATGTCTAATTCCTTGTGCTATCGATCAAGATCCTTATTTTCGATTGACTCGTGATGTTGCTCCTCGTTTAGGTTTCCCTAAACCTTCTTTAATTCATTCATCGTTCTTCCCTGCACTTCAAGGAGTAAAGAGTAAAATGAGTGCTTCAGAGACAAATAGTGCAATATTTTTAACGGATACACCAAAGCAAATTAAGGACAAGATAAATAAATATGCCTTTTCCGGAGGTGGAACTACTGTTGAAGAGCATCAAGCCAAAGGAGGAAATTGTGATATCGATATTTCTTACCAATATCTTACATTTTTCTTAGATGATGATGAAAAACTGGAAGAAATACGAAAATCTTATTCTGCTGGGACATTATTGACTGGACACTTGAAAAAAGAATTAATCACAATCCTTCAAAAACTAGTTGCTGAACACCAAGAGAGAAGGAAACAAGTCACTGATGAAATGCTCGATGAATTTATGAAGCTTCGAAAACTTGACTTCTAATTCTTCATCCTATGGTTTATCGGAAAATTTTTAATTATTGATTCAAATTTTGGTATAACTGCACACTGACTTATTAGTAATTTTCTGTCCTATCTGTAATATTGGATATCATGCTTTATTAAATGGTTTTGATCTTATTGTAGGTTTACCTACAAGATCAACCGTTTTTCAGTACATTTTATATCTAAATCAATCAACTCAATTATAAAATCACAACTGAAATGCATATACCATCTTTCTAATGAAATCAATCAATTCGGGATAAATTAAAGGAATACAATGTTAACAGATGGAACAATCATAAGTATGCTTGTGTAAGTGAAGCTTATGATAAATGTAAACGGAGATAATTCTAGATAATTTTTTAACTAGCTCATGTTGAATATTTTGGTGATAGACGTTAGATAGCGATTTCGCTGTGTATTTTACACCAAGCTTGCTTACATGATGATCGTCATATAAATCAAATACAAATAATGATAAAAATTAACGATTGTTAGAAAGTACCAAAAACACAATATTCAGATTGCCTCAAATTTTTCAAGATAACAGATCAAACGCAAAAACAAGTTATTTCAGGTTAGATCTTATCTCAGATAATTCATTTGAAACTCATGCTGCAAATTAGAACATTGAAACTATATCGATTTGCCTCTTTAGAGATATATTTAAGCTCTGCGTTGAGTTTATAGCGTTCTCTCGTTCAAGTGCAGAGAAAAAATGAATTTTTTCATTGTCTTTCTTGAAAAATGAATTGTGATTGAATACAGCAGATCTCCAATTAATAATTCATTTTTTATCGTTCCATGTATCGTACTAAACATATAAAAACTGTGATCAATATGCCAAATCGAATTGCAAGAAAAAGTCTCTTCAGAAAAGGGATGGAGAAAAGTCTGTTCTCGTTCTGCTTCTTCAACGACAAAACCTTTCCCTTAAAGCTCGAAAGCAGCAAATGTTCTAAAAAAATGGCAAATAAGTAATAATATTTAAAGAGGAACACAAAAATAGCGAAAATTTCACAGTGAATCATGTGAATGAACAAATACTCCCGTAATAAAGATTCACCGCTTTCAGTGTACAACTTAAACTCCTCAGATAATATTGGCGATAACTCAAGATATTTAATATTAGTTTTAGAGGTAACTCCAGATTTGCCATCAGCATGAGTTTCATAAGTTACGTTGCTATGCAGACACACTGCGTATCTGCTTTAATCTTCTTCCGATATTTTCCAATCTGATCCCTCAGAACGAGTAAGCGATGGATGGTTAAGCAAAAATCAGTTGCTTGTTCAATAGATTGGTAAAATACACTGGAGAGTGTAGGAGAGCAATAAACTGAATACAAAAAAGCAGACCGTAAATAATAAAAGTGTGAAATTTGAGTAACTTGATGAAGATTAATTATTTAAAATGAAATTTTAACCTATTTCTTCATCAATATAAAGATGCAATTCAAATTATTAACTAAACTGTACTAACAATTATCTTATCTTGCTGGTCGTAATTATTCATCTTCCCCTTTATATCCAAATAGTGTCGCGCTTTCTTAATATTTACATTTTTTACCCTTTTCAATGAAACGTTACTTTATTAGTGTTGAAAAAATGTTTTATTTCAGATTAACTGTCTGAACTATTCATATTTATTCGATAATCTAATCAACAAATTATATTTACCACTAAGTATCTCCATCGTCTTATTCAAGTATTCATTTCCCTTTCATCTCCTTTTACAGTTACACCTTACAAACCTCTTTGATCACATGGGAATGAATTGCCAATTATCCGGATACTCCAATCAAGGTAAATTAGATTCTTGATTCTCATTGTATATTGTTGAAAGAAAATAGAGGAACACTCAGTGGTTCCTAGAAATGCGGTATAAAAAAGACAACAAAAGCATGGATAAAAAAGCTTATTGAGTTTTTGCGCCTAATTTTCTCTGTGTCCCTCCATTTTCTTTATACCCTGCATTCAAGCCAATCTTTTAACCATCAATCAGAAACCTTTCACCACGAGTTTCTCCTTGTGTTTGTGTGTGAAAAGTTTCCAAATTTTTGAAAACACCATATGATGTAAACTCAATTCATTTGTGTTTTATTTCCTCAGCTTGATTCAGTTCACCCAATCACACATTACTGGTTTTTTCATTTTCCTTTCATTATGTTAACGGATTTCCAGGGAATCAGCAAAAAGTCAAGACAAATGTGCAATCCAAGGCAAGAATCAAGACATGGATAGGACAAAATGTTGGCGATTAAGATGAAGTAACACAATGAAAAGGATGCTGATGATGATATAAAAAGTATAAAGAGGAAAATGTCTTTCATTCAAGAGATTCTTATTCAGACGATTCTCATTCCTGAAATTTTTATTTCCATTTTGGCAGCTTTACACTATTTTTTTCCGTGGCAACTTTTTTTTCGAGCAAAGTTGACAAAATGTTTTCAATTCCTTGTTAGCATTTTACTTTTATTTCCATTGTGATGATAATAATTTCATGTGATTTCAAGATGAAACCAATGCAATTATGCAAACAATTTTCATCAAGGAAAATTTTCGCTCAAATTTTATTTACCATTCATAATTACATGTTAGTCAGACTAAGCGTCAGCAGTAGACACAAAAGATTCAATGATATCAAGATCTGGCTTGATCAGTCTTTGATTAGAATTGAATCGAGCATGATTTGCTTGCGGCTTAATTTTTTTTCCTTGAATTTGTTTTTCTCACAATCGTATGAAAAACAAAATTATTTGCTACAGACCGATGAATTGAAAAAAAATACTCTTGTCAACTTAGTAAAGAGTTAATCTGTTGATTGTCTATTTATGATAGAGATTGAGGAAAGGTAAAAATTGAGTTCTTAACTTTTCCCTTTGGTAAGCACGATTTGCATGGTTAATCAGCACGATTCATTCTGAATTTAATTGTATTACCTTGGGTTTACATTTGACGCCGTACTGCAAAAAAAAGAAATAAATGTTGAGTGAATTCATGAGAGAAGACAGAAGAAGAAGAATAAGAATGTTGAATAGTGAAAGAGCAGCTAAATTTTAGGTGAACTTTAGATCCCAACAGACGATACTAATGAAGAATGATGAAGACAAACAACGATATGAGTTAGCGCCGATAGATCATGTTTAGACGCCATTTTTGTTTTGGCTATTACTGAGCCTCAAATGAGAATCTCTTGAAATGTATTATTTGCTTTCTTACATTTCTTTCCTTTTCTTTCTCTCTGCCAACAATTAAGATTAATCACAGATATAACTTTACTCACACATTTAGACACATTTTCGGGAAAGATTTGCTCAATTCTTGCAAGTCGTTCAATCAATGTAACTGAGTATCAACATAAAGACAACAAAAGTAACTCTCTCTTTCTCTATCTTCCACCCTCTATTTTTCCCTCTCTCCTCTTTCTTAAGGAATATGATGAGAAACTCAACCAACCAAAGGCTCTTTTTTATCATCATCATCGTCATCATCATCAACAACAACAACATCTCATACTCAACAAGGTTTGCGGTTGGTTGCAATATGGTTTGTTCATTTGACAATCTGATGGATTTGACTTTATAACCATCAAGATGCTTAAATTTTCAAATCTTTATTTTTCTTTCCGAGTTACTCAAATTTCACCTTAAAATATACTCAATCACACTAATTACTTTTTATCATTGTATCCAAACATTTCAACCAAACATGATAAGATTGAGACAAAATCAAAAGGAAAAGACAAGGGAAAGCAAAACCTTCATTGGAGTCGTTCAACTGATGCTGATCATTTAACTAAAGCAAAATTTAAAACTTTGAAAACAACCTGAACACCTACATTGGCAACCAGAGTTATCAATTATGACAGAGAGATTCCATGAATTCATCATTTACCAATGAATTTATGGAAAAGCAGGAGAAGAGGAGAACCAACAAGACTTTATGATTTCATATCAAAGTACAAAAGGGTTACAAAATGGATAAAAGGAATACAACGAAAAAAGAGTTTCAGGTTACAGTGAAAGAAAAAGCAAAGTTGAAAGAGGCCAATTTCATTATCAGATTACCTATCATGATGACCGCAAGTTGTGTTAATCAAGAAAGGAAAAGGCCAAAGGAAAACAATACGATAATAAGCTTGGACCTTGACTTTCACACAAAGTTAACGAGTCAGGAAGGATTTCACTTTTCTTGCCCGGCAGAGACACACAATCACCAAGCAAGACATTATTATGCTATTTTGCAGGCCAAAACCAATCATTCAATTGTATCTTGAAAACCATGACCATCTCTTGGGACTATCTCAAGCAAAAAGGTAAAAACGGCAAAAGAGAGAAAAGACTTAAATATATATTATCTCAGGTTGGATTTTACGTTTAAAAAGGCCCTTGGACACACACCAAAACTTACCAATGGTCCTGCCACATTTTGTTATCTTTCTCTGTCTCTCTCTCTTTCTCATCATATTCTGGTAAACATTGAACAAAACCTTTTCTTTCTCTTTCTTTCCTTTCTTCTCATTTTTGCAGAGAAAGACCTTTTATACCTTCATCAGTGTTAACCTTATGTTAAACATTCCGCTTGTTTCCGTTTAACATCACCAGCAACAGCAAGCAAAACAAAAACAACAACAGCTAACAAACATTTATCCTCCTCATCATTTAATTAATTCATCTTATTTAACATAATTCCTGTTTCACAATAATCTTGCCTCTCTCCTAACCTTCAATCCATTTCCTATGAGTAAAAATACGTGTTCATCATATTTAAATTGTTAATTTTACCCAAAAATAGATGACAAACTTGATGAAGGTAACAAACAAAAAAGGACAACAAATAGCGTATACAGCTTGCAAACAAGAGAAAAAAGGACAAAAAAGAGAGAAAATAAAAAAAACTAATCAACTAATCAATAAGATTCCGTTATTTGGCTTATTGTAACAATCAAATTGTAATTTGTTGAAGTGCTTCTGAATATCGAATGAAGAAGTAAATATTCGAAACAAAAAAAGCCAAAAATAAAATAAGAAACAATATTCAATTGAGTCTTGTTTCATGTTTTTTTTTGTGCTTCTTTTGCTGATTTCATTCCATAGCAACGATACAGCATGAGATATATAAAGTTTTGTTCAATGTAACATGAAAACTAATAATAATGATAATAATAAGTACGATAAGCAAAAAAAAGTTTGATGCTGACAGATAGTAAAAAAAACTAAAGAGAAAGGGAGAGAGAAAAAAGGACAACAAAAAGGGATAAACCAAAATAACTGACCAAACCCCATTTCAGGAGGAGTTGAAGGATACAAGATATTGAAAGATTTCCTATAGAACGACTGCCCAGAAAGGAGGAACACAAGACTAAAGAAAGTGGATAAAGAAAGAGGCCCGATAGTCCACCTCCCCTTAAGGTGGGGTGGGAAATTGAATGTGTTTTTTGTGCTTCTCGTTACTTGGTTCAGTTTTTGGTTGTAAGGCTAATAACAAGCAAACTGGAAATGCAAGGAAAAGAGGAAAAGCAAAAGCAATGGAAATCAGCTGAAAGGCAAAGGCAAAGAACGAAAAGTTTGCTTCTTTTGATAAAAAGATTGGCTCATTTTTTATGGGAATAGAGGAGATGGTGAAGATGGAGAAGAAGATGACGGAGATGATGATGATAATGAAGGAGCAAAAATGAGGAAAGCAAGTTAAAGAAGGAAAGAAAGAGCTAAAAGAGAGTGATTCTTACGGTTAATTTGGTAACTGAGAGGCTATTCATCGAGTTAACAGTTCGTAAATCTTATAAATCAATTTGCCTACTCAACCTAAACAGGCGTTAATATACATTTTATCGCATTATCATCAAATATTGGATTGAAACTTGAAAAATATCAACACAGACAGACATAAATATGAATGGTGTTTGTAATATTTTTCAATGGTTAAACTCATGGAAGCAACAAATTCATTATTGTCATCAATTTGTGTGTTTTTTTGTTGTTCATTTGAGATCAATTTACCTTCATCTTTCCTCTTCATCTTCCTCTTTTTGTATACATTTATGTACAAAGTAAAAAAAGAGTGGACAAGATGATAGAAAAGATGAAAAATGTTTTCTCTTTTAACCTGTTCTCTCTTTTTTTGAAATATTTTTGATAAATGTTCTTGTTGCTTGTTAACATGTGAAATTTTGCAAATTGATTCTTCTTCTTCCAATGTCACCCTCTAATGTAATTGTTAACTTGTTGATTATTAATCATCTGTTGACAAAAAAGGAACCTTTATGGAAGCCTAAATGGTCAACAGTTTGTTGACCTAATGACCATTAATAAGTGACAAAAGGAAAGAAAAGAAAGCGAAAAAGAAAACGCAATTTAAAGCAACATTTTCCATTGAACCGATCAATTGAATTTAATATCACTCATTATACCTCCCACATTTTTCTCGCTCTCCCATCATCATTACTCTTTCTCATCTTTCCTTCTCTTCCTCTCTCTCTCTCTCTCTCTCTCTCTCTCTCTCTCTCTCTCTCTCTCTCTCTCTCTCTCTCTCTCTATCCTCCAATGCGGTAACAATTTTCAAGCCTAAGTTAACCTTAAAAGGACCAATTTAAATGTAATTTGTAACATTTTCATCTCAAACCCTCCGTATCTAAACCTGTGTCACCCACCTTCCACCCTCTTTGTTGTCCCCAAGCTCTTAATTTGAACCTCATTTTCCCAGCTTTTGTCATTCATTTTTTTCATTCATACCTTTACTCTAATTTAACTGCATTTACCTATGAGGATGAGAGAGCAATCAAGACCATCAGCATTACCAGCACCATCATCATCATGGTTGTTATAAAAAAAGACAAAAATTTAGACAAATTGAATTTACATAATTCGCATTGTTAAAAAGGTCAACCATTAATGGCACAAAGAGTAATCTTTGATTATATTTACTCACATTTAGATGAACCCATTTCCACCCCAATTTTAACCAATCAATCGATATGAAGATGATAAACCTTTACAATCAGATGATCAATAATATTGGATATCAAACAATAATGTCATCACCAAAAATAATAACTGAATAGCGGATACAGTAGTGGTCAGGTTAAGTTAACTTCTTGCCATGAGGACCGGACAGTCGCGGCAGCTTTCAAGGTGCTGTCAATCCCTTACCACCTAAGTTTAACTTACCCATAGACGCCAGGCTTTATCCACCTTAGCTGAGAATCCATTAGGAAACGAGGATTGGATAGTTCAGGAGGCTTGACTCTTTATTTAATTAATCATTTTTTCTTATCTCTGCAAATTAAATATGATCGAGATGGAGACGTCTAAAAATCAACTTGAATCTGGCCCTTTTGGTTAATTCAACCCTAACCAGAGGTAAGTGAATGAAAGAAGAAAAAAACTGGCGAATCTTTTCACATGAAGTTACAATTGAGAAAAAAAATTGTTCCTATTCCATTCTATCATCATTCCATCATCATCCTAACTATCCTCATCATAATCACCATTCTGATCAACATTATCATGACAAGAATTTGTACAAGAATTCAATCAATCACAGTTGACGAGGCTATAAGATGTTAACCCATTGTAAAGCAAGGAAGCAAAAAAGGACCAAATTTGAAGTGAAAAGAAAAGTAGAAAAAAATGTTGCTCATTTTGATAATTTAACCCAAACCATGAACAGAGACCAATGATAATTATGATGACAAACGACAAACGACAAGAAGTAAAAGATGAAATTGAAAAGGTAAAAAATATGCAATTGATATCGAAATCTTGCAATGAAAAAGTTGCTCGATGATGCGAAAATTCCTTAATCACCTTAATTATTGTATGTTTTACGTTGAGTATTGGTTTTCAATTATAAACTCATCAATCCAACAGTTAATCTCTTAATCCTATTTCATTGTTTTCATTTATCACTTTTTTTTCATCAACATTTTCATCATTCACTTGATTCTTGCTTTTCATCAAATCAAAATGAACACCAAATAGCAGAGAAAGCATTGAATCCAAAAAAAAATAACTCAACCTGTAAACAAATTGAACCATTTGTCTTTCAATTTTAATCTGAATCTTGAATCACAACAAAACAAGTTTCCAGGTAAAAACTCATCATCACTCGATATGAAAGAAGCAAAGAATCTTGAAACTCTATTCAATTCCTCTCCTAATCTCATTTCATTATACATCATCTTGCCTTTTATATTGTACAAAAGGCCCGAGGCAATGATAATGATAAACATTTTCCATGAAATTTGCCTTCTACGTGAAAAAAGAAAAGAAACTTTTTACATTTTTTTTCCTCTTCTCTTTAAATAATTGTTGACTATTATCATTTTATTACATTAAATTATCATAATAATGTTGATGTAAAAAAAGAGGCAAATCAAAGGCATTATAATTAACCAGTGAAGAGATGAATGTTTCAAGATTTCAACTTGTTTGCTTTTCTCCGATAAATTTTGACAATTTATTGACCATTCAAGTCCAACTTGTGATCCATTAACATGTAAACTCATTGTTTTCAAGTGAGTTTTCATCATTCCATTGAAGAAGCCAGGAAACTTGAAATGCTTTTCAATGGGCAATCGGCTATTTTTATGGGTTGAAAAAAAAACAAAATGTAATGTTGAGTGAATCAGAACTTTTTGACAGCATTGGAAACGCAAGAATGCAGGTTACATGATGGATCGCTTTTTTGTTGACCTCTCATGGTGTTTTAATTTGTTGTGCTTTCTCTCTTTCTCCATCTTCCTTATCATTCTCATCCTCCACCACCCTTCATCCTTGTATTTGCTTGTTCTGTCCAGCGGGACTGAGTTGAATAAAAAATAAAGTGCAAATCATGTTTCACTCTTCATCTTTGTCTTCTTTCCTCTTCGCTTTATTCATCGAAATGTTCAGATTCTGATGAGATTCAGACAAATGTGTAAGTAAATGGAAATATGAATTTCTAATGAACCTTTTTAATCTTTTCAATTAAAAGGCTGATATTTATTCAATGTTATAAAACCCAACATTCAGATTTACTTCATTTTGTGATAAATTCATTGCCAGATTTGTTGATTGTTTATTTGAATCGACTTTAGCATCAAAGTGTTGACCTGATGTTTGATCGGCTTTTTTTGAGTGAAACTTGGTGTTGGCTGATTTCAATACTGTTTTTGCTTCTTCAAGTTATGTTTATTGGAATCAAGTTTAGTCTTGAAAGTAGCCGTCATTGTTAGTAATAGCTTATTATTGATAAGCTTTTCAACTATTTGTTCAAAGGGACAAAATGGTTGAAGGAATGTTAATCAATTGTGAAGGCAAAAAGATCAATCAATAAAGTACTCAATGAGATTATGATTATGACGAAAGGCATCCATTGAATATGAATAGTCTCAAGATATTGAAGTAGAAGAAATCAGGTAATAAAAAGGAGAGGAAACTGTTCGAGTAATCGAGTCACGTCGATAGGTGATATAAAATGTATGTTGAAAAGTTGATCGATGGAGTTGTTGGTGGAGATAATGGGAGGATAGAGGGAACATGGTGATGATAATGGTTAGGGTGAAGGAAGATGAAACAAGATGAGACTCTTGATCTATTTAATAACAATTCAAGTAACAATTGTTAGTCTGAGTGCAAAATATTAAACAAATGAGATGCACCTATGAACCAATCTAGAAAAAAGGTTGCAATGAGAAACAACGAAACAACTGATAATTTGTTAACCACAATCCTTTCGCTCATTCAGGCCCAACATACAATTCAAAGGGTTACATGTCTTCATTTTATATCCACCGTCTTTATGTCACTAATCGACAGTTCGCCGATGAATCCTCTATTTTGTTCTCCAGCTGAGGCTGATACAATTTGCTGATGGTTATTAAGCTAATCACTATTAAACTGAATCCTCTCGTAGGAAACGTTCAACTTGATGTTTTATTTAGCAGCTAATAATGGATTCAAAATTTGTGTGTTCTCAGAAAATAGTTTTCTAATATGGTTTGGAGGCCATAAAACAAATGGCCTTCAATGACTTTGAGACTTCGAAACAATGCCTTTCAGTTCTCGGAAGCATGAAGTTCCAATGCGCTACCTGTCCATTCAACCCAGGCATAAGCATGAGCGCAGAAGGAAAAGGCCGGATTTCCAACAAAACGATTCTCCAACCCAAATCTCGATTCCTTAATCAATCCTTTATAACTTTATAACTCTTTAACCACTGAGCTAGTGATTTATTTCAAGTTTAATTTACAATACATAAATTCTGGATGCAGACATCGATACTTTTTCTCAAGTGAAAATTATTGTTTCAAACGCAAAAAACGCAAAGACGCAGACGATTCATCATTCATTTTATACTCTGTAAGTTACGCTGCAAGACTTGGGTTGACTGTATGTTTTGTTGGATTGATATTGAGACAAAAATGTAAGATAAGTTTGATTCGCCCTGAATGCTTATTAGAATGCAATCGATCTGGAAATCGCGCAGATTATGATTCAGAATTGAATATTTGATACATTGTTTAATTTTTAAATTGTTTCATTGGATGCAATCTTTTTATTCACCGTTCATGATCATACTCAGAGTAACCAAGGAAACTCTGAAGGGAAAGAAAGGGAGGAAATAAACAACAACAGAATGAACCATTCCCTTGAATCTGTCTATTATCATCAAATCTTTCAAGCTCAATAAATTTCAAATTCATCTGACACTCTGAGAGGGAAGAAGAAAAAAAAGGAATGGAAACGAGAAAAGAAATGTTCACAAGTTTTGAATGGTTAAAGAGATGGGTCGATGATGAGAGGGAAGATGATATGAAGAGGTAACATCGATCCATCAAGGTATTATCCTAATTAGGATGAGTAAAAACAGAGAAGTAAAAAAAGAAGGTAATGATGATTTTTGACAACAATATCATTCGCTCTTAAGCTTTTATTCAATCTACTGACACTTTCAGTTTTTCCCTGACAACTCATAATCTGTTCAACTTATTTTTTCTATTTGTTTTCCTAGCTCAGCGTAAATGATCATAAAGGGTATAAACTGTGAAAATGCAATCAATAACCAAAGGTGAAACAAAGGTAGGTTTCAAAGTGAAGAGCACAAAATTGAATTTTTTCTTCTTCTTCTTCTTTTGGGTGAAACTCATTTTAACCTTTTTTGTGTTTTGTTCATTTGTGGAAGAGTTTTCCTTGTTGGAGAGCATTTCATGATAATTATTGTGATTATCATCATGATAATGATTACCAACAATTTGAATCACAATTTAAATACAGTGTTTAAAAAGTTGGAAGAAAAACAAAAAAAAGGTTTTCTTCGAGGTTCGCTTTTTTTGTTTCAGTTTTTCTTAGCAAAAGTTTAACTTCTCACCAAGGGGTTCATTAGAGGATGAAATGATGTGTGTTGAGATGTGGATGATGTGTGATGATGATGGCGAAAAAAGATGAAAGAGAAAAATGAAAAGGTTGAAGCGACAGAAGATGATCTATACTGTGCGGTTGTATTCAATTGAAAAGCAATGAAACACGCTCAAAGGTAATATTCATGGTGATTTAAGGAGTAAAGAATCACGCAATCATCATTTTACCTATGAACTTAAGATGAGTAAAAAGATGAGAAAAAATAAAAGCAAGGAGAAAAGGAAAGGTGAAAATGATTCATTTTCTCCTGAAAACATCTGAAAGGCGAGCTTGTGTTAGAACTATAAAATGAACAATTGATCCAAACATCGATAATTCTCAACATTATTCAGTTTGAATCGTTTTTGAAGTAAAAATGGATTCCATCGACAACCAAAAGTATTATTCTGTGTATCATAAATTGAATCGTCCAACAAAGATCGCACATTGAAGATGAATGAATTGCTTTCAGTTTTGAGATGAAAATAAGAAGCAAAAGAGTTCGCATTCGGACGAAATGTTCGAGTTGAAACCAAACTGATCTAAACTTAACATAAGATGCAGCATTCATATTCATTCTGAATCAATCTAAAGATACATAAGACTGATCTAACAGTTAGCAAAACTTTGAAGCATCTAAGAAGAAAAAGATGGGTGAAATCTCAAGCATGGAACATTTCGAACTTTCGATCAAACTAGAAGTGAACATGACATTAATAGTCGATGGAAAATGGACAATAAATTCGAAGCGAAATCTCAATTTGCCTTAAATCTCCCAAATAAACTAACATTTCGCTATTTCCATCGATTCTGGTTGAATCAATAAATGTTGGTTTTTCTGTCATTTATCATCTTTACTGATGCAATTTTAAACAATTAATGTTCAATTTCATCGAAACCAGCTTTTGAAATCTTTTGAACAAAATGTCTACAAATTGGTAAACTATATGGATTACCTTTTGAAACGATTTCATTGTGAAGCATTCACAAAGTGCCCATAAAAGTGACTTTAAATTGAACCAATGATTACTGATTATCGGTGAAAAATGTCAAGTGAATGTTTGAAATGTTGAAACGCAATTTAATCATGAAATACGCAAATCTTATATAATCTTGAAAGTTTAACTTATATCTATTGGTATGACTTCCCAATTGAATGGTTCAATATTAAAAGAGATTATCCTTTATCATTCCCAATGAAACCTTATTTGTCGATATTATTTTCTTAAACCTTTCTTTTCCCAACAACTTTTACTTTTCTTTCAATTTTTCCATTCTTTATTCAGCTAATCCAATCTCATTCATCTTATCCAATCAGCTTACAATTCAATATAAAATCCCTATAAGGTTTCACATAATATCATGAAACGTCTTAAGGTTGGTTTTCATTTCTCTATTTACCTTTAGATTAACTTTTTTTTTGTTTTACCTTTAAATTGTTCCTTCAATCTTTCATCTTTCACTCATTACCAGAATCATGTTCACTATTATTATTATTACATATTATTACATAGGAATAATGAAAAGTGATTGGATAAACATTGGGCTTAGATGCTGTTAAGAGTTGATGCTATTCTGGTTAAGATGAAGGTAAAACCTCAAGATGAGGTTTAGGTGTGTTCAGCGAGAATCTGGTGAAGAAGAAGAAGAAAAGGAAAAGATAGGAAATTGAACGATTTCTTTATTCCTCTTCTCTTGAGAGAAGTCTTGTTCTTCTTTCATTACCATGATAATCATCATGATAATTTATGCTAATTAAAGGTGAGGCCATGCTTTTTGCCTGCCTTTCAATTGAACTTGATTGAGACACACCTTTAAATGTAATGCAACATTCATTTCATTTGTTGCCTCGTTCGTATCTTTGCTTTTATATGAAAATGTTCAGCTCAAGGTATCAATGAAAACAATCCATTTACTGATAACAATAACAGGTATCATGATTATGATGAAACATTCAAGATTTATCCATAGATTTGAGCAATTTTATAGAACAATTTACATTAAGATTTACATTTTGTTCACTTTTAATCAAAATCCAATTTCTTGTTATCTATATCACTCATTGTTGGATTAAAGTTTATAATTAACTTTGAACAGGTAATATTAAAATAGACACACCTTTATATTTTTAGATAATTAAAAGTAACATGAAATCGATTGAATCAACATGAACCATTTTACTTTATGAACCCGAAAAGATGATGAACAAGCAAAATGAAGATAATGATTTAATTGAAACATTGGTTTACCTTGATTTTGGTGGAAAATTTGAAAGAGAAAAGTTGGAAAAATTGGAATTTCGATTCTTTTTTTCGTGGAATCGAATGTAAAATATTAATCGATTAACTGTGGAAATGATATTGAGGTGAAGTTTAGGCTAATTTTTGTATCGACATGATTAATAAATCTTCATTAGTAAAGAGACTGAAATTTTTGTCAAGCG